GTACGTTAGTTGACCATGATCTAGTGCCGACCAGAGCCCTCTATAGTATAAGAGTTGGGACATCTATTGTTATCCGTTTAGCTTACGTTGATTGGGCAATATTGATCACCTGATCAATTTCCGCCATTTTGGTTCCTAGTTTTGAAATTTTAACTTGTGTTTATATAGCAATTGCTGCTAGTAATACAGTATTTTGAGATAATATTGCGTTTTTTTATGGATAAGTGTGTAATAACTGATTGTTGAAGGCTACTAAATGTCATTACATATCGCATAAATCGAGGATTACGAAAAAAATGAAAGAAATGCCTTTACGTCGAACTTACGAAATTTGATTGCGTATGGTGATTGTTGTGCTGAACTGCTTTTGATATAAGGTTCAATTAACTGACTCAAGTAGAGAAACATTTTTGGGCCAAATAACATTGCAAAGTTCGTGCTGATGCAGTTTCAATAGTTTTCTTACTCCAAAGCTTGTTTTTTTAATCGAAGATGATTTCTCATTATGTTCTGAAATTGGTCAATCTACAAACCTCTCAATTCTCAGCCACTTCCATACTAAAACAACTACACCAAATCACAGAAACTCTTATGATTTTCCATGTTGTATTTTGTATTTTTAGTTCATCATTTAAAAATGAAGTAATTATAATTAGGATATTCACTGAAACAGCTGAGTACAATATATTTTTGGTATTGAATTGTACAAATGTACCCTACTTCTGTAGCTCAAAGTAGAACATTACTTCTCTTCTAGACTTGTCGATGATATTTTAATTGTAGGTTTTGGTTTATAAGATCACAGAGGCATATCTCCATAATTTCAGCTATTTGGGCTTTTTAATGTATATTACAACTGTTGCTGCCTTTCTAATATATATTAAAATATTGCCGGCTTTCTGATATATATTTAGGTGCTGCTAGCTTTTTGATATATATATTTCACTGGCAATACAAGGCATAGAATTTGAACAAATGGGGCTGAGCTCCCTCCAACACACCCCTGTTTGATCATTAAACACATATAGAAGTTTTGTCATTCCTCAACCAATAAATTTAACTCTTTGCTAAATTAAAGATTGGATCAGACTCATGTGCTGTATAAACGACTACAAACAGTAGCATTTATAGCAAACAGACTGTTCTTCAACAACAGAAATGTTTCATATTATAGAAATAATATATTCAATTTAAAGAAATGCTTCACCAAAATTTTCAGCAGAATCCCTAACAAACTTTATTAGAAATAAACTTTAATACTTTATAAAGTGATAAAGGCGAAATAACTTCATATAAAGGAATAAAACGTTTAAGGTCAAATGCATCTTGGTCAAATCATTGCATATTTCAATAACTAAAAAGTAAAAAAGTCTGTCATTTTCTGCTGAGCAAGAAAATTTTGTGATCTTTCAGAATAAAAAATATCATGCTTGGATTAAATTGGGGAGGGGCATAAATCACTCACTACCATTAAATTGTTACAAATCTTGAACACAAATCTCTCCGGACAAAATATGCATGATGACTATGATTCGAAGTTTCGAACAAAGTCTTGTCCAAGTATTTGATAACACTGATGCCAGGATGACATTGCCGCTTGCCACCAAGCTTAAAGATCTTGAAAACGTGTTACAGAGTCGGAACATAAGCCGAGAAAACACGTTCACGTACGAAAAATACTTCTTACAATGGGTCACGATCAATTTGAAGCACGAACTAGTAAACCGCAAACGAAGCTCAAACCAATGAAATTAAATCAGGTCTGCCGCAAATCGTTAAAAAAACGCAAAGAGCTTGCTATTATTCCTAATATATTTGATACTACCATGGAATAAGCTTAAATTGCTTTCTTCTTTTGCATATAAACCCAATTTCCAATAGTATTATTATAGTTTCACTTTGCAAGTAGGAACCAAAATGGCGGCTCCGCGCTCGCCCCAGACCGTTTGTCCCAACTCTTATACTATAGAGGGCTCTGGTGCCGACCACCTTGTATATTGTGCATAGAAAGGTTATATGAAAGGTCACCCCAGTCGGAACCTTAGTGTTTTGTCCTCGTACATATCTTGCTGAGCGTATTAACCGCAATTATTCCAGCCAGTTGATAAGGATTTTTAATTTTTTCGAACCGTTAAAATTACCTGAAGTCATGATTTCTTACGTATAAATATTTTCAAATTCATTACTCAGAAGTCAGAAATGAAGTTATATCATTTTAGTCGTGGGAAACAAGCGATTGACTGTCAGGAAAAATGACGGATGTGAGAACACGTTGCCCCCCTGACTGATCCTTGTATTATTTGTTCTGTGATTACGTGTGTGACATGATTATATGAATATCTATGTTATGAAACTTGAAATGCTTTTATTCAAACGCAACTTTGTTCCACGAGGCACTATGTATGCCGCTTTTCCAGTCTACATATTTTCCTCGTTCTGTTGCCCGGAATTTGTTCCAGGACATCGAGATGATACTTGCTGCTATCAGGAATGTTTGATAAACATAGTAACAAGTCACATTCAAAGCAGGAATTTGCGTGTTTTTAGTGAAGAAAATAATCGAAGAAAAACTTAATACTGTCTACGCACTCCTTCTTGAGCAAAAAGTTGAGGAAGTACTGGACTTCTTTACAGATGACTGCATTTTCATCCCCCAAGGTGCTTCAGAGGTAAAAGGCAAAAAAGGTGAACGAAGAATTTTCTTTTGCACTGTCGATTTCATTCATAACAACAAAAAGTTTGCCGAAATAATTTCTAAACTACAATCTTTCATCTTGCTATGGTACAGAGTTATTAGAGCACTTCAAAACAGAGTTGGCTTTGCTAAAGTTAGTGATTAGAGTGGATGTTCAAATTAAAGAGGTGTTCGATGGAGGGAACATTGTGACTCTGCGATATACGGGAAAGGCGATTGCACAAGATGACTCTGTTCTTGTTCAGTTTCGGTAAGATAAAAGAATTTTAGAATGGGGGCCACATGTGTTGATAAATGCATATTTGCACAAATACATTATATTCGATCAATGAAGTAACAATTTTTGTAAAAAGGAGGCAGCCTGTACTTATTTCGAATATCGAGTAAACGTCCAATAAAATCGTGAAGTTATCGTCAAAAATCGAAAAGTTTACACCAATTTTCAAGCCAAAATAAACAAAACATTTCTTTAGATTAAACCAGCCCAAAATCCATCAATTCGATCAATTTGTAAGCACTTTGTTCGCAAAACGAGCAAACATAGCATGTTGAAGAGGTAGTGTATGGTGTTGTATGGCGAAATTTCCAGGGAAGCCAAAAATATGGAGATAAATATTAAGATGTGAGTCAATTTTTCAAGCAGAACTGAATAAGTTTCTTCAATCTTAAGTAGAATTGATTTCAGCATTTAATAATTTTATTGCTATTTAGCTCTAATCAGGTCAACAATCTGACAATGATTATCCATGATGTAATGTTTGCAACGTAATCATGATTACCCATGATGCATTGTTGAAAAGGTCTAGAAACAATAGTGTGACTTGACTTAAAATTGTTAGCATTGCTTAAAATTTGAGAAACGCAACATGAATTTAGCAATCACAACTAAACCAAATTTAAAATGATAAATTGCAGGACGATGATGGTTTGGAAGAAGATCAACGGCAACTTCTTGATACACAATGTCATTGTTAATATGCCAAAATAAACACTCTTTTTTTGTGGGATTAAAATAACTGATCAAAGTCATTGCTGAATTTTTAGTTACATATGAGCCATAAATACGAAAAAAATTGTATTGTAAGAAAAAAAATCATTACATTTAACGAAATGTTTTAATCTTGGGATCATAATATGTAAAATGAAGCATAATATGTAGCATAAGTTTCAAGGTCGGATGCGCTTCCTAAACACACCAACCCCTTTTAGTCGCCTTTTACGACACGCAGAGGTTACGTTGGGTCTATTCTAAGATGCCGGAACCCACACGGCAAAGTTAATGAGGGAAGAAAGGAATGAGGGAAGAAAGGAATGTGGGAAAAAAGGAATGAGGGAAGAAGGAATGAGGGGAGAAAGGAATGTGGGTGAAAAGGAATGAAGGAAGAAGGAATGAGGAAGGCGAGAAAATACAAGAATCGCCAAAAGGAAAGAATTGCTACTGTGTATTACATGGTATCAAAAAAGAATTGAGCATCTGTTTACTTATGGCAGTGCTGGAAGAAACAGTCATTTGGATTCTATCTCAGTGAAACAAAGAGATACAAAGAATTTAAAGGACTGCAAATTGAAATTGTGAGTCAATACAGACTGGTAGTGCTTGACATCTGGAAGAGCAAAAAGCAGAGGAGAAAGGTGAAAAAGATGGGAAGTTGAAGATATGGAAATTGAAAACATTGGAAATAGAATTTTTCCAATCAAAATTCACTATCAAAGAATAGAGGTATATAGCCTGCTACGACTGGTCAAAATTTGAGCTGAAAATTGGTTGAATAAAGACAGTTTATATGCTTTAAGCTTGAATTCTCTCAACTATTTTAGCAAACGTTATTTACAAAATAAATTTCGCAGCTTGCGTGCCGAGCCTGGCAGCATACGTTAAATGCACAATCGATCCTTTCAGCTGATGCATTCATCCATAATGAAAACTCACCAATGACAAAGAACCCCATCTACTAGATATCTGACTCTGCCAAAATTAAATAGTTACGAGTGAGGTAAGCCGCCATCTTGAAAGGTGGCAAGATGGCCGATATTTACGACTAAAATCTAATTTTCCTAGTTTATATAGAGCTGCAGCGCTGACAGTTTAGGTTTGATTTTTAAATTGGTTATATGATATAACCAATTTAAAAATCAAACCTAAACTGTCAGCGCTGCACTTATATGATAGGTTTTTAAGCTTTCTTTTAACTCATTTTTCATTTTGTGTTTTCTTTTTTGCAGTGAGCAATCGAAAATATTTCGATAGCACAATGGTGTCGATTACTTTGGGTAGGAGCCTGGTATCGAGTGGTGTCAAATACTCAATAATCGATAGTCGCATTTATGGTATTTACATAAGGTGATACTGTTTGAAAGCTTTCTTTGAAAATTTGAGCTATTTTAATTTCAGCGCTTTAAATTGTTTTGCGTCATGGCTTCAGGCTGCACGGAAGGTAATATATCATAAATTTTAGGCCGAAATTACCCAAGATTAGACTATTTTCAGCCGGAGACACGAGTCTGATGTGGGAGGCAAATTCACCACGACAAATTGCGTGATTTTCGCATGGATAAAAACAATAAAAACGATTATGTTCGACTACAGCTATATGTAAAATATTCTTATAAGTAAAACCATGTTAGTGATTAAACGTACTTACGAAAACCGAGGGAGTCTCAAGGTTAGCACTATTTTCCACCCAGCAAACCGCCCTTTACTTTGAAATATAATATTTTACACAATCGGGAATAAAACCTTGATTGTAAGTCTCAAGGTTAGCACTATTTTCCACCCAGCAAACCGCCCTTTACTTTGAAATATAATATTTTACACAATCGGGAATAAATTAAAGATGGCGGCTAATGGGAAAGAACCAAAAGCTAAAAGGAAACCATGCATGCACTGGTGCTAGGTCGTTTTGAGATGGCGAGTAATTTTATATTTTTATAATACAGTTTTTAATATCAAAATATGAAAATATTTACAGATAAATGTTGCAGTATAAACTTTCATGCACCCACCTTAAGTTATAAACTTATAATAGAGTCAAATACACTATTTGCTGTTTTATCTGTGACTTAATATCACTGGACTCTCTGACGAAGTAAACATCGCAAAACTTATAAATTTTATGAGCTGTATGCAGGTGATGAGTTCAAAAAGGAAGCATAGTTGTAACCATTAACTTATCAAGTTAAATTTGTTTTTGTTAGTGTATATTTGTCAATATTTCATGGGAGCAATGAAGACCACCATAATTAATAAAGATAAGTGGTGTACCTTTTTAATTGGCTGGTAAATGTTGGAATATGCAATGAAAAGTCTATAATGTATTCACATATGTACACTAATCCATAGCAATATTTAAGCAAACTTAGAAAGAGATTTGTCAAAATAGATTTACAACTCTTTATGTTACACCATACAAAAATCTTTTATCAATTGTCATTATAATGATGAGACAGTAATTATGATGTTAAGGTTTAGGCATGCCATGCCAATAATAAACCATAAATATGTTATACAATATGTAAAACAATAAATGTACTATCTCAGATTTCACATTAACATTAATGACCTATATTTTTATTATGAATTTTTTCTTGTTTCATAACATTTGAAATTTAATATTTTTATATTAATAGTAGTATTAGCTCAATTCTAGTATTGAGCACTTTTTCAAGTAATTTTTAAGTTGATTTTGGTATTTATATTTGTTTACATCAATACAATAATGTAATTGCAGTATATTTGCTAAACTGTGTTTCACTTTTTAACCTCATCATCTGGTAAATCAAAAGACACTTATTCAAAAAATACATTCATTATCATTAACTACTACAGCCGAACAGCATGAAACACTTCACAGAATAAAAAATTTTTAGTATACATATTTTAAAAAGTTCTAATTTCCTAAATTTGTGCATATACGTAGCTCTATCTAATTAGATATTGAGCAATCTATTTTTGTGAGTAATTTTAAATCAATATTATGATTTTTCTTGTGCTTGCTTATATTACATAATATATAACTATAATATAAGTGAATTAATATACATATACATATACATATACATATACATATACATAGGAAGTTTATACTTGATGATTTTCCCGATAAAACAGTGCTCGATGCCCGAGAGCAGAGCGTAAATATGTGTAGTGATGTTGAGAAAAATCACAAAACTACAGATTCATCCCGACAAGCCTGTTTCGTGATTGCTCACTCTTAGTGAGAATCTTAGTAGTTTTGCTCACTCTTAGTAGTTTTGTGATTTTTCTCAACACCACTACACATATACATATACATATACATATACATATACGTTTGAAAATTTGTAATCCAGGCATTGAATACATAAAAGATAAACGTTTCTCCGGATTTTTAAATGATTTTTATTGAGCTTTCGACTCGTTGCTTCGAGCCTTCATCAGAATGAGGATAAAAATCATCATTCTGATGAAGGCTCGAAGCAACGAGTCGAAAGCTCAATAAAAGTCATTTAAAAATCCGGAGAAACGTTTATCTTTTATATATACATATACATATACATATACAGATTCATCCCGACAAGCCTGTTTCGTGATTGCTCACTCTTGAGCAATCACGAAACAGGCTTGTCGGGATGAATCTGTAGTTCTGTGATTTTTCTCTACACCACTACACATATTTACGCTCTGCTCTCGGGCATCGAGCACTGTTTTATACGGAAAATCATAAATTATAAACTTCCTATACATATACATATACATATACATGCCAATGCAGAAATTGTTCTGCAACATACAAAAGATGGAGTTCATCATGAGATAATTTAGAATAATATACAGTACTATGTTGCATATTTTTAAAAGAATTTCAAGACACTTACTCACAAATTTTATGCAAATTAGGTGATTGTTTTAAAGTGTGTCTATCATTTCAGCGACAAGTTTCACTATAATCAAAAACTCCGTACTCGTATGGTAAAAGGATTACTTTACGTCTGGTTCGTTTGTACGATTTTTATTATCTCACCAACCATGAAGTAACCCATATTAAAGTCAAAAGTCCCTCACTATATTATGTCCATTAGTATTGATAAATAAATGGTCTATTAAAGTTACCTATTTTCCCAAAGTTTTTGGTGTTTTTCCATATTGAGAAGGAGGACATTGTTTTCATTTCCCAGTCTCGTATAACATTTACAATGCCATCCTCATGTAATACATATCCGAACGTGTTTGATATTTGGACATGAAATCCCTTCGCCGTTTGCGTCGCCATTTCGTCAATTAATATTTTAAAATATATGAACCAACGATGAAATTTAATTTTGTGAAGCTCACTTAAATATCATTGCAATATATTTATAAAAACTAATCGCAAATTTATATTTTTTCATCATTAAACGGTTTGAACCAAACACAACTTAATAAATAGTAATAGTGATTACCTGGCATACGGTATTTGTTCCCTGACAGATAATATTTGTCCATATTTGAAGAAATCGCTAATTAACAAGACAACTATTCTCAATTCAAACTCAAAACTGGATTTTATGTTTCTTGAAGATTTAAAGGACATGTTAGAAGAAAAAATTAAAGCAGTTCTTTCATTTCTCATGAAAGGAAATGTCGAGGAGGCATTAAAATATTACTCTGATGACTGCGTGTATTGTGCGCCAGGTCAAGCGGAGGCGAAAGGAAAGAAAGGTTTGCGGAGCATTTTTGTTTTAGTAATCACATCTACTTATAAATTTCACAGGGTTTCACTTCTCATCTTTAGTGAAATACGTGTAAAATTCGTTCCATAAACTTCTAGAGAACAATCAGTCCAGCTAAATTTTTGGGCTTTTTCTATCTTGTTTACACACTAAAAACTCGATCCCAAGTCACGGAACGTAGAACACCATTCTAATATTTTTATTAGATGTGCGCTCGTGCAGGTCCTGCTATGATGCTGTTGGTGTTTGTCTTGGTGTTAGCTAACTTCGAAATACATTTTGGATTTCTATAGAAATTAACTACCCTCAAATTCATAGCAGGACTATCTTCCCTAGTTTCCCAATGATAAAACTAAAAAAGTTTCCTGGATGCGCCACATTTCAATGAAACGATCAATCACATCCTCCTGTAATCTTATTATTTAGGATTACTTGAGCATTTAAAAGCAGAGTCCGATTCCCTACAACAAGTAAAACGTGTATCCGTTAGCGTTGAGCAGTTATATGACCAGGGAGACGTGGCGGTTACGAGATTTAATGTGGAAGGTTATGGACTAGACGACTCCTTGCTTCCAACATCTCGGTAAGCTTTTAATCTTTCTTTTTTATAGAAAAGATAATTCGGCTATTAACTTACGACGAAGTCTTAAAACAAAGGTTTTTTTGACTCTTTTAACTTACGCCTTCGAAAGTGACAAGTTAAAACAAAGGTTTTTTTGACTCCTTTAACTTACGCCTTCAAAAGTGACAAGTTAAAACAAAGGTTTTTTTGACTCCTTTAACTTACGCCTTCGAAAGTGACAAGTTAAAACAAAGGTTTTGACTCCTTTAACTTACGCCTTCGAAAGTGACAAGTTAAAACAAAGGTTTTGACTCCTTTAACTTACGCCTTCAAAGTGACAAGTTAAAACAAAGGTTTTGACTCCTTTAACTTACGCCTTCAAAGTGATAAGTTAAAACAAAGGTTTTTTTGACTCCTTTAACTTACGCCTTCGAAAGTGACAAGTTAAAACAAAGGTTTTTTTGACTCCTTTAACTTACGCCTTCGAAAGTGACAAGTTAAAACAAAGGTTTTGACTCCTTTAACTTACGCCTTCGAAAGTGACAAGTTAAAACAAAGGTTTTTTTGACTCCTTTAACTTACGCCTTCGAAAGTGACAAGTTAAAACAAAGGTTTTTTTGACTCCTTTAACTTACGCCTTCGAAAGTGACAAGTTTGACAGCACGAAGTAATAACTTTCGGTTGCACAGTTAACGGGAGCTTAAAAATGGTTGTAACTTAACATACAAAAATTCACTTCTTTCATCATCTTAACTTAATAAATTTCTTGCAGAGCGATCTTTGTGTGGAAAAAGATTGACGGGGACTACTTTGTTGATAATGGAGTTTCCAACAGACTGAAATAGAACAGTTGGTAATTGTAAAACAAATGTTTGTCAAAGCGATTGCAAGCCACACTCCACGTGATTAAAAAATGAGCCGATATCTAAATATTGCTGTTAAATTTCAACATGAAATTAATCTTTGAAATGATTATCTTTCTTACAAACTTACTTCGCCTTCATATTTCAACAAGAAATGACAGTCATCCGATACTTTCTTTTCTTATCTTCTTTAAATAATAAGTATATGTAATATCTCCATGGTTTTTCCTAGCCAATCTCCTTCGTTTATTCTAACCTTCCTCAGTAATCGTATTATATGACACCATTATATAGTATATGGTATTATATGGTATTATATGATGGGTTCAAACCATTTACTTTAATCGTGTTATATGATACCCACTGCCGTAGACGGCAATAACAGGCCAAACCATTTCAATTAAGCAAACCAGAAGAGAATGCGAAGAATATTACAATCAAAGAATAGAGGTGTAGTCTACTAATAGTCATGATTAGAGCTGATAATTGATTAAATAAAAACAATTCAATGTAATATTTTATACGCCCAAAGCTTCCTTTCTCATTAAAATTATGATTTGACAAACTTGATTAGCAAAACAAGTTTGCCTGTAGTGTTTGTTTGCATACATTACAATGCAGTAAATGCACAATATTTAAGTAATTCAATTCAGAGATGCATTCTCTATAATGAAAACTACAGTGTAGGAACTTTTTGCCAACAGTTAACTACACATTCATTGCTTTTGCCTTTTAATGTGTAAAATCATCGAAATAAACGATGACACCTTTACACATTTTATTTACCACTTCTGCAGAAAGTTAAAACTTCGAGAGCCAGTATAGATATTTTCATTTTTAGTTCTAAATCCATTTTAATGACAGAAAACACATTCTTGACTCGCAGCTTCTTGCAAGTCATTTGGAATTTACCAAATAATAAAATTCGAGTGCATAGGACCTGCATTATGGCTGAGGTGAAACAAAGCAAAAATTTGAATCAAGATTGGCATGCAACATGGATATCATTAAGGCGAAATTCAAATTGTTAGAATAAGCTTTTAAACGTTGATTGACTGAAGGAAAATCTTTCTCGAAGTTTTTATTTTCATCAGAAGAGCAGGCATTAAGATAGTATAGATGGCATCGTTTGCTTTAATAAATTTATGTACTACGATTTTTATAGAAGGCAATCAACACATCTTTGTCTGAATGGGAGTATTTTTTGAGAATGGTTTTGTGCTCTAGCAGAACTGTGTACATTTTACTTAATGTATGCAAAGTAGCGTCAACGCAAAGAACAGAGAATAAAGAAATAATAAAACAGACTATTCTAATCAAACATGTAAGTGAAAAATGCTTTATGTGTCAAGTGCGGTATAAATTAAAAAATACATAATTTCGTTGCAGCACGATTGAAATTAGGTTAACTTGTTATGAAATATAATCTTGGTAGATTACATTTAGAAATGGGAAGCTAATAAATTTAGGTAACTCTTGAAAGTAAATGACAATCTTTACTTCACTGAAGAAAGCATTAGTATATCGAAATAGGTATATGTGCATTAATCTTTGTCTGCATGAGAGCGAATGTTGCTGCATGGGCGATATTTTAGGGTATGGTTGAGTTCTCTACAAGAACTGTGTACATTTTACTTCATATATGCAAAGTAGCTTCACAACACACAAAGCTATGAAATTTTTTTTTGCAAATAATGTTTGTCAGTTGATGAAAATACAAAAGTCCTTACTATTCTCATCACTTGTGACGTCTTATTCTTCAAGTTATGGAACTGAGAAGAGGGATGATGCTAGAAACAGCCAGTGAAAAAAATATTTTCTCATATTTCCTGTCTAGTATTATGAAGATGGTCTTCCTGATTTAATCTGTATGTTTTCTTCGTGACATACTTTTCTCTGTTTGTATGTATGAGAAAGTCTTGTATCTAAGCATTTTTCTATAATCTTGTCATAGTATGATCTGCCCTTACTCAAAGATGTAGGAAGGCCTTTGGGTTTAATCAAAAGGAATTCTTTGGCGAGAAAAACGACAAAGATATAGCGAAATAATAAAACAAATTAATATAGATTATTCTATAACCAAACACGTAAATTGAAAAATACTTTATGTACTGAAACACAAGTCATGATTTTCGGAAATGTAAATTAAACCCATTTCTAGTGGAGTTAAGGAGGGAGAGAGGGGAGGGGCACCATTTACTACTTGACTAAAGGGAGGCACCTTAAAATAAGCAATCACTGTAACTGCGTTTGTTATATAACAGTTGAATGACTACGAAAAACTTTAAACGGAGACAAGAACATTTTGTAATAAAGATGTTTCAAAATGAAAGACTACAACGGTTATGGTCTACAAAGCTCATTTTATCTAGAAAATCAGGCTACAAAATATGACAAATAATTGTAGGATCTTGTTTTCTCCAATGTTTAGTTCAACAATCATGACGTCGGCGGACAGAGGTTCTCTCGCACATTTGAAACAAGATTGTGAATCAAGTATGTGCCTTCGATCTTTTTTCCAAACGATGATTACTCTGAAAGAAATTTTATTCATTTAGTTTATTTGCCATCATCGAATTGGAAATGAAATGCTTAAATTTGGCTGCCCGTGGTGTGTTTTTGCATTTTAAAGATCCTAATCATCTACAAAAATATCTCTTTCACGAACGCAAAAGGTCCAAAGGTGAGCTTTTGCTCTCGGTTATAGGATGACAGGGAATTTTTTATGTTATGTCAAAATTCACTTTAAAATGTGTTCATTCATCATGACAATGAAAAATTGGATTTGCTGTTAAAAGTTCTCACCGGACAGTTGAAAGGACACTGCAATCTTCACCATGCGACGTCACGTGGTATCTAAGAGTAACAATGTCTCCCTTGTCATAAACGTTGTCAATAAAAACGTTCATCTTTTTAATAATTGACAAATCCTCGCCTTGGAAGTGCTCTAACAAATCTAAACGATAATGTGAAAATGCAAAATGAAACATCTTGCAGCATCTGCGAGTGTGCCGGCAAGTTTTCTAAAATGAAAAATGCCTCCCTTACCAGTTTTGCCAATTATTGCCGGTAAACCTTGATTAATTAATACACAGTCTTCAGTGTAGAATTTCAGCGCGTCTTCACCCTTTCCCGCGAGAACGAATTCGTAATTTTGGTCAAGTATGCTTTTAAGTGTTTCTTCCACTACACAAAACAAAAGAGTAGATGAGTATTTTGATTTTAGAAACACAAATGATTAATTTCATTATTATTCTAAAAAGATAAGTCGTTGATTCACACCAAACCTAAAGACAACTTCTATAACTAAATTTAATTTCTCTGTATAAAAATCTGTTGAAATTGATCTTGCTTCAAGTGAACAAAAATTTCGTGCAGTTTTATACTTTGTAACTTCTCCATGGAAATGTTTCAGCCCTATACCTGATGAAGATTCATCTTTCAACAATGATGCTGAATCAATAAACAAAGGATAAAACATCAACAAGAATGATGCCAGTAGCGGTGAATTCATTTCGAATTGTTCGTGTTAATTTTCCCAACGTTTTCTTCACTTACAAATCAGTGCTAGACTTCGTGATGGTATGTACCTTTTGGTGACATATCACTTTATTTATGTACTCTCTCACACCCTTCAACATCTTCTTTCCTCCCATTGGCTAAACCAACATTAAATTATGTATTAAATATTCATGTGGTTTGCATGAGGTCTGTGACGTGTCACTTATTTTCTAAGAGTCTTGTTTACGAGTCTTCTTTGAAGAGATGTTTGATCAAAAACGCGTATAGCGACATCATTAACAATGGACAGACGATTTCTAAAGACAAGTCTACCCAAGTTTGTTGAACAAAATTTTGGCCTTTTTCAAAAACATCTAATTTAGTACCGATACGATTTTGCTTATTTATTTACATAGATAGGAGGTGAGCACACAAATTCTTTTTCATCTTCTATCTCATCATTGAAGCAAACAATTTTGATTTTTCTGGAAAGATTTTACACAACCAAAGTAAAATTGCAAATACATATTTCTTTTTCAGTCTTTCGGGACACTATTTCACGACACTGCAAAATATATTATACTTCAAGATAATGACAATCTTTCGTTTACCCCTTAGTGAGTTCTATCAGAAGACAAAGTACAGTTTTTTCATTTCGTGCAAGGCTGGCTTTATGAGTGACAATTTGCACTCTTTGAAGTCACAGGACTCCTTCTTGTTTGTAAATAATCTCAAGTAAAAATGCAAGTTGATCCAGCAGAAACTTTCGATCGCTTGAAAACATCAGTTGGACCTTTTCCTTCTGAGATGGTTTATATTGTACTTTCTACTTAAAGGAGGAATACTGGTATGTGAAATTGGACTTTTCAGACAAATACATCGATATTCCTCTGTAAATTTGTTCATTTTAACTTGCAAAAAGAAATTTGTGTAAATAGATGAAAGAAACTGACGTCACTCCAACGGTATTTGAAGGGACCGTATTCTGGTATTAATATTTTCTGCTATGCCAGCAGGATTTTTTTGAAAAGCACATCATTTTCAAAAGAAATTCGCCAGACATAACAGAATATATGAAAACAATTCCGTAAAATTAACGTTGGATTGACGCCATTGCATTGAGCTAATAAAGTTTTTAGACAATGATAGTAAACATTTGTTGTTAACAAAACATTGATCTTGAACATTTACAAATTTCCTCATAACATGCAATGTGTTAACCTCTCACTTTCAGAAAACAAGATTTTTTCACTATATAAGAATACTACAAACGGATTTTGCTCTAGTAAATATAATGACTGCAGTTAGCAATTTCATTGTTCTAAATGGTCAAAAAATGGCACTTTTCACTTGACTAACTGCGATTATGGTAATAACATGTGTAATAAGATATCTGTGACACTAGAATTTTCTGTTGAGTGGCTCTTTCCTATGGTCCATATTTTATGTCTACACTTCGTTGACTGCATGCAAATAGCATTCAAGAGACAATGTAAAGTGCTTATCTTTATAGATGAGTGCATTTTAATAGTGGTAACATTGTGCAGACAACCACCACATGCAAAGCATTATTTTACTTGTGATGATAATATAATGCACAACGAATTTGTCTAAAATATAAACCAGTTGCCTGAAGAAAAGTAATTTTTGCAATGGAAGAGAGCACTGCTTATTAACATTATGTTTTTAAGTTTTTCGTTTCATTATTAGAGTATTTCATTTCATTTAACATAACACTACATTATGTATTTATTCATTTATACTTTTACAACTCTCGACACATAAAGCATTTTCACTCGCATGTTTAATGAGAGAGTATAATCTTTACTACCGTTTGTTTCGCTATTTTTCTATTTCTTTGTTCTTTGCGTGTTGTGAAGCTACGTTTTATACATTAAATGTTAAATGTACACAGTTCTGGTAGATCACTTAACCGATCTCTGGAAAAACAACGTAAGCAAACCAAATAAGTGAGTGCAAAATAAACGAGGCAAAATTGTAAATTAAAACACACAGTGTTTGCCACAACAATCTAGGATCTCTTAAGTTTTCAGGGTTATCAGAAGTCGTAGATTTAGCAACTGTGATAATCGTATAAATGTTTCCTGCTGTGAATATTGTTATCGCTGTTTGTGATAAGCGATGAACACAGCATTGACTCTGTAAACAAAAAGCATACGAATGACAGTACTTGATGTAACACAGCACTGCACCCTTAGTACTTTAAAGTGGTACTATGACGAAAATTTTCCCTCTCGTTTTTTTCATAGATTAATAGTGTATGTAAAGAAATGTCTTCTGGCGAAATTTTGGCGCAATGTATTTCATGCTGCTCGAGTTACGTAGCGATAAAACTTGAACTTTAAGAGCCGCCATTAAAATGCGCCATATTTGAATTGTCATGTAGGAAAGTGCTTGTGACGTCATAGTCTTAACTCGCGGCTGTTTACAATATAACACTATATAGAAATAGAGATTTAAAAGGTTGTATAACTCAATTTTTTTAACATGCCTTCAACACGATGTGTCGTTCAAGATTGTAGTAATAAGTCTGATAGAAGTACAGGCATTTCATTACATAAAAGCCCAAACGACGAATCTTTGAGAAGAATTTGGGTTAAATTTGTTCAGACGAAGCGCGCAAATTTTAATCCGATTTCGCACGAAATTCTATTTATAATTTGTTCGCATCACTCCTAGGAAGATTGTTTTGAGCGTTTATTCCATTTGGGTGGTATGATTAGACGGCACAAACCTGGTGCCGTACCTACTATTTGGAAGAAATCACAAACACCAACTACGTCAAGAGAGCGACGTTAGCACAAGTTTCAACTCTTATACACTTACATATATTGCAGATGATAAATTTACACAATTTGTGAGAAGCAATAATACATCCAGGCAAACTTCCATTATATAATATACATTTATACTAAGGTTTTAAAGGAAATACAAAATAAAGTGTCTGTATTCAGCATGAGCAAAGAAGAATTAAACCTAGCTGGCTTTGAACATAACGAAGCTGCTATTTGAAGAACAAATTCGTTCAGGCAAACTTCGTTAAAGCCAGGGTGATCCAAAATGCATTTCTTTTCATCGATTTCGTTATGATACATTTTACCACGGCATTGCTCTATTTCCATGCAGCATCGGCACTCTTGGGGGTTGACAACAAGATCCAACGAACAATGGCCACATTCACACCTTTAATATTGGCCAAATTGTATGTTTCCATAAAGTTATCATAGCTAACGGCAGACGATTCAGATCAAAGTAACACACTAAGAATGACATCTTACCATGAAGTAACATCAACACGGGCATCAAAACGATCTTGCAGCATGTCTTCAACCCGCCGTTCTTCTGCAACTGCAGCTTCGTACTCAGCAATTTCATCGGGCGAAGCAAGCGGTTCAATATTATCGGCAGATGGCAAAATTTCCGAATTAGATTCGTCCGAATTTGCCGTCATAAATTGCGATGAAGAAATCGATGCGTTTGTCTCGATCGAAGACTCAGAAAGCGAGCTAGATCTCGATGAATTTGACATTTTTTTGCTCTATTTATGTATTACTTTGTATACTTTCCCATGTGCGCTTCTTGCCGTGTTAAGACTATGACGTCACAGACCTTTGCTGATTGCAAATAATAATATAACGAGGAATGTTCATAACTCCCTCGTTATATTATTATTTTTGCTTACATTTTACGAAAGCAATAATTGATACGTGTTTAAACTATTGAATGCTAAAATCGATGCTTTTTTAACGTTAAGTTTTCGTCATAGAACCACTTTAATAAACACAAATTTACATCAACACGTTAACACAGAACTTCAAAACTGTCTTCTTTAAATTCGTTTTGTAAATCTTTAACAAGTGGTAGTCTGGTAGGAGCCATATTCGAGTACGATACAAATTTTCAACAAAAGCTTATTTTCAACAAATGTTTATGTCTAATAAGTTTGTCTTACACTTTCAGAATATAAGATTTTTCTATCTCCTTTACTATTAGGACTATGCTTTGGTAAAGAAAATGGAAGCAATTAGCAATTTCAGCCATCTTAGTTGTGAAAATGACGCTTTTCACTTGACTAACTGCCATGATGGTAATCACATGTGTAATAAGAGATCCGTGACACAAAAATTTTCAATGGAACGGCTGTTTGTTATGGTCCTTATTTTGTGTCTACTTTGTGTCTAGCATTCAAAAGATAATGTAGGGAGCGTATCTTTATAGATGAGTACATTTTGACAACAAAATTTAAGACAATTTTTATTATCATCATAAGTAAAATATGGCTTTAGTCTTCACATGTGGTGTTTGTCTACTAATAAATCCATTCATCTATAAAGAACGCACCCCACATCGTCTCTTGAATGCTGTTAGCCTGCAGTCAACGGAGTGTAGGCATAAAACAAGGACCACAGCAAAGAGCCGCTACATTGAATGATTTTTGTGTCACGGATATCTTATTACACATGTGATTACCATAATGGCAGTGCGTCAAGTGAAAAGTGCTATTTGTTGACCATTTGTAAACGATGAAATTTCCAACTGCAGCTATTATCTTTGCGAAAGCGAAATCCGTGACAAAATAGTGACAAAATCTTGTGTTCTATAAGTTTCATGTTATGAGAAAATTTGTAAATGTTCAAGATCAATGTTTTTTTGTTGACAATAAATGTTTACCATCATTGTCTAAAAATTTAATTAGCTCAAAGAAATGGCGTCAATCCAATGTTTATTTTAGAGAAATATATTCATATCTTCTGTTATGTCTGGCTAATTTCTTTTGAAAATGACGTGACTTTTAAAAATCTGGCTGGCATAGCAAAATATATTAATACCAGAATACGGTCCTTTCAAATACCTTTGGATTGACGTTAGTGGTTTTAAAGTAAGTTCTTTTATTTATTTACACAAATTGCTTTAACTTTTTTTTTTGCAAGTTAAAATGAACAAATTCACAAAGGAAATATCGATGTATTTGTCTGAAAAGTCAATTTCACATCCCAGTTCTCAATTTCTCCTTTAAGTAGAAAGTACACTACAAACCATCTCATAAGAAAAAGGTCCAACTGATGTTTTCAAGCGATTCAAAGTTTCTGCTGGATCAACTTGCATTTTTACTTGAGATTATTTACAAACGAGAAGGAGTCGTGTGAGTTCAAAGAATGAAAATTGTCACTCATAAAGCCAGCCTTGCACGAAACGCAGAACTGTTATTTGTAGTCATGTGAACTGACTCAAGACTAACAAGGAATAAAATAAAGCTGGACATTATTTTTGCAGTAGAATATATTTTGCAGTGTAGTGAGAAAAAGCCAAAATTTCAGGAGAAAAGCCAAAATTTTTTTCAACAAACTAGGGTAGACGTCTTTAGAAATCGTCTGTCCATTGTTAATGATGTCGCTATACGCGTTTTTGATCAAACATCTCTTCAAAGAAGACTCGTAAATACGACTCTTTGAAAATGAGTGACACGTCACAGACCTCAGGCAAACTAAATAAATATTGAATGTAGAAATTAATTTTGCTTAGCCAATGGGAAGAAAGAGGTTGATGGGTGTGAGAGTACATAAATGAAGTGATATGTTACCAAAAGGTTCAACCATCGCGAAGTCTAGCACTGATTTGTAAGTGAAGAAAACGTTGGGAAAATTAACAAGAGCAATTTAAGATGAATTCACTGCTTCTGTTATCGTTCTTGTTGATATTTTATCCTTTGTCTGTTGATTCAGCATCTTCGTCGAAAGACGAACCTTCATCAGGTATAGGGCTGAAACATTTCCATGGAGAAGTTACAAAGTATAAAACTACACAAAATTTTTGTTCACTTTAAGCATGAATCAATTTTAACAGATTTTTTATACGGAGAAAATAAATTTAGTTATAGAAATTGTCTTTAGGTTTCGTGTGAATCAATGACTTATCTTTTTAGAATAATAATGACCATAATCATTTGTGTTTCTACAATCAAAATACTCATCTACTCCTTTGTTTTGTCTAGTGGAAAAAACACTCAAAGGCATACTTGACAAAATTTACGAACTCGATGTCGAGGTGGGAAAGGGTGAAGAAATTGTGAAATTCTATACAGAAGACTGTGTATTGATTAATCAAGGTGTTCCGGCAATAAATGGCAAAGCAGGTAAGTGAGGCATTTTTCATTTTGAAAACTTGCCTGTACACTCGTAGATGTTGCAAAAGTTTTATTTTGTATTTTCACGATATCGTTTAGAGTTGTTACATCTCTACAAAACCGTTTTTAATAAACCAACAATTGTTAAAAAGATTAACGTTTATATGGACGACGTTTATGACATGGGAGACATTGTTACTCTTAGATACCACGCGACCAACCATTTAGCAGATTGCAGTGTCTTTACGACTACCCGGTGAGAACTTTTAACAGCAAATCTAATTTTTCATTGTTATGATGAATGAACACTTTTAAAGTGAATTTTGACATAACATAGAAAATTTGGCTGTCATCTTATAACAAAGAGCAAAAGCTCACCTTTTGACCTTTGGCGTTCGTGAAAGAGATATTTTTGGAGATGATTAGGATCTTTAAAATGCAAAAACACACCACGGGCAGCCAAATTTAAGCATTTCATTTCCAATTCGATAATGGTAAATAAACTAAATGAATAAATTTCTTGCAGTCTAATCATCGTTTGGAAAAAGATCAAGGGCAAATACTTGATTCACAATCAAGTTTCAAATGAGCGAGAGAACCTCTGTCCTAAATGATTGTTAAGCTCAGCATTGGAGGAAACAAGACACTACATTTATTTGTCTTATTACTAAATTTCTAGATAAAATGAGCTTTGTAGACTTTCAATTTGAATTCCATTTTGAAACATCTTTATTACAAAATGTTCTTGTCTCTATTTAAATTTTACTATAGAATATCTTCATAAGTTATTTATATATAAGAAACACATTATTAGTGAACACTGCAGCCCCTCAGTCAATTGGCAATTGGTGTTTCCCATCTTCTCTAGTAAAAATAAGCTGAATGATCGTTTTTATTAAGTTTCATTCAACATAAACTAAATTTGTTTTGATTTTTTTAAGTCCACGTGTACATGTTTCGGTATAGAAATGCCATCATTAGTGCCATTAAAGATTGATATTTCTTTTACGTTTTACATAAATTTGCTTCCCATAACTAAATGCAAACCATCAAGATCATATTTTATAACACTTAAAAAATAAAACGACAGTACGTTTCAGTTCATTTATAGTTATACTTCTACAACTCTCGACACAAAGAATTATTCATTTGCATGTTTAATTAGAGAATAATCTATGCAACTTTGTTTCGTCATTTCTCTATTTCTCTGTTCTTTGCGTGTTGTGAAGCTGCGTTTTATACATTAAATATGAAATGTACACAGTTCTGTTAGAACAAGCACCATACATTGTTTTTTTTACAACAATCTAAGATCCCTTAAGTTTTCAGGTTCATCAGAAGTCATAGATGAACTATTCTGATAACCTTATAAATGTTTCCTGCTGTGAATATTTTTAACGTTGTTTGTGATAAGCAATGAACACAGCATTGACTCTTTAAATAAAAAGCATACGAATGTTATTGCTGTTTCATATGAATGAATTAAACACAAGACTGCACCCTTAGTCCTTTAACAAACATAAATTTGCATTAACACATTAATACAGAATTTCAAATTGTCTTCTTTAAATTTTTCTGGCAAAGCGAAATTTGCATCGGAAATAGTGATTTTAGTGACTTTAGGAATGTTTTACCTCAGCACACTTTTTATCGCAACTGGTAGTCTGCTGCGTATCAGATGCGTATAATAGCGCATCTTATAGTTGAGTGCAGTTTCTTTTTGAGGTAACATTGTGCATACAACCACCACATGCAAAGCATTAATTTACTTATGATGATAATAAAATGCACAACGAATTTTTCTAAAATATAACAACAGTAGCTTGAAGAAAAGTAATTTTTCCATTGGAAGAGAGCACTGCCTATTAACAATGTTTTTAGGTTTTTCGTTTGATAATTAGAGTATTTTATCTGGGGAAACTACCAGACTAACACACTTCAATCAGCTCACAACATTGGCGTCAACCAAGCGTTCATTTATATTATTATACCAGCCAGATTTCTTTATTGCTTAGAAACAGCAGAATATGGTCCGAAGAAATCAACATAGTCCCTTTAATCAACGTTGGACTGACGTTACTGGTTTTAATGCAATTCCTTTCATTTACATGTTTGTAGATGTAGATCGTCCAGGTTAGTATAGTCCTGAGAAGTACTGTTTTTGTTGTTGTCGACTGACGTTTCGACAACCTTAGCGGTAGACCGGTAGTCTCAACCAGAGACTCTGAAGATGACTACCGCTAAGGTTGTCGAAACGTCAGTCAACAACAATCAGGACTATCTAAGACGATCCATCTAAACTTTACTCCGTTCAAACGATTTACTTCCTTTCATTTATTTACACAAATTGCTTTAAATTTTCCTTTTGCAAGTGAAAATGAACAAATTCACAAAGGAAATATTGATGAATTTATATAGAAATGTTCATGTCAAATTGATCTTTTCAAGCGATCGAAAGGTTATACTGGATCAACTTGGATTTTTACTTAAGATTATTTACAAACGAAAAAGCGTTGTGTGACTTCAAAAGTGCAAATTGTCACTGAAAAGCCAGTCTTGCACGAAATGCAAAACTGTATAATTTTCTTCACGATAAAATTTTCTTTGTTTGTATGTAGGAGAGTCTTGTATCTAAGCATATTTCTATAATTTTGCCATAGTATGATCTGCCATTACTCAAACATGTAGGAATGCCTTTGGGTTTAACTAAAAAGAATTCTTTGGCGAGAAAAACGACAAAGAAATGGCAAAATAATAAAACAAATTAATAAAGAATATTCTCTAACCAAACATGCAAATTGAAAAATGCTTTATGTACTGAAAGACAAGTCATGATTTACAGAAATATAAATTAACCTAATTTTAGTGGAGTTAAGGAGGGGAGAAACACCATTTGCTACTTGACTAAAAGATCGCACCTTAAAATAAGCTATCACTGATACTACGTTTGGTAAGTAACAGATGAATGACTACGTAAAACTTCAAACGGAGACAAGAACATTTTGTAATAAAGATGTTTCAAAATGAAAGTCTACAACGGTTATGGTCTTCAAAGCTCATTTTATCTAGAAATTTAGTAATAAGACAAATAAATGTAGTGTCTTGTTTCCTCCAATGCTGAGTTTAACAATCATTTAGGACACATGTTCTCTCGCTCATTTGAAACTTGATTGTGAATCAAGTATTTGCCCTTGATCTTTTTCCAAACGATGATTAGTCTGCAAGAAATTTATTCATTTAGTTTATTTGCCATCATCGAATTAGAAATGAAATGCTTAAATTTGGCTGCCCATTGTGTGTTTTAGCATTTTAAAGATCCTAATCATCTCCAAAATATCTCTTTCACGAACGCAAAGGTCAAAAGGTGAGCTTTTGCTCTCGGTTATAAGATGACAGCCAAATTTTTATGTTATGTCAAAATTCACTTTAAAATGTGTTCATTCATCATAACAATGAAAAATTGGATTTGCTGTTAAAAGTTCTCACCAGTAGTGTAAGGACACTGCAATCTGCTAAATGGTTGGTCGCGTGGTATCTAAGAGTAACAATGTCTCCCATGTCATATACGTCGTCCATAAAAACGTTAACCTTTTTAATAATTGTTGTTCTATTAAAAACGGTTTTGTAGAGATGTAACAACTCTAAACGATATCGTGAAAATACAAAATAAAACTTTTGCAACGTCTGCAAGTGTGCAGGCAAGTTTTTAAAATGAAAAATGCCTCACTTACCTGCTTTGCCATTTATTGCCGGAACACCTTAATTAATCAATACACAGTTCTCTGTATAGAATTTCACAATTTCTTCACCCTTTCCCACCTCGATACCAAGTGTGTAAATTTTGTCAAGTATGCCTTTGAGTGTTTTTCCACTAGACAAAACAAAGGAGTAGATAAGTATTTTGATTTTAGAAACACAAATGATTAATTCATTATTATTCCTAAAAGATAAGTCATTGATACACGCGAAACACAAATGACAACTTCTATAACTACATTTAATTTCTTTCGATGTTGCTGAATCACAAACCAAAGGATAAAATATCAACAAGAACGATAACAGTAGCGATGTATTCATCTTAAATTGTTCGTGCTAATTTTCCCAACGTTTTCCTCGCAAACTGATCAATGCTAGACCTCGTGATGGTGTGTTGGTTGCAATCAGTGAGCTTTAACGATAATCAAAAAGTATAAGTGTACTTAAATTTTCTCTTTATAGATATAAGGAACAGAATATCAAATCATCCGATTCATACAAGTCCTACAGCAAACAAATCCCAAAGTTCCTGCACAATAGACCAAAGTATGTTGTTTCTCATATTATTCAACGGATGGAATCTGACATTCCAAGTAAAACATCAAGATGGAAACGACAAAACATTTCACTGTCACAAGCTCATCATCCACATATCAAGTTTTTTTGGGATCAAACGACCAAATGCCTTCCTGCCAATGTCTTGATTACAGGAGTAGGAAGATGCATTGTAAACACATCTGTGCTGTTGTTCAACAACCAAATGTTGGGTGGGAATCAATTGGAGAAGTTTTCCAATCATCCCTATTTACTTTAGATCCCCATATAATTCAACCAAAGCCAATATAAGCCCAACTCAGACTGATATCATACACAAGACACTGCCAGGAAACTTTAATGTCCTGATTATGAAAAGCTCATTCTTCTGACTGTTTTCTTACCACAACAGATTATTGCAACTCAATCCAAAATGTTAGAAATAAGTGTGTTCAAAAGTCAAACAAATTCAGGATGAGCTTTACATTTTGGATGATGAAAGTTTTGGACAAAACCCTGGAGATGTTACAAGAGGTAATACAATACACAAGAAAAATCGTTCTGAGGAAAATGGAATTTCATTGAAAAACAAGTCCTTATCTCCAACAAAGAAACAAATTTCAAAGTGTAGGTCACAATCTGCTTTGCAAAACGAAAATGCAAGAGGTGTCCAGGTAAACGAGTGGGAAGAGCAGCTGATTTAAGAAGTGAAAAGATTGAAGTATTTGAAGAAGCTTGAAAAAGAAGAAGCATGAGAAACAAATTACAAGTAATTGAAGAGCAAGTTGCAAAAGATGAAAATGAACAACAATGAGAAAATTGAAAATTCTGAGTGTTGGGATATTCAAGGAATAAAGTTGTCATATGCTCAGAAAGCGTGCTTAAATCTAAATGGATGGCTTTCAGATGACCATATTGATGCAGCACAGAAATTAATAGGTGATCTTGGTACCGAGGGAGGTCTGAACACAGTCTAGTCACATACAGTAAGAAACTCATAAATATTCCTGAAAATATCACCCAAGCAATTCAATGTCATAATATTGGTAACCACTGGGTGGTTTCTACATCCATAACTGGTGAAATAGTAGTCTTTGAATCTATGAGTACCAACCTGAATTCATCATTAAAAAGGCAACTCCAGAATGTTTACAAAAACCTTCAAAAACAGGATGGTTCTTTAAACGTCAAAGTGATTCTCCAACAACATCAAAAAGGATCATCAGATTGTGGTCTTTTTGCTGTGGCAAATGCTGTTGCTTTGGCTAATGGTGTGAACCCTTGTTCTGTTACCTGGCTGCAGGAGAAGATGAGTGCATCTGGTCAAATGCTTTGAAGAACAAAAATCAAGATGTTGAACATTTACAAATTCCATCATAATGCAATATGTTAACCTCTCACTTTCAGAAAACTTCATTTTTACTATCTAACAAATACTTCAAACGGATTTTGCTCTAGTAAATATAATGTACTGCAGTTAGCAATTTCATTGTTCTAAATGTCAAAAATGGCACTTTTACTTGACTAACTGCGATTATGGTAATACATGTGTAATAAGATATCTGTGACACTAGAATTTTCTGTTAGTGGCTCTTTCCTATGGTCCATATTTATGTCTACACTTCGTTGACTGCATGCAAATAGCATTCAAGAGACAATGTAAAATGCTTATCTTTATAGATGAGTGCATTTTAATAGTGGTAACATTGTGCAGACAACCACCACATGCAAAGCATTATTTTACTTGTGATGATAATATAATGCACAACGATTTGTCTAAAATATAAACCAGTTGCCTGAAGAAAAGTAATTTTGCAATGCACTGCTTATTAACATTATGTTTTAAGTTTTCGTTTCATTATTAGAGTATTTCATTTCATTTAACATAACACTACATTATGTATTTATTCATTTATACTTTTACAACTCTCGACACATAAAGCATTTTCACTCGCATGTTTAATGAGAGTATAATCTTTACTACCGTTTGTTTCGCTATTTTCTATTTCTTTGTTCTTTGCGTGTTGTGAAGCTACGTTTTATACATTAAATGTTAAATGTACACAGTTCTGGTAGATCACTTAACCGATCTCTGGAAAAACAACGTAAGCAAACCAAATAAGTGAGTGCAAAATAAACGAGGCAAAATTGTAAATTAAAACACACAGTGTTTGTTACAGCAATCTAGGATCTTGTAAGTTTTCAGGTTTATCAGAAGTCGTAGATTTAGAAACTGTGATAATCGTATAAATGTTTCCTGCTGTGAATATTGTTATCGCTGTTTGTGATAAGCGATGAACACAGCATTGACTCTGTAAACAAAAAGCATACGAATGACAGTACTTGATGTAACACAGCACTGCACCCTTAGTACTTTAAAGTGGTACTATGACGAAAATTTTCCCTCTCGTTTTTTTCATAGATTAATAGTGTATGTAAAGAAATGTCTTCTGGCGAAATTTTGGCGCAATGTATTTCATGCTGCTCGAGTTACGTAGCGATAAAACTTGAACTTTAAGAGCCGCCATTAAAATGCGCCATATTTGAATTGTCATGTAGGAAAGTGCTTGTGACGTCATAGTCTTAACTCGCGGCTGTTTACAATATAACACTATATAGAAATAGAGATTTAAAAGGTTGTATAACTCAATTTTTTTAACATGCCTTCAACACGATGTGTCGTTCAAGATTGTAGTAATAAGTCTGATAGAAGTACAGGCATTTCATTACATAAAAGCCCAAACGACGAATCTTTGAGAAGAATTTGGGTTAAATTTGTTCAGACGAAGCGCGCAAATTTTAATCCGATTTCGCACGAAATTCTATTTATAATTTGTTCGCATCACTCCTAGGAAGATTGTTTTGAGCGTTTATTCCATTTGGGTGGTATGATTAGACGGCACAAACCTGGTGCCGTACCTACTATTTGGAAGAAATCACAAACACCAACTACGTCAAGAGAGCGACGTTAGCACAAGTTTCAACTCTTATACACTTACATATATTGCAGATGATAAATTTACACAATTTGAGAAGCAATAATACATCCAGGCAAACTTCCATTATATAATATACATTTATACTAAGGTTTTAAAGGAAATACAAAATAAAGTGTCTGTATTCAGCATGAGCAAAGAAGAATTAAACCTAGCTGGCTTTGAACATAACGAAGCTGCTATTTGAAGAACAAATTCGTTCAGGCAAACTTCGTTAAAGCCAGGGTGATCCAAAATGCATTTCTTTTCATCGATTTCGTTATGATACATTTTACCACGGCATTGCTCTATTTCCATGCAGCATCGGCACTCTTGGGGGTTGACAACAAGATCCAACGAACAATGGCCACATTCACACCTTTAATATTGGCCAAATTGTATGTTTCCATAAAGTTATCATAGCTAACGGCAGACGATTCAGATCAAAGTAACACACTAAGAATGACATCTTACCATGAAGTAACATCAACACGGGCATCAAAACGATCTTGCAGCATGTCTTCAACCCGCCGTTCTTCTGCAACTGCAGCTTCGTACTCAGCAATTTCATCGGGCGAAGCAAGCGGTTCAATATTATCGGCAGATGGCAAAATTTCCGAATTAGATTCGTCCGAATTTGCCGTCATAAATTGCGATGAAGAAATCGATGCGTTTGTCTCGATCGAAGACTCAGAAAGCGAGCTAGATCTCGATGAATTTGACATTTTTTTGCTCTATTTATGTATTACTTTGTATACTTTCCCATGTGCGCTTCTTGCCGTGTTAAGACTATGACGTCACAGACCTTTGCTGATTGTAATAATATAACGAGGAATGTTCATAACTCCCTCGTTATATTATTATTTTGCTTACATTTACGAAAGCAATAATTGATACGTGTTTAAACTATTGAATGCTAAAATCGATGCTTTTTTAACGTTAAGTTTTCGTCATAGAACCACTTTAATAAACACAAATTTACATCAACACGTTAACACAGAACTTCAAAACTGTCTTCTTTAAATTCGTTTTGTAAATCTTTAACAAGTGGTAGTCTGGTAGGAGCCATATTCGAGTACGATACAAATTTTCAACAAAAGCTTATTTTCAACAAATGTTTATGTCTAATAAGTTTGTCTTACACTTTCAGAATATAAGATTTTTTCTATCTCCTTTACTATTAGGACTATGCTTTGGTAAAGAAAATGGAAGCAATTAGCAATTTCAGCCATCTTAGTTGTGAAAAATGACGCTTTTCACTTGACTAACTGCCATGATGGTAATCACATGTGTAATAAGAGATCCGTGACACAAAAATTTTCAATGGAACGGCTGTTTGTTATGGTCCTTATTTTGTGTCTACTTTGTGTCTAGCATTCAAAAGATAATGTAGGGAGCGTATCTTTATAGATGAGTACATTTTGACAACAAAATTTAAGACAATTTTATTATCATCATAAGTAAAATATGGCTTTAGTCTTCACATGTGGTGTTTGTCTACTAATAAATCCATTCATCTATAAAGAACGCACCCATCGTCTCTTGAATGCTGTTAGCCTGCAGTCAACGGAGTGTAGGCATAAAACAAGGACCACAGCAAAGAGCCGCTACATTGAATGATTTTTGTGTCACGGATATCTTATTACACATGTGATTACCATAATGGCAGTGCGTCAAGTGAAAAGTGCTATTTGTTGACCATTTGTAAACGATGAAATTTCCAACTGCAGCTATTATCTTTGCGAAAGCGAAATCCGTGACAAAATAGTGACAAAATCTTGTGTTCTATAAGTTTCATGTTATGAGAAAATTTGTAAATGTTCAAGATCAATGTTTTTTTGTTGACAATAAATGTTTACCATCATTGTCTAAAAATTTAATTAGCTCAAAGAAATGGCGTCAATCCAATGTTTATTTTAGAGAAATATATTCATATCTTCTGTTATGTCTGGCTAATTTCTTTTGAAAATGACGTGACTTTTAAAAAAATCTGGCTGGCATAGCAAAATATATTAATACCAGAATACGGTCCTTTCAAATACCTTTGGATTGACGTTAGTGGTTTTAAAGTAAGTTCTTTTATTTATTTACACAAATTGCTTTAACTTTTTTTTTTGCAAGTTAAAATGAACAAATTCACAAAGGAAATATCGATGTATTTGTCTGAAAAGTCAATTTCACATCCCAGTTCTCAATTTCTCCTTTAAGTAGAAAGTACACTACAAACCATCTCATAAGAAAAAGGTCCAACTGATGTTTTCAAGCGATTCAAAGTTTCTGCTGGATCAACTTGCATTTTTACTTGAGATTATTTACAAACGAGAAGGAGTCGTGTGAAAGAATGAAAATTGTCACTCATAAAGCCAGCCTTGCACGAAACGCAGAACTGTTATTTGTAGTCATGTGAACTGACTCAAGACTAACAAGGAATAAAATAAAGCTGGACATTATTTTTGCAGTAGAATATATTTTGCAGTGTAGTGAGAAAAAGCCAAAATTTCAGGAGAAAAGCCAAAATTTTTTCAACAAACTAGGGTAGACGTCTTTAGAAATCGTCTGTCCATTGTTAATGATGTCGCTATACGCGTTTTTGATCAAACATCTCTTCAAAGAAGACTCGTAAATACGACTCTTTGAAAATGAGTGACACGTCACAGACCTCAGGCAAACTAAATAAATATTGAATGTAGAAATTAATTTTGCTTAGCCAATGGGAAGAAAGAGGTTGATGGGTGTGAGAGTACATAAATGAAGTGATATGTTACCAAAAGGTTCAACCATCGCGAAGTCTAGCACTGATTTGTAAGTGAAGAAAACGTTGGGAAAATTAACAAGAGCAATTTAAGATGAATTCACTGCTTCTGTTATCGTTCTTGTTGATATTTTATCCTTTGTCTGTTGATTCAGCATCTTCGTCGAAAGACGAACCTTCATCAGGTATAGGGCTGAAACATTTCCATGGAGAAGTTACAAAGTATAAAACTACACAAAATTTTTGTTCACTTTAAGCATGAATCAATTTTAACAGATTTTTATACGGAGAAAATAAATTTAGTTATAGAAATTGTCTTTAGGTTTCGTGTGAATCAATGACTTATCTTTTTAGAATAATAATGACCATAATCATTTGTGTTTCTACAATCAAAATACTCATCTACTCCTTTGTTTTGTCTAGTGGAAAAAACACTCAAAGGCATACTTGACAAAATTTACGAACTCGATGTCGAGGTGGGAAAGGGTGAAGAAATTGTGAAATTCTATACAGAAGACTGTGTATTGATTAATCAAGGTGTTCCGGCAATAAATGGCAAAGCAGGTAAGTGAGGCATTTTTCATTTTGAAAACTTGCCTGTACACTCGTAGATGTTGCAAAAGTTTTATTTTGTATTTTCACGATATCGTTTAGAGTTGTTACATCTCTACAAAACCGTTTTAATAAACCAACAATTGTTAAAAGATTAACGTTTATATGGACGACGTTTATGACATGGGAGACATTGTTACTCTTAGATACCACGCGACCAACCATTTAGCAGATTGCAGTGTCTTTACGACTACTGAGAACTTTTAACAGCAAATCTAATTTTTCATTGTTATGATGAATGAACACTTTTAAAGTGAATTTTGACATAACATAGAAAATTTGGCTGTCATCTTATAACAAAGAGCAAAAGCTCACCTTTTGACCTTTGGCGTTCGTGAAAGAGATATTTTGGAGATGATTAGGATCTTTAAAATGCAAAACACACCACGGGCAGCCAAATTTAAGCATTTCATTTCCAATTCGATAATGGTAAATAAACTAAATGAATAAATTTCTTGCAGTCTAATCATCGTTTGGAAAAAGATCAAGGGCAAATACTTGATTCACAATCAAGTTTCAAATGAGCGAGAGAACCTCTGTCCTAAATGATTGTTAAGCTCAGCATTGGAGGAAACAAGACACTACATTTATTTGTCTTATTACTAAATTTCTAGATAAAATGAGCTTTGTAGACTTTCAATTTGAATTCCATTTTGAAACATCTTTATTACAAAATGTTCTTGTCTCTATTTAAATTTTACTATAGAATATCTTCATAAGTTATTTATATATAAGAAACACATTATTAGTGAACACTGCAGCCCCTCAGTCAATTGGCAATTGGTGTTTCCCATCTTCTCTAGTAAAAATAAGCTGAATGATCGTTTTTATTAAGTTTCATTCAACATAAACTAAATTTGTTTTGATTTTTTTAAGTCCACGTGTACATGTTTCGGTATAGAAATGCCATCATTAGTGCCATTAAAGATTGATATTTCTTTTACGTTTTACATAAATTTGCTTCCCATAACTAAATGCAAACCATCAAGATCATATTTTATAACACTTAAAAAATAAAACGACAGTACGTTTCAGTTCATTTATAGTTATACTTCTACAACTCTCGACACAAAGAATTATTCATTTGCATGTTTAATTAGAGAATAATCTATGCAACTTTGTTTCGTCATTTCTCTATTTCTCTGTTCTTTGCGTGTTGTGAAGCTGCGTTTTATACATTAAATATGAAATGTACACAGTTCTGTTAGAACAAGCACCATACATTGTTTTTTTTACAACAATCTAAGATCCCTTAAGTTTTCAGGTTCATCAGAAGTCATAGATGAACTATTCTGATAACCTTATAAATGTTTCCTGCTGTGAATATTTTTAACGTTGTTTGTGATAAGCAATGAACACAGCATTGACTCTTTAAATAAAAGCATACGAATGTTATTGCTGTTTCATATGAATGAATTAAACACAAGACTGCACCCTTAGTCCTTTAACAAACATAAATTTGCATTAACACATTAATACAGAATTTCAAATTGTCTTCTTTAAATTTTTCTGGCAAAGCGAAATTTGCATCGGAAATAGTGATTTTAGTGACTTTAGGAATGTTTTACCTCAGCACACTTTTTATCGCAACTGGTAGTCTGATGCGTATCAGATGCGTATAAGCGCATCTTATAGTTGAGTGCTTTTAGGTAACATTGTGCATACAACCACCACATGCAAAGCATTAATTTACTTATGATGATAATAAAATGCACAACGAATTTTTCTAAAATATAACAACAGTAGCTTGAAGAAAAGTAATTTTTCCATTGGAAGAGAGCACTGCCTATTAACAATGTTTTTAGGTTTTTCGTTTGATAATTAGAGTATTTTATCTGGGGAAACTACCAGACTAACACACTTCAATCAGCTCACAACATTGGCGTCAACCAAGCGTTCATTTATATTATTATGCCAGCCAGATTTCTTTATTGCTTAGAAACAGCAGAATGTGGTCCGAAGAAATCAACATAGTCCCTTTAATCAACGTTGGACTGACGTTACTGGTTTTAATGCAATTCCTTTCATTTACATGTTTGTAGATGTAGATCGTCCAGGTTAGTATACTCCTGAGGACTGTTTTTGTTGTTGTCGACTGACGTTTCGACAACCTTAGCGGTAGACCGGTAGTCTCAACCAGAGACTCTGAAGATGACTACCGCTAAGGGTTGAAACGTCAGTCGACAACAACAAAACAGTCCTCAGGATATACTAACCTGGACGATCTACATCTACAAACATGTAAATGAAAGGAATTGCATTAAAAAGTAACGTCAGTTGTTGTGACGACTTACTTCCGTTCAAACGACTTACTTCCTTTCATTTATTTACACAAATTGCTTTAAATTTTCTTTTTGCAAGTGAAAATGAACAAATTCACAAAGGAAATATTGATGAATTTATATAGAAATGTTCATGTCAAATTGATCTTTTCAAGCGATCGAAAGGTTATACTGGATCAACTTGGATTTTTACTTAAGATTATTTACAAACGAAAAAGCGTTGTGTGACTTCAAAAAGTGCAAATTGTCACTGAAAAGCCAGTCTTGCACGAAATGCAAAAACTGTATAATTTTCTTCACGATAAAATTTTCTTTGTTTGTATGTAGGAGAGAGTCTTGTATCTAAGCATATTTCCATAAAATTTGCCATAGTATATGATCTGCCATTACTCAAACATGTAGGAATGCCTTTGGGTTTAACTAAAAAGAATTCTTTGGCGAGAAAAACGACAAAGAAATAGCAAAATAATGAAACAAATTAATAAAGAATATTCTCTAACCAAACATGCAAATTGAAAAATGCTTTATGTACTGAAAGACAAGTGATGATTTACAGAAATATAAATTAAACCCAATTCTAGGAGTTAAGGAAGGGGGAGAGGGTAGAGGTACCATTTGCTACTTGACTAAAAGATCGCACCTTAATAAAAGCTATCACTGATACTATGTTTGGTAAGTAACAGATGAATGACTACGTAAAACTTTAGACGGAGACAAGAAAATTTTGTAATAAATATGTTTCAAAATGAAAGTCTACAACGGTTATGGTCTTCAAAGCTCATTTTATCTAGAAATTTAGTAATAAGACAAATAAAAGTAGTGTCTTGTTTCCTCCAATGCTGAGTTTAACAATCATTTAGGACACATGTTCTCTCGCTCATTTGAAACTTGATTGTGAATCAAGTATTTGCCCTTGATCTTTTTCCAAACGATGATTAGTCTGCAAGAAATTTATTCATTTAGTTTATTTGCCATCATCGATTTAGAAATGAAATGCTTAAATTTGGCTGCCCATTGCGTGTTTTAGCATTGTAAAGATCTAATCATCTCCAAAAATATCTCTTTCACGAACGCAAAAGGTCAAAAGGTGAGCTTTTGCTCTCGGTTATAAGATGACAGCCAAATTTTTTATGTTATGTCAAAATTCACTTTAAAATGAGTTCATTCATCATAACAATGAAAAATTGGATTTGCTGTTAAAAGTTCTCACCGAGTAGTGTAAAGGGCACTGCAATCTGCTATATGGTTGGTCGCGTGGTATCTAAGAGTAACAATGTCTCCCATGTCATAAACGTCGTCCATAAAAACGTTAACCTTTTTAATAATTGTTGTTCTATTAAAAACGGTTTTGTAGAGATGTAACAACTCTAAACGATATCGTGAAAATACAAAATAAAACTTTTGCAACGTCTGCAAGTGTGCAGGCAAGTTTTTACAATGAAAAATGCCTCACTTACCTGCTTTGCCATTTATTGCCGGAACACCTTGATTAATCAATACACAGTTCTCTGTATAGAATTTCACAATTTCTTCACCCTTTCCCACCTCCATACCAAGTGTGTAAATTTTGTCAAGTATGCCTTTGAGTGTTTTTTCCACTAGACAAAACAAAGAGTACGATAAGTATTTTGATTTCCAAAACACCAACGACTAATTCCATGATTATTCCTAAAAGATAAGTCATTGATACACGCGAAACACAAATGACAACTTCTATAACTACATTTAATTTCTTTCGATGTTGCCGAATCACAAACCAAAGGATAAAATATCAACAAGAACGATGCCAGTAGCGGTGTATTCATCTTAAATTGTTCGTGTTAATTTTCCCAACGTTTTCCTCGCAAACTGATCAATGCTAGACCTCGTGATGGTGTGTACCTTCTGGTAACATATCACTTCATTTATGAACTCAGACACCCATCAACATCTTCTTTCCTTCCATTGGCTAAACCAACATTAAATTATGTATTAAATATTCATGTAGAGTATAGCTATCACTTTAAAAATATTTTGTTTCCTCTACAATCTCCCAACATTTAACAGTTTTCCCCCAAAACTTTCCCCTTTCACCTACAAATAATTAATTCTCCCAACTTTAGAGCAATTCGCCTACGTGTGGCAGCACTGATTGTTAATTTTGTGTTTGATGTTTTTTGCACAAATTCATTTCATATTTCATAAGTATTATTTTAGCATCAGTCATTTCCCCTACATTCATCTACAACCTTCTTTGTCTCCTTGTCGGTTTTTTATTTGAAATTTATTTCCGTTTGTAGCAACTGCCACTTGTAAACTTAGCAGACAGTTTTAAAGTGCCTATATCACCTCTGGATTTTGATGGTTTTGAAAAAGCATAAAAAGTTACTTAATAAGTTTCAAAACATATTTTGATTTTTTAATAGTTTTGAAAATTAAAGCTTTAAGATGGAAAATAGTAAAGATTTCTGTCGTGTTAGGGGACTGGGCTCAGGAACGCATCTTGTCATTTACAATAAATTTCAATTCCGGTAACTAATTGGGAAAATTGCATTTTCTTACAAAATGATCGCTATTTAGAGCTCAAAATCTCTTTCTACCTTTAAAGGTGCTTGTACGTTGTCAGGCACTCAAGTTGTAAATTTAGGACTTGTGAATACACTTTGGTATCTCATTACAGCAGCGATATTCTCTTGCATCAACCAAGAATTTGTTATTGCAATTCAAACATGTGCACCAGAAACCAGTAGTCTTGATGTTTAGTTATTGTTTAGTTATTATTGTTTAATTATTGCAGTAATGTTGATGTCGTTTCAAATGTTTCATCTTCCTTTTCATAATCAGGACAACCGTACGAACCCTCGTTAAAGCTAGAAACCGATTCTAAACTTGGCATAGCGACTGATACGTAAAAAATGCAATTTTCCCAACTAGTTACTGGGAATTGTAATTCATTTTATAGTAAATGACAAAGGACGCGTTCCTGAGTCCCAGTCCCCCAAGACGATGGAAATTTTTTGAAACAAGCCGAAATTGCAATCTTTAAAGCTCAATTTTTCAAAAACTATTCAAGTAAATAAAAAATGTTTTGAAACTTATTTACTAACTTTTTATGCTTTATTCAAAGTCATAAAAATCCTTTAGGGAATATAGGCACTTTATAGCTCATAACACAGAATATGTAACTAACCAGGAGGGTCACTCCTTTGACGTTTTTGATCACGCCGACAATTGCCGGAAGTGCGCGTTGCCATGTTCTTGGGTAGTAAAGTGAGAGAATTTTACTATAAACAATATGGCGAAAATTGGATTGTCGAGTTTAAAAATGCTTTTTATGTAGTTTAACTGGACAATCTTTTACACTTTTACGATTATATTAAAAGAAGGAAATATACGCTTTTTTCGTCGACTTTTTTGACGTTAAAATCTAATTTTACAATAGAATTTGTCTGCGATTTTTTGGGAGTATTATTATTATTATATTATATTATTATTACTCGCTTATTCGGCGGCTTCGACTCGTAGGTTTTAGTTTATCTTTGTTGTTTTAGCAATTCGTCTAAAGTATTCCGTGGACATAATATATAGTACTTGTATGTATACAATGTATAATCAATAATGCTAAATACTTAATTGCTTGTATGTGATATATACTCTGAAAACAGGGCTAGTTATTTTATTGTTCCATAAGCCCAATTCAATCATGTCTACGCGTAAGTATGAGTAATCAGCCCAATTATAAACTGTACATGAACTTATATTTGCTATTTTGTATGTCCTAGTGGTAGTTTATTTGAAGCGTTCAAACACCAAAAATAATCTCCAAAACAATGGAGCCTAGTTAAAATCATTTCCATAGTACCTTTTAAATACATGACAAGTCATAACATATTTGTAACTGCTTAGGACATCGTGGTAAAGATAAACTAAAACATTTAAAATAGACGACAAATATCATTATAGCAAACATGTTTCGGCGTACTTTGTGCCATCTTCAGTGCGAAGTGAGTCAATATACGAAGTTTACATGATAATATGTTACAGTGATAAAGCGGAAATATCGAATAGTTATGAATAATTATTTACAGTTGAATAAGGTGTTATAGAATGTTTGTGTTAGGTTTTATCAAAGAAAAAAAAATCACAAAGAAAATGAATAATATCTGATAAAGTAATAATTGCTATTTACAGGTCAAAGATAGTGTTAAAAATTTTAAATACAACATTGGGGAGACCACCCGCCACCTTTCCACACGGATTAAAGAACACACAACCACGGACAAAAACTCACACATTTTCAGACACTTACTCTCGTCACCACACTGCAAAAACAATTACACAATCCTGTTTCCGTATCTTAGATACCGCTCACACTTCTTTCGCCCTTAAACTCAAAGAAGCCCTTTATATCAAGAAACGTAAACCTAACCTCAACAAACAAATACAACATCTTAACACTATCTATATATTCTGTGACCACAATAAAGCCGCTTACAGACGAGCAAATATTTTTTGACAAATTTTTATGTGGCAAATGTCATTTGCCCGTCTGTATGGGACTTTTTAGCAAAGTTTCCTTTGACAAATGCATTTGTTCAAAAGCTAGCATGTCAGCTTTTGAACAAATGCATTTGTCATAGAAAATTTGCCACATGACTAATTTTGTTCGTCTGTAAGGTCTACAAAGATATTATGACAATTTAACCACATCTGATATGTTGATACGTACAGGCAATCAAAGAAAATTTGCCTCATAAAATATTGTCGTAAAACGTTTTTTGCCCGTACACACGGGCTAACGAGTATTTTTAATAGAAAATTTGTTCGTCTGTAAGGTGCTTAATTATTACTCAAGTTAATTTTGTGTTGATGTTTGTTGGACTTTACCTCATTTCCCCTACATTTAGCTATAAGACTCTTTGTCTCCTGGTCAAGGGACACTCTTTTGAAATGGGGGCGTTAACTTACATCAAAAGTCGGCGTCACCAACAACTTCAAAGGAATGTTCCTTCAGGTTTGTTACAAATTCTGTGACCTTATAGACGTAAATAAAGAGTAAATAATAACAAATACGATCCTTTCAGCGTATTTCTATTAGAGTAAAGGAAGGAGGGAGGGGGTGTACCGATTGCTAATTTACTGCGGGGGCCCAATAAACGTTTATCTCGCACTCTGTTCACAGCGCTGTGGTGAAGATAATGTGAAGCAGAATAAATGTATTTTTCTTTCGAGTTATTACCATAACTAATCATATTAATGTGGATTTAACAGTACATCAATAGACAATGAATTTGAACATATGAATGACAAGCACGGGTAATGCCTTGAAATGCTTGCACCCTACGAAGCCTTTCCGTTCAAGAATTCAATATAGGTTAAGCTTGGGTTATCGCAACACAATCGTATCCCAAGATTAACGGAACCTCACAAATAATTACGTATGCATTTATATGATAACTGCTTTAAATAATTGAGTCTAAAATACAGCTATTTGTTCCGCCAGGATAATTTAGTTAGACGCTAGTATCATTTTTTGCTACTAATAGAAATTATAAGATGATTAAATTTTTATGGCTGTTATTAATCAGTTAGCGTCGCTTTGACTTTACAAGGCCTTTTCGTAAGAGATTTAAAAAGAAAATCAATGTATACATTAAACAAGAGCTTCTAAATATTTTTGTTCTACATGCTGCCGAGCGTCGGCGAGGCAGCACACTATTCCTGACACTTATTTTACTAGATTTAGTCTTTTTACGCGACCAATGTACTGGTCAACATTTGCATATGGCGTCCGTCCGATCGAATTTAAAGTGAGGTCGACCTCAGTTAAAGGAGTCAAATTTAATTGTTTCATATGTCAAATTCCGCATGCACTTAATCCAAACTATTTTATTCCACACATGCAAAATACGACGTTTGAAACAGGCCTTAATCTGTAACTTTCATTTGACGAACGAACAGAAAGAACATTTGCGAAGAATACCTAATACTAGCTGTAGCATAGTTATTTTTGTTTCAACTGTCTGTATGTTTCATCTTCAACAATGTACAAATGTTCACTTTCAATGTCAGATCAATATCAAATTTCAGGAACATTCTTTTCAAAATGTAAGAACTTAAGATTCCGATATAACGAAAGCTATGAAATTCATTTGCTATTTAATCTGCCGTTTCACCTTAGCACGAAGAATGAAACTGATATACTGGCCCTACAATTCGTGATCGATGAATGAATTGAATGTTTCGAATTTACATCTTCATTTCCCATGCATCTTCTTAACCTATCACATTGAACGAGCGCGTCCGGTTCCCGTCTTACGTCTGCAAACTACCCATTTCCTCGATCATTAAGGAAAAATGTTCCCTCATTTAATAGAGCCTTATCGTCGGCGTATGTGGTATTTAACTTAAGAGTTATTGGGTAAACAATCATAACCTACGTATGTAACGTACCTGACATGACCAACAGTGTGATTTCCCATGCATTATAGACAGTGCTGGTGCAATATTTCTTAAAGCATTTTAATTTTCTTCCGATGTAACACGTAGAGCCCACGGCCAATATTTGCATATAATATCTTCCCACATATATTTAACTTTGTGTGGTTGTAAAAAATTCATATGCAAGTAGTGAGCATAGCCATAAATTTCTCCTCTGAACATGTTCAAAGTAGCTTGAGCAATCGAGTGCCTGCATCCAGCAACTTCAAGTCCAGTCTCGTCTTGGTTTTCTTTGATTTGAGACCATTTTGCAGCTTTCAATGGGTGTCGCCACAAGAATTATCTTCATTCTATAAAAAATGCTTTAACCTAATAATAGATTGCTACCTTTCAATCCTATTTCATAACACATTACCTGAATCGACTTTGAACCAAGACTTTTTAAATGAGAGTCCACAAAACTATTGTTTGCAATCAATACATCACGTTAATAACACTGGACTGGACCCCTGTGGTAAAAGTAAGTTATCAATTTAGAACACAAGCACTCATAAACCCAACAATGTAGGTAAAGAATCAAACATGAGCAGTAGGTCTTGTTCTTGGATTTGTTAAAATTGGTGTTGTAAAAAATTCATATGCAAGTAGTGAGCATAGCCATAAATTTCTCCTCTGAACATGTTCAAAGTAGCTTGAGCAATCGAGTGCCTGCATCCAGCAACTTCAAGTCCAGTCTTGTTTTGGTTTTTCTTTGATTTGGAGACCATTTTTGCAGCTTTCCAATGGGTGTCGCCACAAGAATTGTCTTCATTCTATAAAAAATGCTTTAACCTAATAATAGATTGCTACCTTTCAATCCTATTTCATAACACATTACCTGAATCGACTTTGAACCAAGACTTTTTAAATGAGAGTCCACAAAACTATTGTTTGCAATCAATACATCACGTTAATAACACTGGACTGGACCCCTGTGGTAAAAGTAAGTTATCAATTTAGAACACAAGCACTCATAAACCCAACAATGTAGGTAAAGAATCAAACATGAGCAGTAGGTCTTGTTCTTGGATTTGTTAAAATTGGTTCAATTTATTAAAACATAAAAATATCTGAATTGTTTACAAAGGGTAATTCTATTTTTGCAAGTTTGAGAATTCGCCATCCAAAATCACAAACCTTGGTACTTTGCTGAATCTGTACACTTTTTGATTTCCATCAACATGACATGAATGTTGATCAATACTAGAAGGAGGGCAATTTTTCCATGTCTGCTCATGAAGAAGGTCAATTTCATGTTGGCAATAGCTCCATTCAGCAAACGATTTTCTGAATGTGACTGGATTGATAACATTTTCCTAGTGAAACCAGTTCCACATAAAACATAGCACAATTATACACTATTTGTTGATTATGCAAAACCCCACTGTACTATAATATAGTTCTCATACTTCAAACATACACATTATATGAAGCCTACAAAAATTGACATGTGCTTGTTACAAATTTTAAACAAATTTTCCTTGACTTTCCAGAATTTACCAAAATTCACAGAAAGAAATGATCATCAAGGATTATTTTGAAACCAAGATTTATGTCTTGTAGCTTTTGGTTTGCGAGACAAAAAATATACACAAAGATATGTAGATAGCATGAACAATAATCACCCTTCCTCTAGAGCTGGAAATATCTTCCAAACTTCTTACAAAAGCAGATTGTGATGACCCAGGCATCCTCTTTCTAAATGCATCCCACAAATTAAAGACATCTTGACTAAATATGTAATGAAAATTTTCAGGGCTACCAGGCCACCAGCCATTCTCAATTATACTGTCAACAGAAATTGGTGACCACTTCCATTGACAAGATGAGAAATGTACAGTGAACCAATTAAGATCGAATCGTCCTGTTGAAGACAAAATATAATCAAAAATAACCAGTACAGTGCTGAAAATATGCACTTCAAAGAAATCAAATCCTGGGGTTTCATAAGAAGCCAACAACTTCATCAATGACTTGAAGTTTTTAGTTTCAATCTAAAGTTTATAAATTAGAGTACAATCCAACCTGCTGCCTATGTACTTTTCTAAATGTGACTAACATAATGAGCCCCTAACAAATTTGATTTTAATAAGATGCATTATATGTACATCCATATAACAAAAATTGTTATTTGGACTCTGTAAAAAATTGCATAAGGACACTTTCACCTTCACAAGTGATCATAATCACAAGAGAGCTGTTGGTAGTTTTGATGATAGGTTCATTACACAACTGACATGATGATGGGTAAAGGATGGGGCATGATCGATCTACAAAGATAACAGCATCATCACAGAAAAACATTTCTCTCACATCGAGCACAACAAAAAAAAATGAATATTTATATAAAATTCAATAGTATGTACATTATACTTACCAATGCTGCAAATCATTCCATCAGATGAAATGGATTGTGTTGGCTTGATATATTGAAAATAACCATCCAACCACACCTCTCGATCATGGAGAGGATTATTCTCATGGACATCATCATCGCATTCTCGACAAATATATCTCAACACACCACATTGTCTGCATCTCAGTACAGCTTCATTTTCATTGCATCTACAACACTTCATAGCAGGTAAAGGAGGAGCAAATGATGACACAGTGACATCGAATATTTTTTCCCTCATACTTTCCCAATTTTCTTCTCGATTTTCCATTCTTTATTGCCAAGCAGATGGCCCAGTATCCACTTTTCCAATAACCAACTGACAGCTTTCAAGAATAGCTTCAAGATCTAAAATGAAAACATAAAGCTGTTTCCTTTTCTACTTTTTTTTTTCCAAAATATGACACAATTATAAAAAGTTTTGCTTCTGTTATGTAAAGTTGAGATGTAAGAAGTGCTATCAATAACCTCTTTCAGTAACACTGTCCTCACATAACATTTCCTGTGGAACATCATGTAAATCTGACGATGTTGTAGGCATTTCCTCATCTATGATAGTAATAACAACAAGTAACATAAAAATGTAACATACAAGTTACACAAAAATCTTAAATGCTGCTATTTCTTTGATAAAAGTATTATTTCCCCAGCACACACCTCTTTGTGTATTTCTATTGCTCGAAGTGCTTTGCCTCGGCTTATGAATAATCCGTTCGCCATCTTCGTTTCTCTGAAGAACTATATCTCTACTGGCATTTTTCTTCTTAATAGTTTTACTTCTACTTCGAACACCTTGATTTGTAATAGCATTAACATTGCTTATTGCAGACAGCAGCTGCTCATCAATCGTTGGTTTACTCGGCCTACTGCGTTTATGAGACATGTGTTTGCATAAATAAGAGGTGAAACCCCGATGTGTTTAATATTTCATAAAAATACTGATACAGGGTACTGTAAAATATCTTCGCCCCTATAACAAAACAAAATGGCGCGCGCTAAATTTTTTGGTTTTTTCATTTCGGTAACTGGCAAAGGAGCCACTCGTGACACCAGGCCTATTGTTTGAATGGACGTTTCAAATTGACTTATACAGTCAATTTGAGGGTATTTTCACAATTAGCGTATTAAGTTAATTTAAGGAAGATACTGGGTTGTATTTTTTATACTTGTGATCAGTATGTTGTCGTATGTCAATCCTACGTACTTGTATGTACTCGTGTGGTGTTTTAGCCACGATCTGATTTTTTTACTCGCGCGCTTCCAGTCCCCTTCTTAGGTCTGGAAATACGCATTCCCCGGTCATAAAGATAAAACGATCGATTCCAGGAGAAAGTCTAAGCATACTTCTATAGTCGTGCCATAGTATGATCTGCCATTACTCAAAGATGTAGGAATGCCTTTGGCTTTATTTAGTTGGAGTTCTCTGGCGATAAAAACAACAGAAATAGCGAAATAGTAAAACAAATTAATATAGATTATTCTATAACCAAACACGTAAATTGAAAAATACTTTATGTAATGAAACACAAGTCGTGATTTTCAGAAATATAAATTAAACCCAGTTCTAGTGGAGTTAAGGAGGGGGAGAGGGGAGGGGCACCATTTGCTACTTGACTAAAGGGAGGCACCTTAAAATAAGCAATCACTGTAACTGCGTTTGTTATATAACAGTTGAATGACTACGAAAAACTTTATTTAAACGGAGACAAGAAAATTTTGTAATAAAGATGTTTTAAAATGAAAGTCTACAACGGTTATGGTCTACAAAGCTCATTTTATCTAGAAAATCAGGCTACATAATATGACAAATAAATGTAGTGTCTTGTTTCCTCCAATGTTTAGTTCAACAATCATGACGTCGACGGACAGAGGCTCTCTCGATAATTTGAAACAAGATTGTGAATCAAGTATTTGCCCTTGATCTTCAACCAAACCATGTTTAATCTGCAAGAAATTTATTCATTTAGTTTATTTGCCATCATCGAATTGGAAATGAAATGCTTAAATTTGGCTGCCCGTTGTGTGTTTTTGCATTTTAAAGATCTAATCATCTCCAAAATATCTATTTCACGAACGCAAAAGGTCAAAAGGTGAGCTTTTGCTCTCGGTTATAGATGACAGCCAAATTTTTTTATGTTATGTCAAAATTCACTTTAAAATGTGTTCATTCATCATAAGAATGAAAATTAAGATTTGCTGTTAAAAGTTCTCACCGGGTAGTGAAAAGGAGACTGCAATCTGCTGCATGCGCCGTCACGTGGTATAGAAGAACCACAAGGTCTCCCTTGTCATAAATTTTGTCCATAAAAACGTTCATCTTTTTAACAGTTGTCGAATTCTCGCTTCGGTAGTGATCTACCACCTCTAAACGATTTCGTGAAAATACAAAATGAAACTTTTGCAAAATCTGCGAGTGTTCAGGCAAGTTTTTTAAAATGAAAAATGCCTCGCTTACCTCTTCTGCCAATTAATGGTGGTACACCTTGATTAATTATTATACAGTTTTCAGTATAGTATGGCCCCACTTCATAGCTCTTTCCCTCTAGAGCGAGTGTGTAAATTTTGTCAAGTATGTCTTTGAGTGTTTTTTCCACTAGACAAAACAAAGAGTACGATAAGTATTTTCATTTTCAAAACACCAACGACTAATTCCATGACTATTCCTAAAAGATAAGTCATCGATACACGCGAAACACAAATGACAACTTCTATAACTACATTTAATTTCTTTCGATGTTGCTGAATCAACAACCAAAGGATAAAACATCAACAAGAACGATGCCAGTAGCGGTGTATTCATCTCAAATTGTTGGTGTTAGTTTTCCCAACGTTTTCCTCGCGAACTGATCAGTGCTAGACTTCTTGATGGTGTGAACCTTCTGGTAACATATCACTTCATTTATGTACTCTCACACCCATCAACATCTTCTTTCCTCCCATTGGCTAAACCAAAATGAAATTATGTATTCAATTTCATGTAGTTTGCGTGCAGTGTTTCTGTCGTTCTTCTTTGTTTTCAAAGAGTCTTCCTTACTATACAATGAACAGGCGATTTCTTAAGAGGACTCTTGTAGATAACCTGAGGTTATGAAGAAATTTTGACTTATCTTTTATTCTAAAAACATGCATTCAACAGTGTGAACATACATTTCTTAGAACTTTTGGAATCGTTTATTTAAGTCAATGGAAAATGATTAGAGTCAATTTAAAAACCACATTTGTATTTATCCATTGTGAAAAACATACTTGTACTATGCAAATGATTGTTATACTTCCTTTAATGATTCTCGATTGACGTAAGTAACTATTCAGCAGTTTTAACGGTTGTTGTATGTCTATTTTTAGAGCAATTCAATACTTATGTAACGAACGTGCAAAATTTGTAAATGAATGTGTGTTTCGTTTAAATGCGCGTCGCTTAGTCAAATTGAAGATATTTCAGTTCTTTTGATTGCGTCTACACTTAAATGGGAGAAAATTTTGCCTTAATGACCGGGGAAATGGGTAGTTTCCAGACCTAAGACGGGAACCGGACGCGCTCGTGTAATTCGCCTACGTGTAACAGCACTGTGAGTAAAGTGAGTAAATGAACATGGTGGCGCTTACTTACGGCAATTGTGTGCCTGACAAAAAACTTCAAAGGAGTATCCCTTGACTAGGAGACAAAGAATCTTATAGCTAAATGTGGGGAAATGAGTTAAAGCCCAAAAAACATCAAACACAAAATTAACATCGAATAATTATTATGGTGCTATAAATCTGTCTGCCAAGTTTTCAAGGGGCAGAACCCACAAACGGAATTTTTGTCTACATGTAATGACACATTAATTAAAAGTACGTTTGTCCATCATGCGGTCAGTGAAGTATTCGTGCCGTTAAGCGCCGAGTATCCCTTGACTAGGAGATAAAGAATCTTTTAGCTAAATGTAGGGGAAATGAGTTCAAGCCTAAAAAACATCAAACACAAAGTTAACATTGAATAATTATTGTGGTGCTATAAAGTGCCTATATCACCTTTAGAATTTTTATGAATAGAGCATAAAAAGTTAGTAAATAAGTTTCAAAACTTTATTTTATTTGCTTGAATAGTTTTTGAAAAATCAAGCTTTAAAGATTGCAATTTCGGCTAGTTTCAAAAAACTCAATCGTTTTGGGGGGACTGGGACTCAGGAACGCGTCCTTTGTCATTTACTACAAAAAGAATTACAATTCCCGGTAACTAGTTGGGAAAATTGCATTTTTTTACGTATCAGTCGTTATGCCAAGTTCAGAATCGGTTTCTAGCTTTAGGGTTCGTGCGGTTGTCCTGATTATGAAAAGGAAGATTAAACATTTGAAACGACATCAACATTACTGCAATAACTAAACAACAATAACTAAACATCAAGACTACTGGTTTCTGGTGCACATGTTTGAATTGCAATAACAAATTCTTGGTTGATGCAAGAGAATATCGCTGCTGTAATGAGATACCAAAGTGCATTCAACAAGTAGTCCTAAAATTGCAACTTGAGTGCGTGACGTACGAGCGTATGCGCAAACAATAACCTAATTTTCCTGACAACATTTTGATGTCGTTTCAAATGTTTCATTTTCTATTTCACATTCAGGACAAACGTACGAGCCCTTGTTAAAGCTAGAAAGAGATTTTGAGCTCTAAATAGCGATCATTTTGCAAGAAAATGCAATTTTCCCAATTAGTTACCGGAATTAAAATTCATTGTAAATGACAAGATGCGTTCCTGAGCCCAGTCCCCTAACACGACAGAAATCTTTTGAAACTTATTAAGTAACTTTTTATGCTTTTTCAAAACCAGAGGTGATATAGGCACTTTAAATCTGTCTGCCAAGTTTATAAGTGGCAGTAGCCACAAACGGAAATAAAATCCAAACAAAGGACTGACAAGGAGAGACAAAGAAGGTTGTAGATGAGTATAGGAGAAATGACTGAGGCTAAAAAATAGTTATAGTGGAAATGAATTTGTCCAAAAAACATCAAACACAAAATTAACAATCAGTGCTGTTACACGTAGGCGAATTACACGAGCGCGTCCGGTTCCCGTCTTAGGTCTGGAAACTACCCATTTCCCCGGTCATTAAGGCAAAATTTTCTCCCATTTAAGTGTAGACGCAATCAAAAGAACTGAAATATCTTCAATTTGACTAAGCGACGCGCATTTAAACGAAACACATAATCATTTACAAATTTTGCATGTTCGTTACATAAGTATTGAATTGCTCTAAAAATAAACATACAACAACCGTTAAAACTGCTGAATAGTTACTTACGTCAATCGAGAATCATTAAAGGAAATATAACAATCATTTGCATAGTTACAAGTATGTTTTTTACAATGGATAAATACAAATGGCTCTAATCATTCTCCATTGACTTAAATAAACGATTCAAAGATCTAACAAATGTGTGTTCACACTATTGAATGCATGTTTTTAGAATAAAAGATAAGTCAAAATTTATCTACAAGAGTCCTCTTAAGAAATCGCCTGTTCATTGTATAGTAAAGAAGACTCTTTGAGAACAAAGAACGACACAAACACTGCATGCAAACTACATGAAATTGAATACATAATTTCATTTTGGTTTAGCTAATGAGAGGAAAGAAGATGTTGTGGCTGTAAGAGTACATGAATGAAGTGATATGTTACCAAAAGGTACACACCATCAAGAAGTCTAGCACTGATTAGAAAGTGAAAAAAACGTTAGGAAAACTAACACGAACAATTCGAAATGAATACACTGCTACTGGCATCGTTCTTGTTGATATTTTATCCTTTAGTTGTTGATTCATCAACTTGGTTTAGTGATAAATCTTCATCAGGTATCGTTGAAGTTACAAAGTACAAAATTGCACAAAATTTTTGTTCACTTGAAGCATGATCAATTTAAACAGATTTTTATATGGAGAAATTAAATTTAGTAATAGAAGTTGTCTTTAGGTTTGGTGTAAATCAACGACTTATTTTTTGGAATAATGAAGGAATTAAACGTTTGTGTTTTTAAAGACAAAATACTCATCGTGCTCTTCTTTTGCATAGTGAAGGGCAAACTCAAAAGAATACTTGACAAAAATTACGCTTTCCTCCTTGCTGGAGAGCCTCAAAAGGCGTTGAAATTCTACACTAGTGACTGCGTATTGATTGGGCAAGGTGCAGCGCCAATTGTAGGCAAAGCGAGTAAATGAGACATTTTTTATTTCTAATCAGGTTCAATGAGATGACAAACGGACTCACAAAGGGCTTTGATGTTTTACTGCTTGGATTGTTCAGTTATTTCGAGTGATTATTTCCACCCTTACTTGATCACCATGGAAACAAAGAGAACGGTTTGAATAACAATGTCACCATTCAAATTAGTTCACAGTCGACCTACGGGACAGCGTGCGTTTACTGTAATCATTGCAAATTCAGGAAAATCAACTTTTTAAGAATGATTTCTATTGAGAAAAAATATGAAACAAAACTAAAAACCAGATTCGGTATACTATATGCGGTGAAACAAGTTAAAATTCACAAATTAATTCGACTCACTTTAAAAGCAAAATGAACAGCTTGGCATCACTGCTTGTTATTTATCGAGCGCGTAGGTTGGTTGATTGTAACTGTTAGCAATGACTACGAAGTCAAAAACTTGCCTGCACACTCCAAAACGTTATATAAGTTGTAACTGCTGAATTTTATGTCTTCATGTTATATTTCAGCATTATTAAAGTATTTCAAAGCCGCAACATCAGGGCCACGAACTGTTAGCAGGAACAGCGTTTACATTGATGAAATTTTTGATAAAGGAAACATCGTGACTCTTAGATACACTCTGACACCACATGCAAAAGATCGTGGAGTCCTTCTTCATTCTCGGTAGTTAGCTTTCAAAGAAACGTAAACTGTTATTGATATGATGAAGGAACACCTATTAAAACGGCAAACACACCTTGGACAGCCCAATTTAAGCACTTCCTTTCGAACATTGTGTTGGCATAATATAACCGTAATAAATAAAATTTCTTGCAGAGCAATCATCGTTTGGAAAAAGATCAAGGGTAAATACTTGATTCACAATCTTATTTCAAATGTGCGAGAGAACCTCTGTCCGTCGACGTCATGATTGGAGTAGAGAAGATACTACATGTATATATCTATTATGTCAGAATTTCGAAAATAAAATGAGCCATGAAAACCACAAGACTGTCGTGTGGCCGTAACTGCAGTTGACTTTCAATTTGAATTCCATTTTTATATACATTATTACAAGCTGTTCAGAAAAATGCCTTTCATCAGCCATTAGCAATTGTTCCCTCCCTCCATCCTTACTCGTTTAGAAATGGCTTAATGATCCTATTTATTAATTTTATTATCCAATATTAGCTTGACCAGAAGATAAAGAGTTTTATAGCTGATTCAGTGGCTGAGTGTAGGGGAAATATGCTAAAATTCCAAACAACATCAAAGCCAAAATTAATTTTAAATACTAATCGCCGTGATGCGAAATCTGGCTTTAAAGTATTCAGCATCAGTACCATTAACGGAGATTAATTACACATATTAGGGAAGAGTTTTGTAGCTGAGCGAAGGGGAAATTAGCTTAAGTCAAAAAAAAATCAAAGTCTAAATTAACATAGTCAAATACCGGTGGAGATTTTTACCCATTGGAGTTAAACCTTTCATATTGCCGATCTCTTTTTTTCGCTGGATGTAGCATGATTCAATGAACAATGAGATTTTATTTAACTAAAATCTAAAACTAAACAGCTCAAGATATTATACAGGTCATGTGTACACTACTCAGGTTAGATCACTAACATTACTTATATATCTCATGTTGTACGAATAACATAAGAAACTTGATGCATTGTGATTGTATTACGTAGCGCATTTCGTAGCTTATGTGACGTCAAAACGGCCATGTTGGAGGGTTTTATCATAGTGCCTATGCTCAACTGGGCATGTAAATAACATGCATACTTTTCACAACTCATGTCATTTCCCACCAGCACGGCAACCGAAGCAAACACCCAATAAACGTTTATCTCGCACAATGTTCACAGCGCTGTGGTGAAGATAATGTGAAGCAGAATAAATGTATTTTTCTTTCGAGTTATTACAATAACTAATCATATTAATGTGGATTTAACAGTACATCAATAGACAATGAATTTGAACATATGAATGACAAGCACGGGTAAAGCCTTGAAATGCTTGCACCCTACGAAGCCTTTCCGTTCAAGAATTCAATATAGGTTAAGCTTGGGTTATCGTAACACAATCGTATCCCAAGATTAACGGAATCTCACAAATAATTACGTATGCATTTATATGATAACTGCTTTAAATAATTGAGTCTAAAATACAGCTATTTGTTCCGCCAGGATAATTTAGTCAGACTCTAGAATCATTTTTTTGCTACTAATAGAAATTATAAGATGATTAAATTTTTATGGCTGTTATTAATCAGTTAGCGTCGCTTTGACTTTACAAGGCCTTTTCGTAAGAGATTTAAAAAGAAAATCAATGTATACATAAAACAAGAACTTCAAAATATTTTTGTTCTACATGCTGACGAGCGTCGGCGAGGCAGCACACTATTCCTGACTTCCATTTTACTAGACCCAGTCTTTTTACGCGACCAATGTACTGGTCAACATTTGGATTTGGCGTCCGTCCGGTCGAATTTAAAGTTAAGGTCGACCTAAGTTAAAGGAGTCAAATTTAATTGTTTCATATGTCAAATTTCGCATGCACTTAATTCAAACTATTTTATTCCACACATGCAAAATACGACGTTTGAAACAGGCCTTAATCTGTAGCTTTCATTTGACGAACAGAAAGACAATTTGCGAAGAATACCTAGTACTAGCAGTAGCAGGGGCGTAACTAGACTTGAAGTAATGGGGGTGTGGAGAAATTTGCCCTGCAAAAGGGCGTTGCCCACAAAAACCCCTTCAATCATTATGGCTAGCAAATTATAATCATTTCTATTGTTGCATGTGTGGTTTATTAGTAAACCTTATTGAAGACTAGGTTTCTAACACGTAAATTATTACAAAACCTGTTTTTGAAATATAAACCTTAACCGTTTCGGACATAACAGTAAAGCAATGTATATTTGTTCTCATATCAAGAGTCTTAAGTGAGAATCATCTCAACGTACTATTGAGGTGTTGCTTTTTACTTAAATTTATTCTGAATTTACGGTTTTTTCTGGCTGCCCAAGATTTTAGTACTACATCCAGATGAATTGTATCTGTTAAATCCTTCTCGGTTGAGAAGACAATGAGTTCTTCCAGCCTTTCACCTTTCATTGTTGAGCGCAAGTAGTTCTTGACAATTTTCATTTTGCTGAATGATCTTTCAATATCAGCCACACTTACTGGAGCAGTAAACAGAAGTTTGTAGCATTTATAAACGTTAGGGAAAATTTCTTTATTTTTGAAAGCAGTGTCTCCGGCGTCGTGGACTGTTTTACATTCTTCTTCTGTCTCATTTACAAAGTTAACAAAAATCTCAAGTTCTGCATACAGTGACATACAATCTACGCTAATTGATGGAAGAAAAAGTTCGGTGACCTTTTCAACTTGTTCAAAATTTGGTTTAGTCAGTGGAGGCTGAAGGATAACAGCTAAGGGTTTTATTTTTTGCAAACAACTTTTTATGTTATCTCTATATTCTCTGATGAGGGAATCGAGGACCCCAATCATGCATTTTCGATAGTTACTTTTTAGTAACATAATTGCCAAAGTCTCAGGGTTGTCATCCAAACGTCTGCTTGATCTTTTGTTACTCTTTCTAGCAAACTCTTCCTCGGGATTGGAGCCTAGAGTCTTCGCAAACTCAACACTCGCATTTATTTGATCATTCAATTCGGATTCAATTCTTTCCAGTGATCTAACAGTTTCATCAATCAGTTGAAGACCATCAAGGATATTGAGCTCTGGCTTCTGCATCTGTACTGTCAGGATCTTGGTCTTTCTCATGATAAACCTCGTAAACATAACTGCAAAAACAAACTTAAATTTGACCATTTTCTTACGGAGCGAAATTGCTTTGGTTCTGGTTAATGAGTTGTTGTCATTGTAGTTTGTTTGTTTTCTTCTGTATCCACGTGTTTTTATAAATCATATATAAACAAGTGTGTATACACAAAGTGCATATACAATGTAACCTCCCTGCTATCACCATTTTGCAATGGTTCATCATTGTATCCAGCGGAATGTGTATCTGTGTTTATAATTACTTCATCTTACACATCTCACAGACACATTGCGTTGTGTCTGTGAGATGTTATTTCCACTTAGTAATCATTTAGTTGTTTTCAATGGTATGGTAATTTTTCTACTTCCCGAACACTGCCTTGCCACTTGACGGCAATATGCCCTGCAAAAACACTGTTTTTAGCAATTGGGGGGGTGTTACACCCCCCACACCCCCCAACAGTTACGCCCCTGAGCAGTAGCATAACTTTATTAACGGCTGCTGATTTGCATAAAGACAATCCACTTGGACAGAAAAGCAATGTGCTTTAATGTTATTATCGGCGCTTTTAACGCCAAGAGTATTTCATTGACCGCATCACTCATGGTAAAGTACATTTTAATAGTAGTAGCAGTAATATGGCTTTATTAACGATTGCTGATTTGCATCTAGGCGATGAACTAGGCGACAAAGCAATTTGCTTCCATATTATAAACAGCGCTTAACAGCACGAATACTTCATTGACCGAATTGTGGACAAAAGTACTTTTAATTATGTGTTATTTATTACAAGTAGACAAAAATTCCGTTTGTGGGTGCTGCTCCTTGAAAACTTGGCAGACAGATTTATAGCACCACAATAATTATTATTCGATGTTAATTTTGTGTTTGATGTTTTTTTGGGCTTTAACTCATTTCCTCTACATTTAGCTATAAGATTCTTTGTCTCCTAGTCAAGGGATACTCCTTTGAAGTTTTTTGTCACGCCCACAATTGCCGTAAGTAAGCGCCACCATGTTCATTTACTCACTTTACGACCTAAAAACATGGGACTTGGGGGCGTTCACTTACAGCAAAAGTCGGCGTCACCAACAACTTCAAAGGAATGTTCCTTTAAGTTAATTTACATGCATCGTGTTTACAAATCACATTGAACTTTTTACACGCGCACGTCCGGTTGCCGTCTTAGGCCTGGAAACTACGCGTTTCCCCGGTCATTAAGACAAAACGTTCCCCCATTTAAGTGTAGACGCAATCAAAAGAGCTGAAATATCTTCAATTTCACAAAGCGACGCGCATTTAAACGAAACACACATTCATTTACAAATTTTGCACGTTCGTTACATAAGTATTGAATTGCTCTAAAAATAGACATACAACAACCGTTAAAACTGCTGAATAGTTACTTACGTCAATCGAGAATCATTAAAGGAAATATAACAATCATTTGCATAGTTACAAGTATGTTTTTCACAATGGATATATACAAATTGGCTCTAATCATTCTCCATTGACTTAAATAAACGATTCAAAGATCTAACAAATGTGTGTTCACACTATTGAATGCATGTTTTTAGAATAAAAGATAAGTGAAAATTTCTATATAGCCTCAGTTTATCTACAAGAGTCCTCTTAAGAAATCGCCTGTTCATTGTATAGTAAAGAAGACTCTTTGAGAACAAAGAACGACACAAACACTGCACGCAAACTACATGAAATTGAATACATAATTTCATTTTGGTTTAGCCAATGGGAGGAAAGAAGATGTTGATGGGTGTCTGAGTACATAAATGAAGTGATATGTTACCAAAAGGTACACACCGTCAAGAAGTCTAGCACTGATCAGTTCGTGAGGAAAACGTTGGGAAAACTAACACGAACAATTTGAGATGAATACACCGCTACTGGCATCGTTCTTGTTGATATTTTATCCTTTGGTTGTTGATTCATCAACTTGGTTTAGTGATAAATCTTCATCAGGTATCGTGCTGAAACATTTCCACCGAGAAGTTACAAAGTATAAAATTGTACAAAATTTTTGTTCACTTGAAGCATGATCAATTTTAACAGATTTTTATACGGAGAAATTAAATTTAGTTAAATAAGTTGTCTTTAGGTTTGGTGTAAATCAACGACTTATTTTTTGGAATAATGAAGGAATTAAACGTTTGTGTTTTTAAAGACAAAATACTCATCGTGCTCTTCTTTTTTATAGTGAAGGACAAACTCAAAAGCATACTTGACCAAAATTACGCTTACCTCCTTGCTGGAGAGCCTAAAAAGGTGTTGAAATTCTATACTAGTGACTGTGTATTGATTGGGCAAGGTGCAGCGCCAATTGTAGGCAAAGCGGGTAAATGAGACATTTTTTATTTCTAATCAGGCTCAATGAGATGACAAACGGACTCACAAAGGGCTTTAATGTTTTAATTCTTGGGTTGCTCAGTTATTTCGAGTGATTATTTCCACCCTATACTTGATCACCATGGAAGCAAAGAGAACGGTTTGCATAACAATATCGCCATTCAAATTTGTTGACAGTCGACCTACGGGACAGCGTGTGTTTAACGTAATCATGGCAAGTCCGGGAAGATCAACTTTTACGTTATGAATTAAGAATGATTTCTATAGTGAAAAAGAATATGAGACAAAACATAAAACCAGATTTAGTACACCCAACTCTCCTAATACAGAGCCCTGCTTGGCGTTTATCGAGCGCGCAAAGCAGGCTGGTTAATTGTAGACTGTTAGCAATGAATCCCAAGTCAAAACTTGCCTGCACACTCCAAAACGTTATGTAAGTTGTAACAGCTGAATTTAATGTCTTCATGTTATATTTCAGCATTATTTAAGTATTTCAAAGCCGCAACATCGGGGCCACGAACTGTTAGCAGGAACAGCGTTTACATTGATGAAATTTTTGATAAAGGAAACATCGTGACTCTTAGATACACTCTGACACCACATGCAAAAGATTGTAGAGTCCTTTTTCATTCTCGGTAAGTAGCTTTCAAAGAAACTTAAACTGTTATTAATATGATGAAGGAACACCTATTAAAACAGCAAACAAACCTTAGACAGCCCAATTTAAGCACTTCCTTTCGAACACTGTGTTGATATAATATAACTATAATAAATAAAATTTCTTGCAGAGTAATCATCGTTTGGAAAAAGACCAAGAGTGGCAAATACTTGATTCACAATCTTATTTCAAATGTGCAAGAGAACCTCTGTCCGTCGACGTCATGATTGGAGTAGAGAAGATATAACATGTATATCTTAATATGTAGCCAGAATGTCGAAATAAAATGAGCCATTGTAATAAAATGTGTCCGTAAATGTTTTTGACATTCAATTTGAATTCCATTTTTAAATATCTTATTAACAAAATGTTCAGAATAAATGCTTCTCATTAGTCAAATAGCGATTCTTCCTTCCCTCCGTCCTTTACCCTTTAGAAATAAGCTGAATGATCGTATTTATTAATTTTATGTCCAATATAAGCTTGACTAGAAAACAGAGTCTAAAAGCTGAGCGTAGGGGAAATGTGCTAAAATTCCAAACAACATCAAAGCCAAAATTAATTTTGAATACTAATCGCCGTGATGCTAAATCTGGCTTTAAAGTATTCAACATCAGCAATATTAACGGAAATTAATGGCACATATTTGGGAGACAAAGAGTCTTGTAGCTGAGTGAAGGGGAAATCAGTTTAAGTCAAAAAAATAGGCAAAATTAACATAGTCAAATTTCGGTGGAGATTTTTACACATTGAGAGAGAGAGAGACGTCGAGCAAAACTGATCTCTGTTTTTTGACTGGGTGTACCATGATTCAATGAATTTGATTTTATAAAAGTATAAATATTCCTTAGAAGTTAAAACTAAACAGCTCAGATATTATATAGGTCAGGTGTACACTACGCAGGTTATCACTAAAATTACCTACATCTCGTTTGTGCGTATAATATAAGAAACTTGATGCATTGCGATTGTATTTCGTGCACTTTATGGCTTATGTGAATGGTGAATGAATAATTTTAATGTGACGTCAAAAGGCCACGTTGAAGCGAAAGTTACATTAAAGTGCCTATGCTCAACAGGGCAAGGTAATTAACATGAATTCTTTTCACAACTCATGCCACCCACCAGCACTGTATCCGATGCAAACACCGAATAAACGTTTATCTCCCGCTCTGTACAACAGTGCAAACAAAATAAACGTTTACTCTGTACAACAGTGCAAACGAAATAAACGTTTATCTCTCGCTCTGTACAACAGTGCAAACAAAATAAACGTTTACTCTGTACAACAGTGCAAACAAAATAAACGTTTACTCTGTACAACAGTGCAAACAAAATAAACGTTTACTCTGTACAACAGTGCAAACAAAATAAACGTTTACTCTGTACAACAGTGCAAACAAAATAAACGTTTACTCTGTACAACAGTGCAAACAAAATAAACGTTTATCTCTCGCTCTGTACAACAGTGCAAACAAAATAAACGTATTTTTCTTTCGAGTTAATACAATTACGAATAATGTAAGTGTGGATTTAACAGAATATTAAAAGACAACGAATTTGAACATATGAATGACAAGCACGGGTAAAGCCTTGAAATACTTGCACCCTACGAAGCCTTTCCGTTCACGAATTTAGTATAGGTTACACAAAACCCACAAAATTAATTATGTATGCATTTATATGATGTCACCTTGGAATAATTGAGTCTGAAATACAGCTTATTTGTTTCACCTGGTTAATTTAATTAGACGCTTGCATCCATTTTTTGCAACTAATAAACAATTATTGGATGAGGTTGAGCAGGTTATCAAGAATTATTTAGACCGAGGTCAACGTTATCTGCCGAAGCTACGCTGTGGAGGTAACATTGACCGAGGTCTAAATAATTCTTGATATCATGCGAAAGCCGATTTCAACAATTCTTTTATTATCACTTGAACTAATGGAATGTAGACTTCAATGTAAAACATTTTTCAAAGCTTCGCTAATTTGTTTTCCTCAGACTGTTTATACAAGTTCGTCTCGTTTAATGTTGAAAATAAGTTCAAATAATAGTGAAAATACCAGGGTGCATTCCATGTCAACGCTGCGCCGAATGTGCGCCGAGGAAATTACTTGATTACGCCAACATCAATATTGCCCATTTTATTTGGGGCTGACTTGCCCATGTCGGTCGCCGTGTACACTATACAGCGGTGCTGGGACAGTATCCATGTAAGCAATTTTGAAAATTTCGTCCCTGATATAAACGATGTTTAAAAAATTGAACAGAAAATCGCAGACCTGCCAACCCCAAGGAATACAAAACCTTGGGATTAATGCAGAAAACCGGGAGATCTGGCAAAAATACTGGAGATTTCTATTCTTGTATACGGCATATATTTAGATTGATTTATTAGGCAAATGGCAATGATTACCTCAAGTGTTATGCACAAAATTTTAACTGGCAGCCATTTTGTGTTACATAATTATACGAAAAAACGAGAATCAATGTCATGCCCAGTTCCCGGCGCACCGCGGCTACAATACGTTGTGTTTTAAATGCTATTCATCGAGTATTTCTTTCCATGCGATGAATAAAAATGCCAACAAACTTCTAAAAGCCTAAGCTTTAAAAAAACCGGGAGATTTAGTATCTTTGTCGGGAGGTCGGGAAAAATGCAGCAAAAGCGGGAGTCTCCCTGCGAAACCGGGAGAATTGGCAGGTCTGAAATCGGTATTTATAATACCACGATGCATTGCTAGTTTGTCATGCGCTGCTTTGCGCCACAAGCAAAGAATTCAGAGTACGCCATTACGCCAACAGCGACGTTTGTAAATAATAGAAATTATACGATGTTTACATTTTTATTGTTGTCATTAGTCAGTTAATGTCGCGTTGACTTAACAAGGCTTTTGCGTTATAGATTTAAAATGAAAATCAGTGTATGCAAGTAGTTTTAACTTGTTTTGCTCTTATTAAAACAGTACAAACCACATGTGTGTGAATGCTAATTACATTACTGTGCGAAATAATTTTATCAAATACATAACTAATTTTTGCGGGTTCTGTTTTTTTGGGCCACCCTTTATAGTCGTAGCAAAAAATATTCTAACACCAAAACTACACGGTCTGTTGTCGGCCCAAAATATGTGATATAGTTCTATACTATCCTGTGTATGTGAACATTGTCTGTCGACTCGACTGAAGTAAACATTTGTTCGATTTATTGGTTGAGTGAAAAATGCTATTCTTCACAAAGCGCCCGAGAGTGAGAAATGAAGATACAGCATTGATCTAAAACGCATGGATTTGATTCAAAATGGTGATTTAATGTTGAAATTTGCGAAGTTCATGCAGTTAGGAGGCAAGAATCGTGGGATCTTAAGCACCGGATATATTATATTTGGTCGTCGGCTTTCTGAGCGCGTGACTTAGTTTCCCCGAACTAACCCACACAACAGCGCATGTGGCACGGTTTTGAATGGAAAGAAAGCCTCACACATAGCAAATCGCCGAACCATTTGGCTATGCTTTCGATTTATGGTGAAATATGGATAAGTATTGATCGACATGATCGACATACATTGAAGTAAACCTTGCCAACGTGTTATCTCAAAAGTATAAAAAGTCTTTGTCTACTTGTCTTGAAGGCAATATAGCTTGACCACGAAACTATAAACTACCCACAGAGCAGATAACTTTTACGATATCTCTTTTGTGCTATAGCTAGATAGTTTAGCACAGACAAGTACATTGTATTTTTTTCTGTACACCATATCGTGCCCTGAGGGTGTTCGAGTGTACAAAGAAGTGAACAAACCAAATTGGTGTAGGTTTTCACTCTTGAAACTGCTTATGTTTATTATCATCCCATTCCATTATTTAAGACAAAGAAATATTGCTTGTATCGTTCAATAACATAGCACTTTGATTTAAACACTGGTTATTTGTACAATACACGTGTTTTAAATCACGCGTCATTCATAAAGTATTTAGCATTATTGATTCTATACGGTTATGTACAAACAGTACATAATATGCCCAGGAAACAGTTTAGACGAATTGCTAAAAGAACTTACTATTGAAACCTACTACAAGTAGCCGAGTATACTCCCAAAATATCGCACATAAAATAGCTAAGATAGTCCAGTCAAACTCGAAAAAAAGCATTTTTGAACTCGAGAGTCCAATTTTCGCCGTATGGTTTATAGTAAAATTCTCCTTTACTACCTAAGAACATGGCGACACTGACTTCAAGTAATTGTCGGCGAGACCATAAACTTCAAAGGAGTTCCCCTTCGGGTTAGTCTCATATTTTGTCATTTTTCTGTTTGTGCCCTTTATCACACACCAAACACAAGCGTGTACGAAACGCAGAGCTCATTCGTCTTTCTCAAATGCTATTGGTAAATAGCGTGATAGGAAAACGGACGCCGGAAGTATGATCACTTGTATATTTTCATAAGGAGTATATTTTCAAAGCCAGCTTGTGGACTTGGCACAGTTGCTGCATTAGTTTGCGAGCTTGGACCTGCTTCTTTAGTGTTTTTATCGGTTTTGCAAAAGAAGTTGGACGATGGGAGGTTAGTTAAAAGTAACTGTTTTGTATGATTACCGAAAAAGCGTTTCTTAGATTAGATTTGTTTAGGTTTCATACTAGGTTTAGTATCGGGAAAATGTTAGAACGCACGTGCCTAGTATGCAAGCCGTGAAATACCTAACATAGACCATAGTGCCTACAGCGCAAGCCAACATGCAACTGCAAAAGATGATATGATTTAGAGGATAGGACAATATCATCCATACTTAATCATAGCGTTCATTGATAACAAATTTGTGCAGTAATAAAATGAAAAGCACTAGGTTCACATATTATTTATGAATACGGAGAAACATTTCAATGTGTTTGATTCAATGATCCTGCCCTTGTTGGATTGTAAGAAAATGAGCGGTAAAAAAGATAAAAAAAGGCTTAAAATTTGGTTTGACCTCATCACTAGCCACACTCAATCATAAACGCATTGAAAGTCTAATTTCGCTTGCTTTATTTTCGTAAAGCCATTCTTTTGCTTTCACTAGTATCCGTACTTTAAGTAAGGGAACCGGAAACGACACCAAAATATCCTGCATGTAAAGCTGTTCATTAAAATGGTTCTAATAAACACACTTCTTTCCCAGTCATCCAATCTACATTACACAACAGCCCTAAATGCATTAATGAAGAAATTCATCAAGATTACGTATACAAAATTGCCCACACAAATACATAGCGATTATCACATTTTTATTTTGATACTGTACAGACGAAGGAAAGTCTGTTTACACCACTTTAATTGGTGTAACTCGATATGCGCAACTTCAAATAATAATCGATTCATTTAATTTCACGAAAACTGCACGATAGAAACTAATATTTCTACGAATGTCAATTTACCTTATGGAATTTTAACAAATTTGGAATTTGAAGCCATACAAGCCATAGTTCACGTGAACTGATGTGTTTGAAGTGTAATGTAAATATCAATGGCCGTGTGGCTTCTTGGCAATGCTCAAAATGACGTCACGAGCTACTCGTGCTAAACCTCTTCGGACATACACGGGCAAATTTAAACAGCAAAAGAAATTCTCGATTCAAATTTTTTTATCAAAAGTCTGGGAAAACATGACTTCATACAAACATGAAATTTGTACATATGTACTTTCATTATCATAAAATTTCATGTTTCGTAATGACAGGCGCCGATAGGGTTATGCCGATTTCGTATGAGTTTGTGAGGCCAGACTCCATCTGCCAGCAATTTATAACACCGAGTTTTAGTTCTGTGAAAAGCAAAGTGTTCGCCGTTTTCTTCGTTCATGTAAATTTGTCATAGAACCGTCGTTCCGATAACTTTGCATATTTCCTTGAAAACTCATTGTACATTTCACTAAAAGAGTAATAGCACATATAATCAACACAGGAATAAAGGATGAAATCACAGCTACTACTGCAAAATTTTACGAGCTACTATCGCAGGGAAAGAGCGAGGAAGCGTTGAGCTACTACACGGATGACTGCATTGAAATGCCTTCAGGCGGCGAAACGTTAAAAGGCAAGGATGGTAAGAAATGAACTTTTACAGATTATTGCTATGTTTGTATTACACAATGATTTAGAACCCAATAGCTGTCTAATTACCGCAAACGTTGATATGAAATGAACTTTACAGATTATTGCTTTGTTTGTATTACACAATGATTTAGAACCCAATCCCGAGCTGTCAAAGTACCGCGTTAAGAGCGCCTTCTTGATAGGTGGCAAAAGCAAACTCAAAATGAAAAATAAGCTAAAAGAAAGTTCAAAAACTAATCCTATCAAACATTTTAAAATCAAATGTAGACTATTAACTTTCAAACTGTATATCAACTCAGGAAAAGCAGATATTAGTCGTAAATATCGTCAGTTTGTTTGCCTCACTCGTCACCGACTTGCCTCCCTTGTACCTATAAAATTTTGGCCGAGTCACATGTCTAGTAGATTGGGTTCTAGGCCATTGATATTGAAAGAATTTTTTCTTTCAAAAAGTCTTTTTAAAAGTCTTATGTTGGGCTATTATGTTCATATTGAAAATTCCCTTTCCGCTTAGCAAATCTCTGGCCACGATTTTAGATATTGAAAGAATTCTTCTTTTCATTTTCATAAAAGCCCTATCGCTAATACGCATTTAATGTAGACCACAAATTTTTTTGAAAATAGACATGTTTCGACATCACATGATGCCATCCTCAGTATAAGTGAGTAATTGCATAAATAATTCAAAGTTTATATAAAAGTAATATGACACAGTGACATAAATATATAAATATGGATAAATTATAACAGTAATAAGGAAATGAGATAAATTAATGGGGAGCATGTTGCAAACTAAATATTTAACACAATATTTATAATTTGTAACACGCTCCCATTTATTTATCTCATTTCCTATTATTACTATCGTTTATCTACATTTCTATATTTATGTTACTATCATATTACTTTTATAAACTTTGTATTATTTATATGTAATACTTCATGTCATCCAGCTATAGGCAAGTATTTTGAAGCAATGGCTGCCTTCAGAGATCAGATGGGTAAGACTGAAAGGGAAGACGAGACGGTTTTGGAGAAGGCGATCTGGTGACGTCAACAAGTAACGCAAAGGGTATGGGAAAGATGGCTCCTTGCTTCTAGAAACAAGGTATGATTTTATTCCTGATAATTTTGAAGGACGTGCCTGGACGGCGCGTTGAAACAATGGTGAACAGAAGGATCGACGTTTCATCCGCCATTTTTGTAATCGGAAGATAAAATAGTAATAATTCGGTGTTCTGTAAATACACTAAATTAATCCCTAATAACCTTGAATCTCATAGAGCTATGCTATCACTGACAAATTGGTTTGGATTGGATTGGATTTAGCAGAGATTAGATTAGCTTTCATATTACGAAAAATGTTTCCGACAGTTTTGCCCAACGTTTAATAAACGTATATAGTCGTTCAGGCATTTCGTTACATTTTACCATTTTTTATTGTAGGTCAATGACGATTTGGAAAAAAGTCGGCGGCAAATATTTAATGCACAACAAAATCTGGAATGCAACAAAATCTATGTAGAACAGTCTGTATTTGAGAAGCAAATTGAGTTGTTTTCTGCATAATTTGTCAGAGCTGTTGGTAAATTCTTAAAAATAAATTTGAGCATGTCGCTAAGAGAATAAATTTTGAACGATAATTTCTGGTTTCTTTCCAAATCGACTCTCATAAATGAAAGAGAAAGTTAATGAAACAAAACGCTGGTCAAGTCTTAGGCTATACATATCAAGCTTAGTTTATACTTTGGCACATTTTGTACCGCGAGCCGAAATGTTTGGCCGCGTTACATTCTTTTTGAATTGTTTTCAATGCATCATGGCACACAGGTATTATATATATTTATATATGAATACATATATCATCCCAATTATCAATCTAGGTGCGGTAAGCACTTATTCGAAAATCTCTTTTTGAAGATCTTCGCCCAAAGAATGACTGAGTTCATTGCTTTCTGCGCATGAACAATTCAATTCAAAAGCAATTGTTCAAGCGAGAACATAAACTGATTGTAGGGAACTGGGACGAAAAATGAAATTATTTGACTGAAGTATGAAAGACCTCCCTTGCTAATCTATATATATCATAAAAGACTTTAAATCGCAACTCACTATTGCATATATACCTAAAACTCGCTCCTTTTATTCTTCGAGCATAAATCAATGGTCTTTCTCTTTCTTTGCTTCTTCAACCAATCTCATTCGTTTTCCAGGCCTTCCTTAGCGATCCGATGATGGGTACTGGTATAGTAGGTCATAACAAGACGAATGAGTCAATCAAGCATGCCTGAAAAGAATGAAACTTCACGGTGAAATAATGGACGATTCTTGCATAGGATTTAAAATTTCATCGAAAAACACAGCACGAACAGACAGCACTGACATTACAAGAATTTTGAAGCTTTGTCAATAGCTCAAGGTTGCAAAACAAAGTCACGCGCTTTTGTTCACTCTAACAGCATTTATACCATTTGTTAGGATTGCATCAAAACACTTAAAGTTTTCCAAACCATTATATCCTCAACCAACAATATCTTCAAAGTTTTATAAAGGAAAGACTGTTGGATAGCCTGATAACTGTCTTGTTGACACCCTGATCAAGATACTAAGATACTTTTGAAATTCGCAAACTTTGCAAGCCTGTTTATATTTAGTATACCAAACTTTATAAATGACTGCATCATGCTTTTAAATTAAATTCCCGTTTCTCTTCAAAATTCAACTTGTCAAAACGATTGAATGGAGACTTTTGAGCGCGATTGTTACAGTCAATGGCTTTCATCAAGAAATGCTCAACTTAGATGGAAATTCAAAGGAAGTAAAGAATTTTCAACTCTTACCTGAATGAAAAGTTCAATTCGCGAGGAAGCCGGACTTGCCCCACATGTCAATATGTTAAGACAAAACCATCAAATCCGCTTGAAATGAGAAATTTCCCTTTCTAAAAATAAGGTAACGTACCTAAAATCATCTCAGTACGAGTTTTACTGCTCAGATAGAGTTCGTTTTGAGTATTTTGAAAAAGCAACCAAAACAGAGTGTTAACATTTTCGCGCCATTTCGTGACTAGAGAAGAATTCAAAACCTTTGAAACTGGAAACTAAAACTACAGCGTTTTTACTGTCGGAGGAACAAAAACTCACTTCCGCTGCTCACAATTACCGTCAAAATGTACGTTTGCAGTAAAATAGGAAGATACAGTACGAGAAAATGCAATATTACCTGAACACCATCGAGAATATCTTTAGCAACAATGGACGGCGAAAACACTCCGGCAGCTTCACTAATTAAACTAGTTTCTTCCAGCTAAAAAGACAGACTTTTTCATATGTATATAGCCATGTTTATAGTAGTTACAACAATTAAGCGAATATAAGAGTTGTGGAAAGACTTATGCTAGCATGACTAAGCAATACAGTAAGCTAACAGTTATGTAAATACGAAATCGGTTCCAGACATCTATTACCTTGTCTTTATTCTCCTCTTCAAGCCCAGGAGTGTCAGTGTCTGGTGGACACGCCACTGATACTCCAATACCATAAGGTCGGACCTTAAGGGACACAAAATATGAATGAATTTAACACATGATGTCAGAGATACTTCATTCATATCAAGTATCTTGACAATCAATACAGATGAGCTAATGATGTTCTTTTCTTGCATGAAGAAATTACTGGAGTTAGCTTGCTGCACCTCACCTCCATTAGAAGAGACTCAGCCAGACCGCGAAGGGCAAATTTTGATGCAGAGTAACCGGCTAAGCCAAACACACCCAGCTTAAGTACAAGATTGAAATAATTAAACATTAATTATACTGAGGTTTGACTGTTGCTTCATATTACCTGACCGGCCATAGATGAGACAAAAACAATGTGACCAGAACATCTGAGTTTCATGTTCGGTATAACAGAAAAAGTTGCATTGACAGAGCCAAAATAGTTCAAGTCCATGAGTTTCTAATGTCAATAAAAAATTACCTTACATAACATCAAGCTTTCTCTCATTGAAACATGTATACAATCTTACCTTAAATGTAGATAAATTTTTCTCAAATAACTCAGATTTCGCCATGCCAGCACAATTGACAAGAATATCAATAGGTCCAATCTTAAATTTAAAATTGGATTGAGATGAATTTCAGGAGAGCATACTTTAAAGATTGTTATGTCACATCTTCAACTTTCTAGTTTTACCCTTGAATGTAGTCCTATGTAGCTTTGTGATGTGCTTAGACAAGAACATCTCTAGATGCTATATTTGTATTTGATTTGCAGCTAATACATTATATGCATAAATCACTAAGAATCACTTCAGTAGAATCCAAAAGAAAACATGCATATTCAGCTACCTAAAAAATAACTTATATACTTCAAATACACATACTCAATACCTGCTTTAAAACATTGTCTACTTGCTCATAGTTTGTCACATCTGCACTAAAGACTTGGATCCTTTGTTCTTCAAGCTGTCTGCATGCTTCAATTTCTACTCTGGCTTTTTCTAATTTTGCCTAAAAACACAACAAACTATGTCATAAACCTGTTTCCAACAGCAATTTTCCTTGGACCTGCAACATTTTGTCTGGTGTATGCCCTATGTATGACTAATATCTTCAAAACCATATCAATTTTACAGTCAGAAACCAAACCTTAGTGGTTAAAGTTTTCAGCAACAATTGGCATAGACATGATCAAAATTGAAGATATAATTTGATGAAAAATTGTGGACATGGCATGGGAATAATCACCACATCTAAACCTGATTTCTTGCGATAATAGTCACATTAGCTTTTCTTCGTACTGCTTGATGCAAGTTCTTTGCCAATCCCACTTGATCCTCCGGTGATCTACAAATGCACCCATTGTATTGATTGAAAAACTGCAACATATACAAACTTCAAGAAAATATCCTAAATTGAAGAAAGATAGGGAAGGGAGTGAAGGATATTAGTTGATAAAATGTACACAGTTACTTCCACCCTTCCATAAAGCAATACTATTCACTGTCCCTTTCTCCCACAAGTAACTAAATTCAAACAATTTTCTGCAACAAATTCCGTCTCTGTTATCTAACACTGTTACAATTAAACGCACAATTTTTTACTTACAACAATATGTAAGCCGAAAAGACTTCTGATTCTTTTGCTCGGAGGATACCAACAAAAAAATAGTAGCAAGATAGGCGAACACGCCAATAAAACTAACGCCTCAAAAATCATAATACAAAATGGCTAACCTTATGACAAACGCACACAATTCAAGTCATACAGTCGTATAGTAAAAGTACACATGAGAAATATATGTGGTAAGAACAAATTAATTACATACATTAGCTTGCATAATTAAGAAATTACCATACAAAATTATTCGATGGTTAGGTCCATGATCAAAGAAGGTACTCAAGAAACAAAGATTCTTCAGAAATGTAATTTTCAGGGAAGGTGCTAAAACGTTTAGGGAGCAAGCTGACATAGAAAGGTTTGGTAGTCCAGCCATAGAAGGTATTATGTAGTGTAGAAAGTTGAAACATTACCCAAAAACTCAGTTCAACTGTACTATTGATTTGTTTGGCGGAAAATTGGGGTGGGGTGGGGAGGAAGTAAATGTTTTCTAGAGGCAAACAATTTATTTGGGGGGGGCTAAAGCTCATGTCTGGGTGTGGCTCTCCCTGACAATCTGGCACAAAGTCGGTGATACTCAAGGTAAATGAATGAGAATCAGTTATGAATGCGAGTGAAACCATTGAATAAAGCATTTTATACAAGAACGTATCAATTAGTCTATTTACATTTTCCGAGGAAAGGCCTAGGCTTTCTCACAGATATTTATTTATGAATTGTTTTAGAAGAGTTATTGGACATTTCGTCTTCGTAATGTTGTATTATTACGTTCTAACTGTGTTTGAAGAGAAAAGAACAAAAACATGCAGCGAAAATCGTTTCATCTCATACGTACATAGTTGCTTCACTCGTTTGAATTAATTCTTCAACTACCTTCCAGTTCGGGAAGAAAATGATTGCCTTAGGTTCCTTTGTTTTGCTTGGTAATTTTCTCAGCATCAATATGTTTCGTTATCCATGGATGTTTCAACACGTCGCGTAAAGCCAAACGATCACCCGGTTTCTTCTGCAGTAACTGTGAAACATGAAATATTGAATAAAAAACTTAATGCTTGATGACTTTCAGGTGCAACAATTAGCTCGCTCATCTCCCTTCCAAAAATATTCACCTTTAAATTCTAGCCTAACGTAGTAAACACTCCGTCAACTTTCGGGCAAAGTCGCGCTTTGCAATGCTTAGAGGATTTAAGGAATTATGTTAGTTGTAAACTCTTCTTTCAGTACACTCTCTCAAGGCAGCTCCATTCGAACACACCTCAACAACCTACATCTAAGCTTGATTTGGTATACGATTCGTGCTGTGTAGTATCCTTACTAATTCACTCCCTTCAAAACTTACGTCACCCATAAGTAAAACATGAAAATCCATTAAAGTATGAAAATCCATTAATGTACGTAAGATTAATTTGATATAAGCTTCCTTACTAATTCACTCCCCTCAAAAATTACGTCACCCACTGTCAAAAACATGAAAATCCATCGACGTATTTGTTGACCGTACTTGGTCTTAAGGTGAAGTCTAAAACTTAGCGTTACCTTTCCAACAAGATCACGAGCCATCGGGGAAACGTACTGTGGAAAACGTAGATCAACCTGAACATCAAATGAAAGTTGACGAAGTTGACAAAACTGAAATAACTGGAGCAAATAATGGCCAATGCCTTCGTTCATGGAAAACTGGGATTCGTCATTGTGTTCAAATTTGAGGAGAAACATTTGTTTATTGACGAAGGGAGGGAGGGTAAGGAAGAAGAAGGGTCAACTTACCCTCGATATACGTTTATATGTTTCGGCATGACCTTCAGCCTCAAATGGTGGTTTACCACCAAAACTCGTAACACAAAACACCCAGGCTCCAAAGATCGACCTAAAGAAATGACGACTTGAAGATATGTGCGTAGTAAAGTGGACTGGGGACGAGCGTCGAGAGATTTTTAGAAACGAGCTTGATTTAAAAAGTTATGAGAAGTTTGTAAGACGATTTTACGACATCAAAGAAAATTTAGAAACTGCAATTTGTCTGTTTGGGAGGGAGGGGGACGAGAGGAGAGCATGGGTCTCTCCTCTCTTTCATTTGTGGAAGCAACACTATGAAAATGAAACCTACTTTTAACGGAAAATGCCTTTATTGACTAAATCAATAAAGTTTATTGACTGTAAACGATATTTACTTTGATTAAAGGCGTCAATGACGTGTTTATTTTGTTGATCAAAACGGCAACTATTATCCATTTTTGATGAGTACAATGTAGGTTTACAAATCATTGGTTTGTAACCGCTGAATTTTAGCTGATCACTACGCCCGAAAAATCCTCGCTGAATCTACCACTGAAAGGCAATGAATGCATACATACTTTCTCGTCGTGTTCGTGTCCTTCAATCATTTCTGGTGGAAGATAATCTAGGGTACCGCATAACGTCGTTCGTCTACATTGAGACAAACACAATATGCAGTTATGTTCAACAATTTCTAGTAACAAATGCAAAGATATGAATACACTACAGCATGACGAATGAAGAAACGGTGGCTTGTTTGTGGATGCTCCTATTTAGTGTTCGTAAATCTACCAGCCTGGTCGGGTTTTAAAAGATGCACTCCTTTATGTCCTACCTTGAGGATGGCGCATGAACGGACCAACCAAAATCTGCTATTTTCAATTCACCCTAAGGTAACACGACAAAAAGCATAAAGTATGTCTGGTAAAATTTAATGCCTGACTTATTAACTTATTAATCAAGGTTAAATTTAATTAACAGTAACATGGTTATGGACCTTTGTTGATGGTCAAACACTAGAGTGTGTATTGGATGGTTGCACTACCACCTTCATGTATAGTATTGCATGGTATTTTATACATGGTTACAATAATCATTTTACATGACCATCATTTAGGCCTGGTTCACATGGTAAATGATCACATGACCATCATTTAGGCCTGGTTCACATGGTAAATGATCACATGACCATCATTTGGTAAGCCATGACCATCATTTATGCCTGGTTCACATGGTAAATGATCACAAAACCATCATTCCAGCCTGGTTCACATGGTAAATGATCATAAAAATCAGCTTTGTGCATTAAAACAAATGAAATGTTCCTTTTTTCCTTGCTTATGCTTGTAGTGAATATTTTCATTTATGCTGATGTTTGTGCTCATTTCACTTGTGCAAACCTGGCTAAACTGTCCATGTCCGGCTGTAGTACCTTCATTCCAAGTAAAAGATTTTCTGGTTTGATGTCTCGGTGAATGACTTTTTTTGCATGACAATAAATCAAAGCATCAGCTAATTGTGCTATGTACTGAAAGAAAGAATATAGTTATTGGGTTTCAATATATAGTACAGTTGTGTTATAAGCTCAGTGGACTTAAAGAGCAGGCTTGGCCACTGAGGACATTTATATTTGTAATTTCACATAGTTCTGTTGACTTTCTCATCTTTCTTAAATGAAATATGCGTTTGATTAAATGTTGGACACCATTTTATGAAGTCGATTTATCAATTGATGAGAATGAACAGAGCTGCGTTAAATTCAGCAGCAAAGTCAGCTTGTTTTTTTATTTCTAAAATGCAAATATTTTTGTATTCAATCAATGGAAAAATCAATCAGTCCATTTAATTTTCTAAAGAAATGAATGATAATTTTGCTGAAAAATTTGACTTGTTGTGACAAAAGTACTAGTCACTTTCAAAAACCTGTCACTATTGTCAAAGCAACACGACCACACTTTCTAAATATGGTAACACTTCCGTGGTCACTTTTTTGCTTCAGAGAAGCATAAACATACAAAGTCTAAGATGTGATGTAATGTAATATACATCAAAGATAAGGGAATAGCTCACATTAGCTGCCCTCTTTTCATCAAAGTGTTCACATTTGGTCAGTTCTTTGTACAACTCGCCACGTGGGGCATATTCAAGTATGAGATAAACACGACTGCTGTCGTAAAAGTATCCATACATTCGTAGGATATGTGGATGTCTAGAGGATAAATGAAGAATAAGCAATGAAGATGAACAAGATTAAATGTGTGTGGTTGTTTTGTCTATGTACATGCCTTAAATGGGATTGTATCTCAATCTCTCTTCGCAGTTGATGCTCAACATGCGATTTTTGAAGTTGGCTTTTAAAAAGCACCTAAATATGGAAAATAAGCATGCTGTCAAGGCAGAAAAAATACGGTGGAGCGTGGCCACAAAGGATTTGTAGAAAGATACTTCACCTTCAAAGCAACAATGTATTTCGAAACTTTTTCTCGGGCTAAATACACGTTACCAAACTTTCCTGAAATATGGAAATATTTTATAGAATTTTCTGCCAAAATTCAAACAAGGTTTGGCTTTGAGTGAACGCTGTATGAGTGTGTCGTATGCCTACCTTTGCCGAGAGGTTTTCCTATGTCAAAGTCGTTTAAGGTCCAACGTTTTTCCTTGCCTGCCTGACTGTTTTCTTTCTCGCTTCGTTGTGAACTATTGCTGCCATCTTTATCAGTCTTTTCAACCGGCTTTTGTTCATCTTTTCGTATGTTCCCTACATCCTAATGAAATGAAATATATTCACCGATGTTTCTTTTTAAAGATACATGGTGAGTATATCTATTGATAAAAAGAAAATACCTTCCCAAAGGACGACTCGACCTTCTTCTCTGACATTTTCCAATCCGAATTTCGGGTATGAAGTATTTCGGAATTAAAGCAAGGAAAACCAACAAATATCTAATTTACACAGGTATGAATCGCTACAATAACATTCAATGGATTGATAATTTGAATTTGGCGTTATATAAACCCTATGCACTCATTGGCTGAGACGATTGAGGAGAATTTAGCTAAAATCCAGTAAAAAAGTACCTGAATACATGTCTACCAATTTTTTGGACACTGGAAAGTATAATATATATGTGTATAATCATTAAGTTAAACGTCCGCTAAGTCCTTGGTGAGGAAAGTGATAGCAGACAATTAAGAATAAGTATTTAGTTCGTCTTTGATGAACAACAGCCCATTCTCGGAATCTTTACAATCGGCGACTTTCGGTTCTGTCCGTGTTTACTTCCTACATGACGTAATGAACAACAAAACGAGAATCCCCATAGTATGTAATGCATCAATCCAACATCTCCACAACTCTCATAAGATCACCAACGCGCTTGAAAATGTTACTAAAACTTCCTAAATATACTGCGTCTGTATTACTTAACCACACAAGGCGCCGGTCTAGTTGGATGGACAGTTTGAAATCCCTAATTGCAGGGAATTCCAACAACAATAACATTCCACAGGTTCGCCAAGTTGGTGATCCTGTCCTACGACAGAAAGCTCAGCCCGTCGATCCGTTGGCAATTCACACCGAAGAGTTTAAAGAGCTGCTTCAAATGATGATAAGAACAATGCGCGCGAAAAAAGCGGTCGGGATCGCAGCGCCACAAATTGGTGTGAGTTTGCAAGTCTTTGCTATGGAATTCACTAAGGAAGACATGAATCTTTTAGAAAAGAATGGTGCCACTTTAGACGACCTCCGTCAGAAGCAAATGGACGTTGTACCTTTGAAGATTTTTATCAATCCAGAGATTAAAATAACTAACCCAAAAATGGTTGTATTTAGGGAAGGGTGTCTTAGCCTAGAGGGGTTCTCAGGTTTGGTGCCCGTGCCCTTGAGGTTGAAGTATCTGGGTTGGATGAGAATGGAGCTCCCATAACATGGCAAGCTTCTGGGTGGGCCGCTCGAATTGCACAACATGAAGTAGATCATCTACGTGGAAACATTTTTATTGATTCAATGACTTACAAATCATTTATGAATGTTAACTGGAGAGATTACATTGATTAGATGACTCCTGGATAGATAACTTTGTATTTCATCAATGAAGTAGGAACTTTTATCAATGTATGTCGATCTTATTTAATAATTACAAGTAAGTTAGAAAATCATTAAATTGTTGTTGAAGTAGACTATGGTATCATGTTGTTCTAAAATTTGACTGGTCATGATCAAACAGCGAGTTTAAAATAATTTGTGTTACTTTCATCTGCGACACAATGTATTCATAATTCTACAAAGACCTTTCTATTTATTCATTGATTTCGTTAAAAAACCTTGCATTGATTTGGAACTTTTTGAAAACATTCAATTTTTTTTCTACTTAAAGTTAATGTCTTTGGCAGGTGAATGGAAATATCAAGTATAGTAAATTAGGCAAGCCAAAGGAAGTGAAATATGGATAGATGAGGGAAATGTAGATAGATGAGGATCGTGGAGTAAAACATGGATGGATGGAGTGAAATACCAAATATGGATAGATAAGTGTGAAATATGGATGGATAGAGTGAAATATGGATGGATAGATTGAAATATGGATGGATAGAGTGAAATATGGATGGAAAAAGTGAAATATGGATGGATAGAGTGAAATATGGATGGATAGAGTGAAATATGGATGGATAGAGTGAAATATGGATGGAAAAAGTGAAATATGGATGGATAGAGTGAAATATGGATGGAAAAAGTGAAATATGGATGGATAGAGTGAAATATGGATGGAAAAAGTGAAATATGGATGGATAGAGTGAAATATGGATGGAAAAAGTGAAATGAAGGCAATTGATGAAAGTAATTGGATAAAGGTGAATCTGGTCACCTGCATAATGATGAAAGCCTGATTGGTTAATGGATGAATTACTTTCCTTGTCATGGCAAAGATTTGTACTTTAAGTGAAGAAATGGACCAAGTCAACAGATATTGAGCTATCTTCCATGAATATATGAGGAAATGCAGCAAGTTTGATTAAACAAATAATTTTGTGGTCGGAATGCGAAATTTGAAAGCTCTCCTTGGTCTAATCACCTTCCCACGTGATCGACACGTCAGCAAAGCAAAGTACACTAGGATAATGGAGGATATTAGAAGGACGTAGATAGGGAAAGTGTACCATATATCCATCAAAGGTTCATCGTCACTTGAGTCCCAGTCGTTTGGAACGGGAAAGTTGACTTTGTTTTGTCGTGATAGGTCTATCAATGCAGGCTAAACAGGGGAGAAAAGTAGATGATTTCGTTTTGCGAACTAATGACAACCCATTTCTTTAATTAAAGTAATAAAGAAACAAAATAGACGTGTAGCAGTTACGAAACAGTGAAACAACGCCCCAGACACCCAATATAGGGAATAAACAGTCACGCTATTGCATTTAAGGGTCTGTTTACATGATCCCGGTAGCCGGGATTCAGCAAAGCGTTAAATGATTTTGGCAAATGGAAGTGATTCAATACTCGTCATCAGATAAATCTTCCCGAGAAATTTCACAATATTCTGATTCAATAACTACGCAAAAATTTAAAATTACAATAACCAATATGGCTTAATTTATGAATTTCAGCAGGAATGACTTGTGGCGCTTAACAAACAGTTGTAATTTATACGCTTAAAGTTTTGCCTTTCTTCAATGCCTCGAAATCATTTCACGCCTCAGTACACTTGCCTGGTAGGTAGCAGGTCAGTTGTATTTTCTGACCAATAGGAACACTGAGCAGAATAACCGCAGCCAGCGGTCTAATTATATTTAAAGAAGCGAAGTAGTTCTACTGTTTATCCCTTATAGTGCGTCAAAAGTTCCATCATTCAGGATCAAACATCGACATATCTTTGATAAAGATTCTATATTTCAGTTTTTTTGTCGAACTGGCTGAAACATAACCATTTTTCTCTTATTTTTACTCACCGAAGGTTTGGGATAATACAAAGACACCGAACTGTTAAAGACAACAAACTCTCAACTGATATTTTACTGACATATCTTAGTAACATACCTGACCAATCCATAACAGTTTAGGTTGATTATAAAGATCGCCGGAAGATGAAACATTTAAAGGTTGTGCTTCCGACCAAGTGTATTTATGGCATACAGGCAAATCTTTCGCCTTGGCTGGTCCCAACCGTGAATCCAATACTTTTGAGTATCGATTTAAATTATTACCTAAGAAAAATTGAACAGTGACATAGATGTTCTCGGTGGTAAATGAAACATAACACCTCATATGTCCCCCAAATATCCATGTTATCCCCCAATTGATGCATCTGTCTTCCAACTGCGGTGCAACCGTGGCGTAATTGATGTGCAATTGAATATAAATAGCTTTTCCTACCTTCCATTCTTTGAGGTTGAACCTGCAGCTCGCCGTCTTCAATCGTATTTCCCTTAAATTCGGCAAACGTTGAAGATAGCTCATTACTTGATGTGAACTTCAACATGTCGCTTAACAACCAAAAACAATCTAATGAAAGAGAAGAGGGCAATCCTTATCAAGTCGAAGAAGTCTTCTTCACAACAGAATCATCTATTTGTAAAGTATTACATACAGTGTATATCGTTAAAGAAATTTTATACGTATCACCAAATCTTTTTACGGTAAAAGCACATCATTATAAGACAGTGGTTTAGCCAGCCCGCAGGTTTGCTTGTGTTATGTAAAGATTTTGATATTCAATGAATATAAAAACAATAGATATATATAGAAATAAACAATGGTATTGAATTTTGAATACGAGGAGCTAAGCATGTAGCTCATCATCGCTGACTGTCGAGCCTCAAGCTGTTATGTTCAAAAATAAAATGCATTGTGTTGCAACGAGAAACGTTTCGATTTTGATCCAATGATTAAGATATCTAACATAAATGTAGTTTAAAATGCCATCATTGAAAAACTTATCATTCCCAAAACAGAAACTCATTTCTAAGAAAATTAATCTCTAATACTATAAAGCACTTCACTGTAGCTTACTCCTGTTTCATAAAAGCACTTACCTCGCTGTAAGAGCGCGCTATCAAGACAATTGGAATCTCCATACAGAACAATCCGTCCGCCGTCTTCTGGCATGGTTTGATAAAGTCCCAATACTGGAACATTAAGAGCTGTCCTACTTTTGCCCGATGTAACTTCGTAGCTTTGATCGTTCAACTTTGTCTTTATTACGATGCCATGGGAGGGAAATTTCAAAATGCTTGTACCAGATGCGTAATAAACTAGGAAAGAAGAGAAGCAAAAGCGCATATATATCTTCATGTTGAGATCTTAAAAGATACGTGAGTGTCGGACGAGGTCTGTTGTTAAGACCAAAGTTTGGTTGTACTAAGGTCTCTTTGCATAGACTGATGTCTCTTTCTACAGAGCAAGTTCTAGTTGAGCTGACCAAGTCCTAGTTGTGCAGAGCAAATTCTAGTTGTGCAGAGCAAATTCTAGTTGTGCAGAGCAAGTTTTAGTTGTGCAGAGCAAATTCTAGTTGTGTAGAGCAAGTTCTAGTTGTGTAGAGCAAGTTCTAGTTGTGTAGAGCAATTTCTAGTTGTTCAGAGCAAGTTTTAGTTGTGTAGAGCAAATTCTAGTTGTGTAAAGAAAGTTTTAGTTGTGCAGAGCAAATTCTAGTTGTGTAGAGCAAGTTCTAGTTGTGCAGAGCAATTTCTAGTTGTGCAGAGCAAGTTTACTAGTTATAATACAGACCAAACTTCTAGTTGAACAGACAAAAGTCTCATCTACAAACCGAGATCCTAATGTAAATTTTAAACCAAACCAACTCTTCGCCTCTTGGACTAACTTACCCGAGTTATCGGCAAGCGTATAATCTCCTTCATACACTTCATCACTAAACGCCATATTCCACGGGGCTAACAGTTCATTGAGAGCTGGCACATTCGCTCCCCCCGTATCTGGCATCCACCACTGTCGAGTATTTTCGTCGTAGAATTTCACTTTTTCATAACTTCTACATTGTACCAATCGGCAACGACGATTAAGGATAATCCGTGTTTTCTACATCTTCGCGTAGTTTCGTGATTTCTTCGGGAAAATACTCTTCCTCGGCATCGACTATCATCAGAGTCCCTGGGGCGAGAATCAGGTGTATCTAACACAGTGAATTTTATGGGGTAAGGGCTATTGCATTGCATGTTGACTTACCATACTGTGATGCATTAAAACAAGTCAAAGGCAACCCTAAAGTGTTGAGAAAATGCAAAATTTAGAACTTGGGAATTCGGAAGATGTCCTTCAGTAGCAAAAAACATGTTTTCCATAAGTCGTCCATAATCAAATCGAAGTTTTGTCGCATACATGTTGACATAAATAAAATAACATAAATTCGTTATTGAATGACATAAAAATCTCATGGTACTGTGTCGACAAGGCTACAGATGTTACATGTTTGTAAATGTAGATCGTCCAGGTTGGTATAGACCTGAGAAGGACTGTTTTGTTGTTGTTGACTGAGTTTCGACAACTTTAGCGGTAGTCATCTTCAAAGTCAAAAAGGTCATAATTTTTGACTCTGAAGAAGACTACCGCTAAGGTTGTCGAAACGTCTGTCAACAACAACAAAAACAGTTCTTCTCAGGACTATACTAACCTGGACGATCTACATTTACAACATGTAACAATACTCCCGGATTCAAACCATTTACTTTAAGGCTACAGATGTAATGACGAAAAACCAGGTCTGTAGAACTTCTCATGAAGTCCGCGATTAACAAAAACCTCAAATGTGAGCACACGGTAGCGCCTTTTGATTGCCTGTATGCTACCGGAAGTGATTTGAACGTCATGCCGCATGCTTCCTAGAAAGGTGGTTCCTTATATTTAACTCTCACCAAGTACTTCGATGAAATGTCCTTGCTTTGTGATATAATTGAACATATCTCGAAAATTTGTGTGTATATGGTCTCCATTCCTGTAAAAATAAAACAGTATTACAGGAAAAGGGGATTTCTTAGAAATCAAATGACTCGGACAGCAAATATAAATAAAAGATAAGGAGGGTTGGTATTTATAAAAGAAAGAACATAAGCTTTACTGTAAAATATCTTTCCCTTGTTTTACACGATTCAAATCTTCAGTTTACAATACTATAATACTTGTAGTTTGCTTCACCCGATATATATTATAAAACAAACTCGAAAAGCATCGACTTGTAAACTCAAGATGCGAGTTATGTTGACAAGAGGCAAGATTTTCAATGTCGCGAATTTTGAGTTCATAAGATGATCGATTTTTCATTAAGTTTTCTATAATATTTCTTTAAAATGTTGTCCGGTTTTCATTATATGTATCACACAAAGAAAATGCAACTGCTTACCAATCTAATGGACTATTTTTCATTTTTAGATTGTCTCGAGGAAAATAACCAGGAGGATATCGTAAATTGTGATACTGATCCCACAGGATTCTCTTCCTAAACGAAAGAGAGTGTTACAAAGTTACAAAGTGATCAAGGTTTTAGAATATACTTTTTCTCTTCGTGTCAAGAACAAATATGCAAGAACAACCTTCTCTGGTGTTGGCATTATTCTGGCTCTTACTGGTAACTTAATTGTTGAGGTACTTCGATTCATTTCGTCACCCTAGTTTTAAATAGAAAAAATATCAATTGTCAAAACAATAGATAACGCAAATGGTGATTTAGGTAGTAGTGATTTAGGTGATGGTGAAACTGGCAATGGTGGTTCTGGCTAATGTGATTTAGATGATGGTGATTTAAATGATGCTGATTCAGGTGATGGTGAAACTGGCTAAGGTGAAACATGGTTAACATGGTAACATTCATGTAATGTTATTCATGTAATGGTCATTAAGGTAATGGTCATTAGGTAATGGTAATGGTCATTAAGGTAATGGTCATTAAGGTAATGGTCATTAAATGGGTAATGGTCATTAAGGTAATGGTCATTAAGGTAATGGTCATTAAGGTAATAGTCATTAAGGTAATGGTCATTAAGGTAATGGTCATTAAGGTAATGTCACAGGTAATGGGTAATGTCATTAAGGTAATGGTCATTAAGGTAATGGTCATTAAGGTAATGGTCATTCAGGTAATGGTCATTAAGGTAATGGTCAGGTAATAGTGATTCAGTCGTCAATCACCATCATGGAAGGAGAGATATGTTCTCTCCCACTTCTTTACAATAAAAGCGAAGAGTTGAAGTGAATTTTTCTTTCACTCGACAACTCAACTCACCTGAGGTGGGGAGGAAATGTTGATTGACACGTGACCTTCAGCAATACCTGACCACGTGGACGACGCTGGATTAACCCGGATGAACAAAGCAAGATAACCCGACCAAGGCCACAAAACTCGAGAATACGCAAAGGAAATCTAAGAAAAAACGGAAGCTTGCCACACATGGATAAATAAAATTCAAATAAGTACACGGTTATTGAATTGACTTCTACAGGTTGTGTCGTATTTTATTACACTTACATCAATCCTATCTCCATTTTGAGGTAAATATGGATGCCAAACAGGCTGAAGAAAAATATATATATACATTAATTTAAAATACCCGTGAAACACATAGTAGCGATGAATAGCACAACAGGTGACTTTTCACTCTTGCTATGTAAATATTTTGTGTTCACAGTGTGTAAAACAGTTCATTTCATAAAAAATGAATTATGGAGATGATTCAATCTGCATGCTGGCTACGTTATTGCTATCGCACATCGATGTTGCGCACGAGAGTATGAATGAGGAGAGTTGATTTGGGATGTTTTTGTAGCATTATTAACAGCTGGAGAATTTCGGTGTTTCCACAATGTAATGAATTTCACAGTAATGCTTTGCGAGCTCGGGTTTACACATTAAACTAAAATACATTGAACGCTACCTGTAATACAAAACCGTAATAATTTTTGAAGCCGTGATTTTACCCCAGACACGCCTATGTAGTCAATCAATTATAACTCCGCGAGAGAATCTCGAACACTAAACACGCGTGTCTGGGGCAAAATCTCGCGTGTCTGGGGTGAAATTTGGCATCAATTATCTCCTTCAGGTAGCGTTCCATGTATTTTAGTTCAATGGTTTCACTTCTGTTATCGAACTTCTGGTCGTAAAGTGCAAAGTTCAGGGATTGTTTTCTGATATGACAAATGTGAGATAATGTCTTTCTTTGACTTGATTCTCGTTATTTCTCATTCTTGGACCTACCACAATAGGGTGTTGTGCATGGAGCAGGCTTGGTCATACGTACATGTAAACATTTATTTGAATGCCACGCAATTGGCCGTTTACGGCTAGCTAAGCGAGAAAAGCATTACCGCGAGATTCATTGTTAACCGTCGATCCTGTTTCCTAAAGTTTAGCAATTGTCATTGAAAGTCATTATGGTGGAAGCAAGAAGCGGCGGAGGTTACATTGCTCGCATATGTAATAAATATAAATTAGAATAATTAAATATTTGATAATAATAACAAATGTTGTAAAAGTAATTATAACATGCAGTTCATAAAGCTACCTCGCCGACAATGGCACCAGTAACGGCCATACCATTCAATACAGTAACCTTGAATGAAAAATGAATGAAAACGATAAATTGAAACAGTTTAAGAAATACATATTTACGCTAAAACAAACGTCAAGATTATTTAACTCTTTCATCTACGATCAGTAGTGACTTTACTAACTTAAATTCAGGGACCTGTAACATTGAGAACAGGCAAAAGCTAAGGTGTAAAACTTGAGAGAAGCGAAGATAAAGATTCCATATTATCTCATTGAAATATCTGAAATAGCCAACAAATTCTCTTAACTAAAACATTACCACTAAGATAAATGTTCCACATAGTTTAATTCAAATCTCTAAAATAACCTACAAATTCTCTTAACTAAAACATTACCACTAAGATAAATGTCCCACATTAATTCAAATATCTGAAATAACCTACAAATTCTCTTAACTAAAACATTACCACTAAGATAAATGTCCCACATAGATTAATTCAAATATCTGAAATAACATACAAATTCTCTTAACTAAAACATTACCACTAAGATAAATGTCCCATTAACATTAATATCTCAATAACCTATAAATTCTCTTAACTAAAACATTACCACTAAGATAAATGTCCCACATAGATTAATTCAAATATCTAAAATAACCTACAAATTGTCTTAACTAAAACATTACCACTAAGATAAATGTTCCACATCAATTAAAATATCGAAAGTAGCCAACAACTTCTCTAAACTAACACATTACCACTACTGACTACGATAATTGTTCCACATAGATTAATTCAAAGATCGAAAGTAACAAACAACTTCTCTAAACTAAAACACAACCACTACCAAGATTCCGCATTAACATAACGTTTCCATATCAACTTACATTCACAATGACAGGAACACTAAACGCGTAGAGAGGTTGTTCACAATATGGCCACATATATGGACATTCCGTCAGATCCACGTAACTCGGACTCAGACTGGCTTGAGGTTTATAACTGGATAATACTTGATATGCCTTGATAAGATCGAGCTTACCATGACCTACAATAAAAAGATTACAAATCTCTTGAAATATTTGCAGTTTATTTAGGCAAAACGAGATCAAATTATAGTAGAAAGGCTCATGTATAGGACAAGGCATCTTGAACTGGCTGAAAAATTTGTTTATCCCCCCCCCGTCATATGAGATCGAATTATAGTAGAAAGGCTCATGTATAGGACAAGGCATCCTGAACTGGCTGAAAAAATTCGTTTATGCCCCCCCGGTCATATGAGAAAACGATAGAGATGACAAATTCTTCACTTTATACAGAGCGCCTAACGACATTTCAAGATAAAAATTCCGCTCAGACGAGAATTCATTCTTTCAGATGAATTACGTCGACAAGATTCATCTCACCTTGTTCAAAGATATTTGCCAAGGGTATCCGTCTGGCTGATGCCAATAACGCCTGCTTCATGCTGGCTGGGTTAATGACGTCACCACGATGACGCACTGAACTATAAATATACGTACATGTAAATTTAAAGAACTGTTCTAGATTACGTAAATGCACGATGTTGCAAGACTTTTTTTAAGTCTTTGGTACCTTGTGCAATATATTACAAATTCTATGACGCTGTTTTTGATGAAAGAAATACGGAAGTTATTGTGCTATGTAATACATAATGCTTTATCAACATTTGCAAGAAAAGTTCGAAAATTCGAAGAGTTTTAGAAACGTTACAAACTCTGAATCTACGTGAACTCAAAACTAAGCGAGTTGCTTTAAAAATCTTTCTATTTTCATAGCGGAAATTTTGAGCTACCTCAGTAGTAAGGTGACAGCGCCAGCAACAACAGGAGATGCAACGCTTGTACCGGATAGCGATCGACAACCACCTCTGGAAATACAAATGAAGAAATTAGAGGCTTTTCTAGAATGAACTAGCATACGAAATCACCTCGAATAGAGCACTGCGGTCAGCCAAAAAAATCGGTACTTTCCTTACTTTTCGCAACAGCTCTAACCTCTAATCCGTTTACTATAGTCCTAATCTAATTCTGGAAATAAATTGAAAGTCTTCTTCCGCAAGAAATAGCAATAAAAACTCATCCATTGATCAAGTCAGTTGAATCACAAACCTCAATTTAGAACTCCTCACTCCAGAACCATAGGTAACAAGATCAGGTTTGACACGGCCATAACCACCGGGTAGCTCCTGACAACGGAGGAAAGCTTGACTTTAAAATCATAATACATACATCTAATAGCATACGAGGGTATAAGAAAAAAATAGCATGGCTTCCAGGAGATTTACGTACATCAGAATCAACGGAATTGGCTTTTTAAATTATATCAAGTAGAATACTTATCAACAAAAATAGTTTCAAAGAAATTTCGAGAAACCAATCAGAATCATTGATACTTTCTGAATTCTTTAAGAGTTTTATTGTCATATCGATCTATCAATATTGTTGCCAATGAAGTGCCAGTTGGAAAATGGATTGCCAACAATATTGATAGATCGATATGACAATAAAACGCTTATAGAATTCAGAAAGTATGAACGCCTCGAGCTCAAACTTGGTAAAGCTAAATTGGACTTAGAATCATTGATATTTGAACTGACAAATATCATACGTACCCAGGTAGTCATTCCACGGGATGAAAAGCGCGCAATTTGATCTTCAAAGTTGATTCCTCCGACACCAATAACGTCCATCTGATCCGCAGGGTTGTTCAACGTTCTACACAGGTGGAGAATATCACGATTCGGTAAGAAAAATATTGCCATTGTTATTACAAGTTTTAATAATCCGTACTAAAGCTTATACATAAATACCCGTAAAGTGGACGGTCGTTTCCACTTAGGGTAGAGGGGGGGAGGGGGCACGGAATTGATGATGGGGAAAATTGTACACAGGACTCCAAATGAGGAGGGGTTTGCGCACAGCATTGCTCTTGGGGAGGGGGATTGTACAGATAAGTATTAGAGGGCACTCACAGTGGAAGAGGGTGTGCACAGCATTACTAGTGGAAAGGGGGGTTGTACAAAATGTTGAGAGTGAGAAAGGAGGTTATATACAGGATCATTGATGTGGAAGGGGTTATACAGAGTGTTTCAGGGGTTGTACAGAGTATTGCAGAGGGAGGAGATTACAATTTTCAAAAATCCGTATCAAAGCAAGAAGCAAATGCATAAATACCCGTAAAGTGGACCGTCATTTCCAATGGCCGACACCATTATAACACCATTAGCCGTCAGTTCCCATACCTAGCACGGTAGATAAAGTTAACATAATTAAGAGTAGTTTCAGACCATCGAAACGATTTACAGTCTTTCTAGTCCTCAAAACGATATCTCAATACGGACCTTGTCAACGAAAGGTTGATCCATGAAGTCTGGACCACCAATACTTAAATTAAGAACGTCAACTTTCTTTAATATCGCGTAGTTAAACGCGTCCAAAAACCAAGATGTATAGGAAATCTGAAATCAAACATTACAAATACACCCATGATATCCTTAAATATCCTTAATATAACCCATAATATCCTCTAACATCCGTAAGTTATAATTATGTTACAGTCTCGGACGAGTTTTCATGATATTCAGACGGTTATCAAGTGCTGGTTTCTTAAATTACAAGGAAATTCATTCGCCGACTGCTGTAAACAAAATAGTACAGGCGATACGTAGGTGCAAAACAAGATCGAACAGATTGTACAGCGGCTTCTACACACATAAACCCAGCAAACAAACACTGATTTGTAAACAAACCTGGTTATTTGTAAAAACTCTGTAAATATGGAGGTCCGCATCAGGAGCGAAACCTAAACATTCTTTGGAAGCGATGACACCAGCTACAAACGTACCATGTCCAAGACCTTAAAAATAAGCAGAAGGTCAGCAAAGAAAGCAAACGGTCTGTAGAGTTAGCAAAGGGTAGAGGGTCAGCAGTGAAAGAGTAGGGTCAGTGGAAAAAGAGGAGGGTCAGCAGTGAAAGGATAGCGTCCGTGGAAAAAGAGGAGGGTCAACAGAGTAAGTAGAGGGTAGGAAGAGGAAGCAGAGGGCTAGAAAAGGAAGAAAAGGGTTAATAGGGTAAGCAAAGGGTCAGAAGACGAAGCGAAGAGCTGGTATAGAGAAACCAAAAAGTCAGTAGAATAAGCAAAAGAACAAAATAAAAAAAATTTTACGAAACAGTTATGGCAATGATAGTTTAAATTTCCTGGTACGTAGGTTGACTCATTAGAGAATTAATTGCATGGTTCAATTTACCATCATCCATTGATTTTTCATTTGTCCAGTTCGTTCTATCTTTGATATTCTTGAAATGTGGATGTTGTTGATGTAATCCTGTATCAAACACTGCCACTTTCACACCTTGTCCAGTGTAACCCATGCTCCACAATATATCTGCTTGTAACGTCTGTGTGATCTTAAAGAATCAACAAGAAAAGGAAACATTAAAATTACTTTTTAAGAGTTTTTGTTGTAGAATATTCAATCAAGAGCCATCGACAAAATCATGGCGTCAACATGGAGGGTTAAAGCTGTTTGCTGCATGGTAATATCCAGGGCTGGAAGATATGGGGGGGGGGGTGTTTATTAATCACTCCAGGTATCATTGAGTACACCAGTATAGTAAATTCAATATAATCCTATCACTCCAGATATCAAAGAGTACACCAGTATAGTAAATTCAATATAATTCTATCACTCCAGGTATCAAAGAGTCACCAGTATAGTAAATTCAATAAATTCTATCAATCAGGTATCACAAGAGTACATAGTAAATAAATAATAAAATTCTATCACTCCAGATATCAAAGAGTACACCAGTATAGTAAATTCAATATAATTTTATCACTCCAGATATCAATGAGTACACCAGTATAGTAAATTCAATATAATTCTATCACTCCAGATATCAAAGAGTACACCAGTATAGTAAATTCAATATAATTCTATCACTCCAGATATCAAAGAGTACACCAGTATAGTAAATTCAATATAATTCTATCACTCCAGATATCAAAGAGTACACCAGTATAGTAAATTCAATATAATTCTATCACTCCAGGTATCAAAGAGTACACCAGTATAGTAAATTCAATATAATTCGATCACTCCAGATATCAAAGAGTACACCAGTATAGTAAATTCAATATAATTTTATCACTCCAGATATCAATGAGTACACCAGTATAGTAAATTCAATATAATTCTATCACTCCAGGTATCAATGAGTACACCAGTATAGTAAATTCAATATATTTCTATCACTCCAGGTATCAAAGAGTACACCAGTATAGTAAATTCAATATAATTCTATCACTCCAGGTATCAAAGAGTACACCAGTATAGTAAATTCAATATAATTCTATTACTCCAGATATCAAAGAGTACACCAGTATAGTAAATTCAATATAATTCTATCACTCCAGATATCAATGAGTACACCAGTATAGTAAATTCAATATAATCTTATCACTCCAGATATCAAAGAGTACACCAGTATAGTAAATTCAATATAATTCTATCACTCCAGATAACAAAGAGTACACCAGTATAGTAAATTCAATATAATTTTATCACTCCAGATATCAAAGAGTACACCAGTATAGTAAATTCAATATAATCTTATCACTCCAGATATCAAAGAGTACACCAGTATAGTAAATTCAATATAATCTTATCACTCCAGATATCAATGAGTACACCAGTATAGTAAATTCAATATAATACTATCACTCCAGATAACAAAGAGTACACCAGTATAGTAAATTCAATATAATACTATCACTCCAGATATCAAAGAGTACACCAGTATAGTAAATTCAATATAATACTATCACTCCAGATAACAAAGAGTACACCAGTATAGTAAATTCAATATAATTCTATCACTCCAGATATCAAAGAGTACACCAGTATAGTAAATTCAATATAATACTATCACTCCAGATAACAAAGAGTACACCAGTATAGTAAATTCAATATAATATAATCACTCCAGATAACAAAGATTACAACGCCTGCTTAGTAAGATTGCATCTTTCTGGACTGGTATCAAAGTGCATATACGAAAGTATGAAAAATATAAACCTGACGTGGTATGGCCCTCAGTAGCCTTCTTTTTGCAGGATCCTCAATATTTGACATTTGAAGCTTCAAAAGTGGAAAAACGTTGATTGATTTAATGATAAAATCCAAGTTTAAAAATAAACATATAATTACTATGCTCTGGTACATTACAATGAAACCTTTTACTGTTTGATTGCCAATGCAACACAATAAAACCCACAGCTTCTACTAACCATGGAAAGGCTAGAACGAGTCCCCTTTCGAGCACTCCAGTCATCAACAGTCCAGCAGTTGTCATGGCAACCACCAGAACTATTACCATCTTGGTCATCATCAACTTCTGCAAAGAAATATCAACATAATTTAGTGGAACTTGATCATCACACAAATTACAATTTAGAAAACTTCTCTTAGAGGGAATGCAAAGTTTACCTTCAGCGTAATGAAGAAATCTTTGAACTTTTCTTTGAGGAGTTACTTTCCGTATCTTGGGATGTAATAGAAGAGCTTCGAGCCCTTCTTCTTCACTCTGACTTATCTAAACAAATAAAAAAAATAACATTTTAACAAGTGTTACATGTCTCAAATTCTAACTACTACACTAAATTATCCATCATTATATACCCCCAGTACCCGCAGTTAAATCATTCATCCATTTAAACCACTGTTAGTTTATACTATATTATACTACATTATCCATCATTATATACCTCCAGTACCCACAGTTAAACCATTCATCCATTTAAACAACTGTTAGTTTATACTATATTATACTACATTATCCATCATTATATACCTCCAGTACCCACAGTTAAACCATTCATCCATTTAAACCACTGTTAGTTTATACTATATTATACTACATTATCCATCATTATATACCTCCAGTACCCACAGTTAAACCATTCATCCATTTAAACCACTGTTAGTTTATACTATATTATACTACATTATCCATCATTATATACCTTACCACAGTTAAACCATTCATCCATTTAAACACTGTTAGTTTATACTATATTATACTACATTATCCATCATTATATACCCAGTTTAAACCATTCATCCATTTAAACCACTGTTAGTTTATACTATATTATACTACATTATCCATCATTATATACCTTCAGTACCCACAGTTAAACCATTCATCCATTTAAACCACTGTTAGTTTATACTATATTATACTACATTATCCATCATTATACCTCCAGTACCACAGTTAAATCATTCATCCATTTAAACCATTGTTATTTATACTATATATACTTATCCATCAGTATATACCTCCAGTACCCACAGTTAAACCATTCATCCATTTAAACCACTGTTAGTTTATACTATATTATACTAAATTATCCATCATTATATACCCCCAGTACCCACAGTTAAGTACCCACAGTTAAATCATTCATCCATTTAAACCACAGTTAGTTTATACTATATTATACTACATTATCCATCATTATGTACCTCCAGTACCCACAGTTAAGTCATTCATCCATTTAAACCACTGTTAGTTTATACTATATTATACTACATTATCTATTATTATTACACTCCAATGAGTATATCATTTATCCATGTTTACATCACTTTATCCATTGCTATGCTTTTCTAAATGCATCTGTGATGAAGTTGGAGTGCTAACATACTACGAAATGTAAATTACTCTACTTTTTCTTAATGATTCATGAAAAAATATCACTTAAACAAAAGACGGTTCAACAGAAGACCAAACGTAAAGAGGTTAACCAGCACCTATTCCTTTGGCCAAGCCTTTCGAGGGGATGGGGGCACACAGAATTGATGGCGAGGTGATAAAAATTGTACACAGGACTCCAAAAGGGGAAGGGTTGCACAGGGCATTGTTTTTGGGAAGTGGGCTTGTACGGAGAAGTGTTAGTGGGTACTCATTGGGTGGACATTGTACACCAGTATTGCTATTGGAAAGGGGGGTAGTACAGAGTGTTGATAGTGAGGATGGAGGTTGTAAACAGAATTGCTGATGTGGAGGGGGGCTATACAGAGTGTTCCAGGGTAGTTGTATAGAGTGTTGCAGAGGGGTAGGAGTTCACAATATATACACTCACCCTTATCAACGAGAAGTCACTGGGAAACTGTCTGGCAGGATTGTTACGAGGAATCAACTCCCACGAAGGTACATGGACGATACTTAAAGCTTCGCTCACAAACACAATTCGCTTTGGTTCAGTATAGTATCCGTCGAACAGCACAATGTATTCTATTACAACGAAACGCCAGACACGTTGACATGCTGAAGATTGAAATACAAAGCAAAGAAATTCAAACATACACACCATTTTCCACAACAGAAGTTTTAAAATCAAACCATAATCCTTCGGTTTTATTTTTGATGCAACCAAGTGGTACGTGACTGGCTCGTGTCAAAACACAAACCAAAATAACAAACACTAACAATCTATGTTTTTCACGCCACCATTTTGCAATATCTGAGACAAAAACCATAGCCAAATTACGAGAGGAAACACCAAATAATTCTTTCCATCCATATCTCTACATTTTCATTTGGTTCGAAGTATCTTTTGAAGCTTGATGTTGAAATTCTGACGGTATTTCATGCAGTATAGAACGTCATTCTGTTCGCCATCTTGAAAGATGATATCTAGCATGTGGCACAAACACCTCGATTTCATTGGTTAATAGGTCGTCTCCGTGGAAACATGAGACTTAAAAGAAATATTTCACATAAAATCATCGGTCATTGTAATAATTGCACATTGTCCGACTTCAAATTAGTTCTTGCACATCTCATTGGACGACATTTTATTGTTGACGCAAAAACCACCAGGCATTTCTGTTCGTAATATTATAAACACAAAAAAAATTGGGAAAGCAAAGACAAAAATATCGAACAAAGATTTGAGAAATGTTTCAATATATTAAGATATTGTTCAATCATATTGTACTCAGATACAAAAATTATTGATTGGATAAATGTGTATGACTTTGATAGGAAAATTAGAACGTCTCACAAAGAAAATTTCACAATCGATAATGTTAAAAAATTTAACATAAAATTAACTGCAGAATGCTTTAACATTGTTTTTACTTAGCAGAAATAGTTAAAAGTTGACGAAAACATAAGAGCGTCAACAGGCAAGCAGTATTAAGTAAATTAGTCTACATGAAGCAAGAATGGGGCTATCCTCCACAAAATAGTAATTTTGATTGCAATAATGATTTTCTTTAGGAAAAAAGCCGCAATTAAGTAGGGATAATTGTTAACATAAAACTGTATTCAAATTTCAAACCACTTCCTAAAAAAACGCTGGCAAATTCACTATCTAAAAAAACAAGGTTCGTCTCGGCTTCCATCTTGCAACTGGCCAAAACTTTTCAGTTTTCTCAAGGGGGCTGAAGGCCACATAGCCAATGAAAATAAGGTTTTGCTTAAAAGAAGCCAAGGGAGTTTTGAGTCTTAAAGGAAATTTTCCATTTGATACAGAAGAAGAAAAAGAAGACAAATAAATTACAGGATAGAATTAGAAAAGGCCAAATAAGAAGACCGACAGAAAGGAGATTGAAAATCAAAATTAAGACACATATAAGGAAATAAAGTTTTTTCTATTTTGAGTCTTGAAAGGATTCATTTTCTCTTTTCAGAAACCTTATTTGACATAAGAACTCTTTGTTTATAACTCTGGAAAATATCGTTTGATATCATTTGGTAATCGCATCAAGATGCCCTTGAAAAAGAAATAAATTATTTAGTCGAAGAACTTTACTATGTAAACAATACTTTTTAAAACCAATGTTGGTAGGAAGGAAACCAATGTTGGTTGAACAGCCCTGTCAGTAAATGAAAGTACAGAAACATTTGAACTTGATTTAAACATCAAAAATATCAGTACTTTCATTAATCTTTCGTTTATCTACATAAGACGCGCTTATCATCGACATTTAAGAGTCGTCAACAGTTTTCAGCAAATTTTTCAAAGATGAAAATAATCGCTATGATATCACCGCTCAACCTTCGTGATCTCAAAGCGGGCGAATATCGACTAATAGTCGTACTTTGTCAACTTTCTGCAGTACAGTTGATTCCGAGAACAGAAGGAAATCTTTCGTATACCGTGAGAAAGTCATAAATGTCTCCAACGTCAAAGGTGCCTATGTGAAAGAAGAAAAAAACGGCTATTGTCCTATTTTATTTCACAAGAACAGTAAAATTTAAGTTAAATATCACAAAAAATATTCTAAAGAACAGTATACGAAATAAACAGTAGTCCTACTTCACTGTTTTAGTGGCATATGACACAAAAGCCTTGTTCCCTATTCTGTGTCCAAAACTCGACCGTTTTTTACGTGCGTCGTTGAAGCAACGTATGAGGCAAATGAGTCCCGCCCAATGACCTGGAACCCAGTCTACTAGATATCTGACTCCGCCAAAATTGTATAGTAATGAGTGAAGCAAGCCGCCATCTTGAAATTTACGACTAATATCTACTTTTGCTGAGTTGATTTGGAATCGCAAAGTTGATAGTCTAGGTTTCATTTTTAAAATGTTTGATAAGATGGGTTTTTTAAACTTTGTTCTAAATTATTTTTCATTTTGAGTTTTGCTACCTTTCAAGATGGCGTCCTTGCCTTACCTTGACACGGTTGTTAGACATCTAGAGGACTGGGCTCTAAATCATTGGTCCCGCTATTCACAAGGTTGAAAACCATATTGTAAAAACTACCTCCGTTTCCGGTTCTGACCAATTCTTGTAGAGATCCACGCAAGATAAGTACATCAGTAAAATCGTATGTGTAAATTCATTGGTTGCCGATTCCTGTCACGTGATGTTAAGACACAGTTTTTACAGCGAATGAAAACCGATATATTTACATAGAACGATCAAACATTCGAGACGGCTACACCACAAACTAGCGTGTACAATCCACGTACTTTATATAGACTACAGCTGTCCAACTTTGTAACGATCCTAAATGAAAAAAAAACTTAATTAGCACATCAGTCAATATTGACAACCTAAATGAAAACGACTTCACCAACTTGAAGAAAACAACTGGCATCAACCATTTTATGGTTTTTCCAAAGAACGACGTCCTCAGACGAAGCACCTCCGCGCTTGGGTCAAGCTCCTCTGAAATGATTAAAAGATAAAAGTTTATCTTATTCGGAGGTTTCCTTATGAAAGTCGTCATCGATAAAGAAGTTAAAAATGACAGATTACAAACCGTTAAAGATACACAAAACACCGGGGGAGCGTACGAGAATCACAGAAGTCAATTTGTAAAAAAATTCTTCAACCATGTTCTGTTGCGGCTATTTGAAACGAAGATTAAGCGAGAATTCTTTTCAAAACATTTAGGGATAAATGTCATCAAGGTTTGGCGATATCTTTCTTTATCTATGTTATGCATCAAGGTAATGGTTATTTTCTCGCTAAAACTGAGCACATTTGAGAACGTCATGTAACACAACATATGAGAGATAGCCGAACTTAACGTTTAATCCTTTTCAACAGACATTTTGACTAATGTAAGATAAATAGACCACTAGGCAGCTAAATTTCTGCCTTCTTTTATCGGAGCATGTTTGATGTTTCATCATATATTTGACAAACTACGATTTCAATCATTCATTTACGCTCTCAGTTAGTAGAAATAAAAGTGGAAATTTACAGTTTCACCTTTTTTGTGAAGTGGAGGAATTCCTTGGATAAATACTCCAGCATCATATCAAACAGATAGACGATTACCTGCAAAGAAAATTGCCTGTAAATAAATATATTTAGCGAATGCACAAAGAAAGGACGAGAAAACGTAAATTTTAGAATATAGAAATTGCCGATTGAAGTTAAAAACATACTTTCTTCCCAGACTTATGTGCCAACAAACTCTCTAATATTGAATTAAAGCTAAATAATGAAAAGTTGTAAAGTTTTTATTTTATAATTTAGAGTCGTAATTTTTGGGCGAAGTTTTCCCATCAATACATGATTAATAAAGTAACTGGTTTTAGTCGTTAGCAAGTTGTTTGCTCTGTGGTTAATTCATCAAAACATAGATATATGTACAAACTAGCCTCTTTGTAAAAACATCTACATCAAAAGAATGACTCTTCAGTCTACAAAATTGAAGAGATGAAACAAGACTATCAGAATAAACCTCCTTAAATGGCTGTTTACTTTATATCAAATAACGAACAATGTACTTTTTTGTAAGGAACAGAAGGATGGCATAAGCTAGTCCCATTTCGTCGCAACTTTCGTTGAATATATTCTTCCACGATGTTGCGTTGTCGACGGTACTCAAAAAATCTTGACATCGACTGAACTGTAGAAGAGTTGAACTTCTTGAAAGATATGACCAACACAACGGTTTCAATTGATTCCAGTAAAACTATATCAAGGGAAGAGAAAGACAAAGAAGTAAATTATGAGCATTTATACATCACTGGTGACGGTGAACTTAGTCTGTAATATTTTATGTTGTCAAAGGAATCTGAATTGAACCGTTCTTTCAAGCCTATGGTATGAAACTTTCATTCATTTTTAATACCAAACTGACTTAAACAAATTTATTAAACTATTACCTAATCAACTGCCCACTCTGAATGTATTAGTTGAAAGTTACATTGAAAAATGGAACTTTGCTAACGCTGTTATCTCGCTACATGTTTGTAAATGTAGATCGTCCAGGTTGGTATAGTCCTGAGAAGGACTGTTTTTGTTGTTGTTCACTGACGTTTCGACAACCTTAGCGGTAGTCATCTTCAGAGTCATTTGTCAGAGTAACGATACTCCCGGGTTCAAACCATTTACTTAATTGCTGTTATCTCGATTAAATGTTGTGACATTGATCTTTCACGTTGACTGTCTTTCACTTTTAAAGTTCATTTCGAATCAAATAACGAAAACAACCAAATTAACCAACATTGACTTGACCAAAACTTACAGAGGAACTGTTCGGAACTTTGTCTCTGTTGATCTGCTTGTAATTATTCACGAAAAAAATTCATCGCAACACACAAAATTATGTTAAATTCTGCTTGCCATTGCAAACAAATTCAAGAAAAATATGACTAGCCGTTTTCCTACCTTGAACGCATCGCATTAACTTTGAAAGGAAAACACTGAAAGAAGACACAAACTTCAAAACACGAAAACCAAAATTTAGCGAAAACTGAGTTACCATACTTTTAAGATATACACTGTAAAATCGAAGGGAAGAACGTCTGTCGAAAAGAAATGGTTTTTCTTCATAAAAAACTGCTTAAACAAATTTATAAACTATAAATGGTGTTGAACCCGCTAACGCTGCTACATGTTTGTAAATGTAGATCGTCCAGGTTGGTATAGTCTTGAGAAGGACTGTTTTGTTGTTGTTGACTGACGTTTCGACAACCTTAGCGGTAGTCATCTTCAGAGTCAAATGGGTTCAAACGTCAGCTGTTATCTCGATTAAATGTTGATACTGGACTGTCTTACGTTTAGTTGTTGTGTAATATTTCACTTCTACACACTACCATGATCACACATCGATGTTCGTCTGTAACACATATACAATTACACCATCGCAACAACAAAACTGGCTAAACAAATTCTATGACTAGTTTCCTACCTCATTTGACTCATCAAAAACAATGCTTACAAAACTTCAACGACTATACCAACCTGGACAATCTACATTTAAAAACATGTAAAGGTTAACTATCTGACGCAAATGAATGCCTCGAACATGTAGTATCATTTGTAATGTATAAAGAATTAAGAAACACAGGTCGCTCAAATAAGATGAAGTTTTAAGAGCTTCATCTTTCCTGGTAAACTTGTCATTGAGAAAGACGTGGGGAGAGGGGGAGGACAACAAGATACAATACATACCAAGTATTTGTTGAGAAATTGCGAAAGCGACAAAATGGTTTCTCGCTGTAAAGGATTCTCCGATCCTATTTCAAAAGACGAAAGTAGAAGCGACGGTGGAAGTTGAGTTGATATCCTGACAAAAGTTAAAGAAAATATGAATCATTCAACCTAACCACTGACATTGACAAAGAAGGACTAAAACTATTTGCGAAAAGTTTTCATTGGATGAATGTGGACATGAAATTTTTTTGCCAACTTCTACACGCGGTCCTATCAAATAGCATATTTTCACTGGTCACCTGACAAACGCCATCACTTTGGATCGCAGGCTCAGTTCCTTCGATGATTCGTCATCGGTTTCAATCTGCATAAGAAAAAAGTCGATCAATTTGAAGAGAAGAAAACAAAATAAACAACGCTATTGATGATAGAAAATTCTGCCAGAACTTCGATTTCGCAGATATATAACTAAAATAACACAATTATAAAGCAAAGAAACAAATTAACAAAAGAAAATTGCTGTCTGATAACTGATAACGAATCATATACATGCTTTATGTGAAAGGTATATATGTATTTCTGTGAAGTCAATTCCAAGCAGTTGTTCTCGTATAGATCATAGTTTTTCGACCAATGAAATTGCTCAACTTAGCATTTTGTATGGAAATTTGCACCCCTCCACAAACGACGTAGAGGGGTGCGCACCTCTCCACACTATCCTCTAAGATCCATCACTGTACACGCTACTCACCTCATCAAAAATTGTTTCCATAAAAACTAAAAACCACGATTGGGTTTCAGCGACATTTGACTGAGTATGACTTGATCCAGAGATGTTCAAAATGTCCTACATTGGCGACATGGACAAAGTTATGGAGAATAAAGACCACGTTTATTGTTAAAACTGTTTTTGTTTGTGATCACTCAAAATGTTTGTTTTTCAACACTGCTTCTAACCTGTAATATTTTAAGAAGATGTTTTTCCGTTGGTAAACTTCGGTTGGTTCTTTCGTCGTTCGCCGAGTCAGAGCTTCATAAAAGAAGCAAGGAAAGTATTTTAGAAATGACGGAATACTGGAAATGATATAAAGTAAATGGTTTGAACCCGGGAGTATCGTTACATGTTTGTAAATGTAGATCGTCCAGGTTAGTAGAGTCCTGAGAAGGACTGTTGATGTTGATGTTGACTGACGTTTCGAAAGCCCACTACCGCTAAGATTGTCGAAACGTCAGTCAACATCAACACCAACAGTCTTTTTCATGACTCTACTAACCTGGACGATCTACTTCTACAAACATGGAAATGATATACATAATTAATATATGATGTATCCTGGGCTTATCGTGATGAGGAAAAGATAGCAAAAATAAGCTTCTGAAGAATAAGTCGTAAAAGTTCCCGAGTATGAATGTTCAAAGGTAAAGTATTTTGCAATAGCTAAGAATGGCACAAGATATTTTAGGAAAACTTTTGGTTTCAATAATTACCTATGCTTAATATTACTGATTGGTTGCATCAGACTGTAGCGATGAATATTAACTATTCTATTTTTAAGATTTTTATATTTAAAAAGCGTATTATACTTAGAACCAATCATTGTACTTTGAACCAATCATTATACTTAGAACCAATCATTGTACTTAGAACCAATCATTATACTTAGAACCAATCATTATACTTAGAACCAATCATTATACTTAGAACCAATCATTATACTTAGAACCAATCATTGTACTAAGAACCAATCATTATACTTAGAACCAATCATTATACTTAGAACCAATCATTGTACTTAGAACCAATCATTATACTTAGAACCAATCGTTGTACTTAGAACCAATCATTATACTTAGAACCAATCATTGTACTTAGAACCAATCATTATACTTAGAACCAATCATTGTACTTAGAACCAATCATTATACTTAGAACCAATCATTATACTTAGAACCAATTATTATACTTAGAACCAATCATTGTACTTAGAACCAATCATTATACTTAGAACCAATCATTATACTTAGAACCAATCATTATACTTAGAACCAATCATTGTACTTAGAACCAATCATTGTACTTAGAACCAATCATTGTACTTAGAACCAATCATTGTACTTAGAACCAATCATTATACTTAGAACCAATCATTATACTTAGAACCAATCATTATACTTAGAACCAATCATTATACTTAGAACCAATCATTATACTTAGAACCAATCATTATACTTAGAACCAATCATGCTTGATCATATATGAAGATACCGACTATTTTGTTTACGATACTAAGTATTCCAGCCCGTTCAATTTTCGCTATACACAAGCAAATAATATAAAAGATAAAAACGAGTAAAATAAAGGTTTCGGAATGGTTCCTACATGCAATGAGATAAAACAAGTTTCTTTCAAACACGGACCTTGTCCAACATTGAAATAAGCTCAGTATAATTTCTTGAGCAATCTTTCGATACACCATGTAAGTGTTTTCGTCTCCTAAAGCGACTATGAACTTCTCATAAATTATCCAGTAATAATACTGCAACCTATCAAATGATAAAATAGTCTAAAAAGGAAATCATCGTATTCAATTTAACCGCATTCAATAACACTGTGGGAAAACAGGAATTGCATGAGATGTTGTGACATGCCTTTCATTATCGTGAAGAGTATCTTCTGTTATCTGCAATTCCCAGATCAGCCATTGCTTCATCGTGTAACTTTGATTCAAAAATCCTTTGTCTTTAATGGTTTTCATAAGAACTTCAAACAACTTTGCTTCATCGGCTACATGGGAAAATGAATGAAATACTGTTCAGTTACCGTAAATGTTGACATGAACTCGGTTTGCTAAAACAGACAGCACTAATTGAACAGATTGTTGATTTAATCGTGTTGGGAGACAAATAAAAAGGTTTGATTATTTGGTGTGACCATCATAGAGATAACAAATAATACTAATAGTACAAATAAGTTTCACTTATAATCTCGATGGTGGCCATTTTGATGGATTTCGAGCAAACTTGTTCTGCTATCCTTTAAGCCAGCGGTAAAAATACTATCATCAACAATGTAACTCAACCAACATTTCAATAAGTCGTTCTCTTCGCATTCTCCTGTTCTGAATTTCAACTTGTTGAATAAATAATCCATCTGGAAATTGAATAAAAGGTGAAACAAAATATCACATTTTTGAATAGTACAACGTACTAAACTGGAGAAATTTTGACATAAGAAACAATATGGCGGCATGCTGCGATACGAGGAAGTCGATCTGCCTCAACTCGCGAACACACTTTAAATATTGACCTAGGTTATTGGGAAAGTTGTCTTTACACCTGACTTTCCCTTTTCTTTTTTTCCTTTCTTTATCTTTTTCAAGCTAGTAATTTGAAAACTATCATGGATATTTTAAACATTGATTTTAGTTAACATTTTTATATTCGTATGCTGTAGTTATAAAAGTTGTACCATTTATCATTAATATGGCGGCATGTGGATTTCAACCAAACTCTTTCGGAAAGAAATTGTTGCAAACTTTTTTGAAGGTTGTTTGTCTTATCAAAATCTCTGTATGGTCCACCATCAAGACACAAATTGATAAGTTACAACTACCCTCAAAAGAGAAGTTTTTAAAGGTTTTCACTCTTTTACGTTTGAAACAAGCGGAGAAAATACTCGGAGTTGCCGCCATTTTTCTTCTCATCAGGAATATTGATATTATGAATGTGCCATGAGGTGAACTTGAGAGAGTAGAAGCCTTTTACAAATATAAATTAACATACTTTTTTGCACATTCCTAAGGGAACATAAGCACAGCCTATTTAAAAATAAAAATGCGACAGTTATAAGACTACAGTAGCAAGAAATTACGCAGCTAAAACGATAAAACTAAGCAGTGTGGATTACGAGAGATTTTACTCACCAAAAGTTCGATGATTTTCCGGGAGAAGTTTCCCTGTGTCTGTTGTAACATCTTCAAACAGGACCAATGCGTATTGCAAATATTGAAAACTGAATCTAAAGCAAATGTCAGCGGTTTTTGAGTGTCGAAGGATGTAGGCGCAAATATTGAAAACTGAATCTAAAGCAAATGTCAGCGGTTTTTGAGTGTCGAAGGATGTAAGCGCAAATATTGAAAACTGAATCTAAAGCAAATGTCAGCGGTTTTTGAGTGTCAAAGGATGTAGGCAAACGTGAAAATATGAAAAGGGCGAGCACCTTAAATAAAACTGAAGCAAAGTTTTCGACTTCACGCTAAGTTCTGCGTAAATAAGATCGACAAGCGTTTGATGAATCGTGGGCTCAGGAGCAACATCAAGCTAGGAATGATGAAATAAACATCAGAACTATGAGAAATAATAGCAAATAGTACGAGTTCTATAAATACCTTGAAATTTCCCTGAAAATGAATCTTGCAAGGAGTTTTAATGGTTGAAAGATGGCAAACAAGAATGGCAAGTCCATGAGTATGCTCAGCACTCAGCAAATGAGACTACATTGGGAAGAAGAAAAAGATTCGTCAAGGCAAAATGGCGTACGGTTATGCTTTCGTTCATGGGTAGCACCTCGACGCAAATTGAACTCCAAAGATGAACAAATAAACATTGAACTAGAGACGGAAATGTGAGGATAATGGAGAGGAATTTCAACACCCAGTCAAATTTGTACTTTATACTAAAGAAGAAAATAACAAATATTGATGTACAACTCGTTGATCCAAAAGGTTCAAGGAAATCCTACTAAAATACCTTTGATCTTCGTTTTCCGAACGAGAACTCTGCACAGCGGCACAAGCGCGGCAAAAAACATTCATGACAGCGTGGGAGACCTGGGGCGGAGAAATAAGAACTCCTAAATATAGAGACATAGCGCCAGACAAAATACATTTCTGATATTGTACTTCAAAATGTTCTTTTTCCATTTTGGATGTGACGACAGTAACATCAACAGTTCCGATGTTCGTAAACTCCTGATGGCCAAAGAATGCCTTCAGTTTTCGTGATAATCCAGATAACCAGGATTTTAGATCAACTTTAAAGATTATATGTAGATAAATCACTGTATTGGTAAGCAGGCAAGAAATGTGATCGCAAAAAAAACGATATAAGGTTAAATGGACATCGCCACTCTTGATGAAATCGTTCTTAACACTATATTGTTAGAAGCTTTATCAGCCAAAAGAGTAGTTGCAGACCACGTGTGTTTCACGTGCAAAAGACGTTAGTTGACACGAGCAAAGTAACTATGATACTTTGAAGGTGGAACGAAATGTCTAGTGGAAACTAAAATAATCTTCATCTCACCTTGATTGATTTCGGATGTATTCAACATAGCAATCAATATATTAGGTAACTTCGTCAAGAACTTTGAGAGTTTTTGTACATTATCGAGTAATTCAACGTCTTTTGCATAATCTAATGAGTAATTCAACGTCATAATCTAATGAGTCATTATCGAGAGAGTTTTGGATATGATAACAATGAAACGTTCACCACACTTCAAACATTTCATGCTTATCTCCAATTTCTAAGGCTTGCCACCTCCAATTGTCTATGCTTAGCCCCAGATGAACAAAAAGTAAATGGTTTACACCCGGGAGTATCGTTACAAATGTTTGTAGATGTTGATCGTCCAGGTTGGTAGAGTCCTGAGAAGGACTGTTGGTGATAGTGTTGACTGACAACGTTAGTGTAACGCATCTTCGTAATCAGATGGACTGCCTTTAAGGATTTCAAAACATCAGTCAATACCAACACAAACAGTTCTTCTTCACTCTCATTAAACTGTACATATGTATCCTTCAGCTACCATATATATATATATATATGTACTCTCGTGTCACCACAATACAAATACCCGATTTATACCTTCCCAATTTTCGCACTTTCTCTCGTAAGATTTGAACATGGGCGCGGGAATTTTTCCCGCTCTAAACATGACGTAATACCTTGGTTATGTACGGCATTTGTAAACAACCATTATTAGTTTAATTCTTTACCTGTTCAAGTCATCAATGAAGCGGCTTCGAACGTCATTAGTTGGCTGGGTATATAGGAAAATAATGTTGTTATTCAAGACTGTATGGACTCTTCATTGCAATTGTATTTTAAATTCGTATTTATATGCAAGATTAGTCTACAAATGTACATGTTGTGATTGCAATAAAACACATTTTTTGAAAGACTTCAAATCACAAATGATTACCTTCCTAGGTGTCAGCAGAGAGGGAAGAAAGCGTCCAATAAAATACGGCTTTCTAAAAATGCTGCAAAGCAAAAAGACATGTAAGATACGCATAGTATTAAGATTCACGAAATATTAAATGCTAAATTAGCCAGATGCGTTTCCTTGAACTTAAGCTCAAATAATAGTTTTTATAAAACTTTGACAACAAAAATAAGGTACACACCAAAAACCATGACCAGCTAACAATTTAAAGAAATATAGTATGAAGCAAATTCCGAAAAAGCAAGACATCTTGAGATTGCAAAATATGCATCAAAACAAGACGAGAAGTGAACTGAAAATTTTCGACTTTATTTCAAAGTCATACTCAGACAGAATTCCGTCTTGTTTGGATGCATATTTTGCAATCCCAAGATGTCTTGCTTTTTCTGAATTTGCTTTATATTGTAATAAGGTATTTGTTTGTAGATGTAGATCGTCAAGGTAAGTAGAGTCATGAGAAGGACTGTTGTTGTTGATTCTGACTAACGTTTCGGCAACCTTAGCTGTAGTCATCTTCACAGTCAAATCTTGAGATCAAGATGTACATCTACAAACATCCAACGATACTCGCGTGCTCCAAACCATTTCCTTAATGTCATGCATACTTCTGCAACACACCAAGAACATCTACATTTTATAATGTGTAGCGCAGACCTTGCTTCCATGACTGTTATCGGTATTTTTCCTGATTCGTCGTAGATGGCAAGACATCTTTCAACGTCTTCCATCGCTTGCTCCATTACCTGGGAAATAAAACACAGACGCGGATCTTTCACAAAATGACAATTTAATAATAACTGCAAATTAAACACATTCCAAACAACACAAATACAAGCAACAAAACAGTTCAGTTCGTTCTTCCGTAGTCTTTAATCACCGAAAAAGATATTTTACAACAAGCTAGGTTTTTTTCAGGAATTTATCGCTGTTTCTATCACATTTTCATGTGTTTCAAACAAAATAATATATATGTGTGGCAGAAAAATACTTTTATACATGGTCTTTGACGTAAAATAACGATATACGTAATGATATAAGTAATGTTAGAATCTGACGTAAATGTATCAATATAAGAATTTAGGAGAGTTAAAATAACATTGATATCGTAAACCTTCATTTCCTCATTTGTTGTTGAGCATTGAGAGAATAATCCTGTATTTTCCTCCATGGGGATCTGTGTAAACAAAACACGAAAACAATAATTATTATAATACACGTGAAACATATGTAACACACAAATATAATTCTTTCTTTCACAAATCCTTGCTCAACATAAAAGTAGAGCGAATTTTATTTAACTATTGAATATACAGCAATCCTTTCAATGTTACAACTTAAAGTTTCGTGCTAAATGTTAAATGCGGATGATTAAATTGCGACAAAAAAAAAGAATTGCTGCATTTTAAACAATAAGAATTGCTCCATTTTAAAGAATGCATATGATGTGTTTAAAACATGCCAAACATAAAATAAGTAAACATAATCAATTGTTATAGTACAAACGAACAAGATAAACCATGTAAATTCAATCATGTTATGTCTTACGTTCAGCTCTCGTAATCGCGTTTTCGCCAAAGAAATATAGTCATCAATATTCTCTCTGAACTTTGAAGAAATCTGAGCGCTTTTGGTGACGTGAATCTGTGATTGTTTGATTAACAAAATAAGCATTTAGATTTTTTCGGTTTGAACTACATCCACTTGTTTTTATTAAGTACACTTAGTTTCTTTTATAAAAACCAAGTTAACGTGAACATTTAAGCTGAGTTTTTCCAAAATTTAAAACGAGATAAGAACAAATTGAGGCTTACGAAAAAATGCACAAAGAACAATCTTGATGAGTGTAATTAACGTAACTTAACTTTCAAACATTAATGTTCGTAAAAACACCATAAAACGCTAGGGTTTCTGGCTTTCCTAGGTAAATTTTTACCAGTTCTTGTAAAAAAGAATTTATCCCGTTTTTTGTCTGCATGTACTGTCATAGCTCATGACTATTTTTACAGGTTTAGTCGCAAAAATTATGTGAATAGGACGAATGATTAAAATTACAATACTTGCTCAGGGTTCAACTGAAACGTCATTCACCTTTAAAAACTCCGGTTGATCATGTGGCACGAGTTCTGTCAGACTTTTGAAAATGAAATGGATAGATTTCTTTGTGTTCATCTCCAAGAAAGATGGACCTTTTCTTACAAACGTTTGCTACACAAACAAAGTATAACTTATTCGACATTATTAACATCGTTTAAAGCAAATGCAATAAACTTTAAGATCAAACGAGAAAAGAGTGCTATTCTCTTAAGATGTATCAAGAATTTCTTTGTTTGTCAAGATAAAAGCGTTGTCTAAACATAACTGTACCTCGAACCAAGAGGAGTAAGGTAGAGAAATGTGACCTTCTTGAGAGAGCTGTCTTCTCAGAAGAATGACCATATGAAATTGTCGCGTGGAATTGTTTTCAAAACTTTCCCTAAGGCATTGTTGTAGGAAGTCTGCAAACAAAGAAGATTGCTCAGGAACGCTTCTAACTTCACGGTATACGTAGTTTGTGACGTATTTTGTGACGCGTAAGGTACATGCCACGCTTAAATACAGATAGAGAAATGTTTGTTTACAAAGAGAAGTGTATGTAGTGTGAGAACTGTAGTCAGTCATAGAGAAGTGTATGTTATCCTGTAGTCAGTCATAGAGAAGTGTATGTTATACTGTAGTCAGTCATAGAGAAGTGTATGTTATACTGTAGTCAGTCATAGAGAAGTGTATGTTATACTGTAGTCAGTCATAAAGAAATGTATGTTATACTGTAGTCAGTCATAGAAGTGTATGTTATACTGTAGTCAGTCATAAAGAAATGTATGTTATACTGTAGTCAGTCATAGAGAAGTGTATGTTATACTGTAGTCAGTCATAGAGAATGTATGTTATACTGTAGTCAGTCATAGAAGTGTATGTTATACTGTAGTCAGTCATAAGAAATGTATGTTATACTGTAGTCAGTCATAGAAGTGTATGTTATACTGTAGTCAGTCATAGAGAAGTGTATGTTATACTGTAGTCAGTCATAAAGAAGTGTATGTTATACTGTAGTCAGTCATAGAAAGTGTATGTTATACTGTAGTCAGTCATAGAAGTGTATGTTATACTGTAGTCAGTCATAGAAATGTATGTTATACTGTAGTCAGTCATAGAGGTGTATATGTTATACTGTAGTCAGTCATAGAGAAGTGTATGTTATACTGTAGTCAGTCATAGAGAAGTGTATGTTATACTGTAGTCAGTCATAGAGAAGTGTATGTTATACTGTAGTCAGTCATAGAGAAGTGTATGTTATACTGTAGTCAGTCATAGAGAAGTGTATGTTATACTGTAGTCAGTCATAGAGAGTGTATGTTATACTGTAGTCAGTCATAGAGAAGTGTATGTTATACTATAGTCAGTCATAGAGAAGTGTATGTTATACTGTAGTCAGTCATAGAAGTGTATGTTATACTGTAGTCAGTCATAGAGAAGTGTATGTTATACTGTAGTCAGTCATAGAGAAATGTATGTTATACTGTAGTCAGTCATAGAGAAGTGTATGTTATACTGTAGTCAGTCATAGAGAAGTGTATGTTATACTGTAGTCAGTCATAGAGAAGTGTATGTTATACTGTAGTCAGTCATAGAGAAGTGTATGTTATACTGTAGTCAGTCATAGAGAAGTGTATGTTATACTGTAGTCAGTCATAGAGAAGTGTATGTTATACTGTAGTCAGTCATAGAGAAGTGTATGTTATACTGTAGTCAGTCATAGAGAAGTGTATGTTATACTGTAGTCAGTCATAGAGAAGTGTATGTTATACTGTAGTCAGTCATAGAGAAGTGTATGTTATACTGTAGTCAGTCATAGAGAAGTGTATGTTATACTGTAGTCAGTCATAGAGAAGTGTATGTTATACTGTAGTCAGTCATAGAAGTGTATGTTATACTGTAGTCAGTCATAGAGAAGTGTATGTTATACTGTAGTCAGTCATAGAGAAGTGTATGTTATACTGTAGTCAGTCATAGAAGTGTATGTTATACTGTAGTCAGTCATAGAAGTGTATGTTATACTGTAGTCAGTCATAGAGAAGTGTATGTTATACTGTAGTCAGTCATAGAGAAGTGTATGTTATACTGTAGTCAGTCATAGAGAAGTGTATGTTATACTGTAGTCAGTCATAGAGAAGTGTATGTTATACTGTAGTCAGTCATAGGAAGTGTATGTTATACTGTAGTCAGTCATAGAAAGTGTATGTTATACTGTAGTCAGTCATAGAGAAGTGTATGTTATACTGTAGTCAGTCATAGAGAAGTGTATGTTATACTGTAGTCAGTCATAGAGAAGTGTATGTTATACTGTAGTCAGTCATAGAGAAGTGTATGTTATACTGTAGTCAGTCATAGAGAAGTGTATGTTATACTATAGTCAGTCATAGAGAAGTGTATGTTATACTGTAGTCAGTCATAGAGAAGTGTATGTTATACTGTAGTCAGTCATAGAGAAGTGTATGTTATACTGTATTCAGTCATAGAGAAGTGTATGTTATACTGTAGTCAGTCATAGAGAAGTGTATGTTATACTGTAGTCAGTCATAGAGAAGTGTATGTTATACTGTAGTCAGTCATAGAAAGTGTATGTTATACTGTAGTCAGTCATAGAGAAGTGTATGTTATACTTTAGTCAGTCATAGAGAAGTGTATGTTATCCTGTAGTCAGTCATAGAGAAGTGTATGTTATACTGTAGTCAGTCATAGAGAAGTGTATGTTATACTATAGTCAGTCATAGAGAAGTGTATGTTATACTGTAGTCAGTCATAGAGAAGTGTATGTTATACTGTAGTCAGTCATAGAGAAGTGTATGTTATACTGTATTCAGTCATAGAGAAGTGTATGTTATACTGTAGTCAGTCATAGAGAAGTGTATGTTATACTGTAGTCAGTCATAGAGAAGTGTATGTTATACTGTTGTCAGTCATAGAAGTGTATGTTATACTGTAGTCAGTCATAGAGAAGTGTATGTTATACTGTAGTCAGTCATAGAGAAGTGTATGTTATACTGTAGTCAGTCATAGAGAGTGTATGTTATCCTGTAGTCAGTCATAGAGAAGTGTATGTTATACTGTAGTCAGTCATAGAGAAGTGTATGTTATACTGTAGTCAGTCATAGAAATGTATGTATACTGTAGTCAGTCATAGAGAAAGTGTATGTTATACTGTAGTCAGTCATAGAGAAGTGTATGTTATACTGTAGTCAGTCATAGAGAAGTGTATGTTATACTGTAGTCAGTCATAGAGAAGTGTATGTTATACTGTAGTCAGTCATAGAGAAATGTATGTTATACTGTAGTCAGTCATAGAGAAGTGTATGTTATACTGTAGTCAGTCATAGAGAAGTGTATGTTATACTGTAGTCAGTCATAGAGAAGTGTATGTTATACTGTAGTCAGTCATAGAGAAGTGTATGTTATAGTGTAGTCAGTCATAGAGAAGTGTATGTTATACTGTAGTAAGTCACAGAGAAGTGTATGTTATACTGTAGTCAGTCATAGAAGTGTATGTTATACTGTAGTCAGTCATAGAGAAGTGTATGTTATACTGTAGTCAGTCATAGAGAAGTGTATGTTATACTGTAGTCAGTCATAGAGAAGTGTATGTTATACTGTATTCAGTCATAGAGAAGTGTATGTTATACTATAGTCAGTCATAGAGAAGTGTATGTTATCCTGTAGTCAGTCATAGAGAAGTGTATGTTATACTGTAGTCAGTCATAGAAGTGTATGTTATACTATAGTCAGTCATAGAGAGTGTATGTTATACTGTAGTCAGTCATAGAGAAGTGTATGTTATACTGTAGTCAGTCATAGAGAAGTGTATGTTATACTGTAGTCAGTCATAGAGAATGTATGTTATACTGTAGTCAGTCATAGAGAAGTGTATGTTATACTGTATTCAGTCATAGAGAAGTGTATGTTATACTGTAGTCAGTCATAGAGAAGTGTATGTTATACTGTAGTCAGTCATAGAGAAGTGTATGTTATACTGTAGTCAGTCATAGAGAAGTGTATGTTATACTGTAGTCAGTCATAGAGAAGTGTATGTTATACTGTAGTCAGTCATAGAGAAGTGTATGTTATACTGTAGTCAGTCATAGAGAAGTGTATGTTATACTGTAGTCAGTCATAGAGAAATGTATGTTATACTGTAGTCAGTCATAGAGAAGTGTATGTTATACTGTAGTAGTCAGTCATAGAGAAGTGTATGTTATACTGTAGTCAGTCATAGAAAGTGTATGTTATACTGTAGTCAGTCATAGAGAAGTTTAAGTTATACTGTAGTCAGTCATAAAGAATTGTATGCTATATTAAGTCAATACTGTAGTCAAGTCATGTATGTTTATGTAGTCAGTCATAGATAGAGATAGTGTATGTTATAGTGTATGTTAGTCATAGAGAAGTATGTTATACTGTAGTCAGTCAGAAAAATGTTGTAGTTCAGTCACTGTAGTCTGTATGTTATACTGTATGTTCATACTGTAATGTATCAGAACTTAAATCATCAAAGAATGTATGTATACATCATTCATCAAAGAAATGTATGTTATATCAGAACAGAATATGAAGTTATACTGTACTTCAGTCATAGAAAAAATGTTATACTATAGTCAGTCATAGAGAAGTATGGTAGTCAGTTCATAAAAATGTATGTTATTTGTAGTAGAGAAGTGTATGTTATACTGTAGTCAGTCATAGAGAAATGTATGTTATACTGTAGTCAGTAAGAGATGTATGTATGTTCATAGATTGTTAAAGTATTGTAAAATAATAGTCAAGTACTGTATACTCAGTCATAAGAAGTGTATATTATCTGTCAGTCAGTCAAAGGTATGTTATGTAAGTTTTACTCAGTCATAGAAAAGTGTATGTTATACTGTAGTAGTCATAGAGTTTATGTTTACTGTAGTCGTTTAGAAAATGTATGTTATATATTCAGTCAGAGAAAGTATGTTATACTCCAGCAGTCATAGAGAAGTGTATGTTATCTTTGTTCAGTATAGAGAAGTGTATGTTATACTGTATTCAGTCATAAGAGTGTATGTTATACTTTAGTCAGTCAGAAAAGTAGTATGTTATACTGTAGTCAAGTCATAGAAGTGTATGTATACTGTAGTCACATAGAAGAAGTGTATGTTATGTGTTGTCATAGAGATGTTAATGTATCATAGAGAATCAGTCAAGAGTATGTTATACTGTAGTCAGTCATAGAGAAGTGTATGTTATACTGTAGTCAGTCATAGAGAAGTGTATGTTATACTGTAGTCAGTCATAGAGAAGTGTATGTTATACTGTAGTCAGTCATAGAAAGTGTATGTTATACTGTAGTCAGTCATAGAGAAGTGTATGTTATACTGTAGTCAGTCATAGAGAAGTGTATGTTATACTGTAGTTAGTCATAGAGAAATGTGTGCTATACTGTTGTCAGTCATAGAGAAGTGTATGTTATACTATAGTCAGTCATAGAGAAGTGTATGTTATACTGTAGTCAGTCATAGAGAAGTGTATGTTATACTGTAGTCAGTCATAGAGAAGTTTATGTTATACTGTAGTCAGTCATAGAGAAATGTATGCTATACTGTAGTCAGTCATAGAGAAGTGTATGTTATACTGTAGTCAGTCATAGAGAAGTGTATGTTATACTGTAGTCAGTCATAGAGAAGTGTATGTTATACTGTAGTCAGTCATAGAGAAGTGTATGTTATACTGTAGTCAGTCATAGAGAAGTGTATGTTATACTGTAGTCAGTCATAGAGAAGTGTATGTTATACTGTAGTCAGTCATAGAGAAGTGTATGTTATACTGTAGTCAGTCATAGAGAAGTGTATGTTATACTGTAGTCAGTCATAAAGAAGTGTATGTTATACTGTAGTCAGTCATAGAAGTGTATGTTATACTGTATTCAGTCATAGAGAAGTGTATGTTATACTGTAGTCAGTCATAGAAAGTGTATGTTATACTGTAGTCAGTCATAGAGAAGTGTATGTTATACTGTATTCAGTCATAGAGAAGTGTATGTTATACTGTAGTCAGTCATAGGGAAGTGTATGTTATACTGTAGTCAGTCATAAAGAAGTGTATGTTATACTGTAGTCAGTCATAGAGAAGTGTATGTTATACTGTATTCAGTCATAGAGAAGTGTATGTTATACTGTAGTCAGTCATAGAGAAGTGTATGTTATACTGTAGTCAGTCATAGAGAAGTGTATGTTATACTGTTGTCAGTCATAGAGAAGTGTATGTTATACTGTAGTCAGTCATAGAGAAGTGTATGTTATACTGTAGTCAGTCATAGAAGTGTATGTTATACTGTAGTCAGTCATAGAGAAGTGTATGTTATACTGTAGTCAGTCATAGAGAAGTGTATGTTATACTGTAGTCAGTCATAGGAAGTGTATGTTATACTGTAGTCAGTCATAGAGAAGTGTATGTTATACTGTAGTCAGTCATAGAAGTGTATGTTATACTGTAGTCAGTCATAGAGAATGTATGTTATACTGTAGTCAGTCATAGAAAGTGTATGTTATACTGTAGTCAGTCATAGAGAAGTGTATGTTATACTGTAGTCAGTCATAGAGAAGTGTATGTTATACTGTAGTCAGTCATAGAGAAGTGTATGTTATACTGTAGTCAGTCATAGAGAAGTGTATGTTATACTGTAGTCAGTCATAGAGAAGTGTATGTTATACTGTAGTCAGTCATAGAGAAGTGTATGTTATACTGTAGTCAGTCATAGAGAAGTGTATGTTATACTGTAGTCAGTCATAGAGAAATGTGTTATACTGTAGTCAGTCATAGAAGTGTATGTTATACTGTAGTCAGTCATAGAGAAGTGTATGTTATACTGTAGTCAGTCATAGAAGTGTATGTTATACTGTAGTCAGTCATAGAGAAGTGTATGTTATACTGTAGTCAGTCATAGAAAGTGTATGTTATACTGTAGTCAGTCATAGAGAAGTGTATGTTATACTGTAGTCAGTCATAGAGAAGTGTATGTTATACTGTAGTCAGTCATAGAGAAGTGTATGTTATACTGTAGTCAGTCATAGAGAAGTGTATGTTATACTGTAGTCAGTCATAGAAAGTGTATGTTATACTGTAGTCAGTCATAGAGAAGTGTATGTTATACTGTAGTCAGTCATAGAGAGTGTATGTTATACTGTAGTCAGTCATAGAGAAGTGTATGTTATACTGTAGTCAGTCATAGAAGTGTATGTTATACTGTAGTCAGTCATAGAGAAGTGTATGTTATACTGTAGTCAGTCATAGAGAAGTGTATGTTATACTGTAGTCAGTCATAGAGAAGTGTATGTTATACTGTAGTCAGTCATAGAGAAGTGTATGTTATACTGTAGTCAGTCATAGAGAAGTGTATGTTATACTGTAGTCAGTCATAGAAAGTGTATGTTATACTGTAGTCAGTCATAGAGAAGTGTATGTTATACTGTAGTCAGTCATAGAGAAGTGTATGTTATACTGTAGTCAGTCATAGAGAAGTGTATGTTATACTGTAGTCAGTCATAGAGAAGTGTATGTTATACTGTAGTCAGTCATAGAGAGTGTATGTTATACTGTAGTCAGTCATAGAGAGTGTATGTTATACTGTAGTCAGTCATAGAAAGTGTATGTTATACTGTAGTCAGTCATAGAGAGTGTATGTTATACTGTAGTCAGTCATAGAGAAGTGTATGTTATACTGTAGTCAGTCATAGAAGTGTATGTTATACTGTAGTCAGTCATAGAGAAGTGTATGTTATACTGTAGTCAGTCATAGAAAGTGTATGTTATACTGTAGTCAGTCATAGAGAAGTGTATGTTATACTGTAGTCAGTCATAGAGAAGTGTATGTTATACTGTAGTCAGTCATAGAGAAGTGTATGTTATACTGTAGTCAGTCATAGAGAAGTGTATGTTATACTGTAGTCAGTCATAGAGAAGTGTATGTTATACTGTAGTCAGTCATAGAAAGTGTATGTTATACTGTAGTCAGTCATAGAGAAGTGTATGTTATACTGTAGTCAGTCATAGAGAAGTGTATGTTATACTGTAGTCAGTCATAGAGAAGTGTATGTTATACTGTAGTCAGTCATAGAGAAGTGTATGTTATACTGTAGTCAGTCATAGAGAAGTGTATGTTATACTGTAGTCAGTCATAGAAGTGTATGTTATACTGTAGTCAGTCATAGAGAAGTGTATGTTATACTGTAGTCAGTCATAGAGAAGTGTATGTTATACTGTAGTCAGTCATAGAGAAGTGTATGTTATACTGTAGTCAGTCATAGAGAAGTGTATGTTATACTGTAGTCAGTCATAGAGAAGTGTATGTTATACTGTAGTCAGTCATAGAGAAGTGTATGTTATACTGTAGTCAGTCATAGAGAAGTGTATGTTATACTGTAGTCAGTCATAGAGAAGTGTATGTTATACTGTAGTCAGTCATAGAGAAGTGTATGTTATACTGTAGTCAGTCATAGAGAAGTGTATGTTATACTGTAGTCAGTCATAGAGAAGTGTATGTTATACTGTAGTCAGTCATAGAGAAGTGTATGTTATACTGTAGTCAGTCATAGAGAAGTGTATGTTATACTGTAGTCAGTCATAGAGAAGTGTATGTTATACTGTAGTCAGTCATAGAGAATGTATGTTATACTGTAGTCAGTCATAGAGAAGTGTATGTTATACTGTAGTCAGTCATAGAGAAGTGTATGTTATACTGTAGTCAGTCATAGAGAAGTGTATGTTATACTGTAGTCAGTCATAGAGAAGTGTATGTTATACTGTAGTCAGTCATAGAGAAGTGTATGTTATACTGTAGTCAGTCATAGAAAGTGTATGTTATACTGTAGTCAGTCATAGAGAAGTGTATGTTATACTGTAGTCAGTCATAGAGAAGTGTATGTTATACTGTAGTCAGTCATAGAGAATGTATGTTATACTGTAGTCAGTCATAGAGAAGTGTATGTTATACTGTAGTCAGTCATAGAAGTGTATGTTATACTGTAGTCAGTCATAGAGAAGTGTATGTTATACTGTAGTCAGTCATAGAGAAGTGTATGTTATACTGTAGTCAGTCATAGAGAAGTGTATGTTATACTGTAGTCAGTCATAGAGAAGTGTATGTTATACTGTAGTCAGTCATAGAGAAGTGTATGTTATACTGTAGTCAGTCATAGAGAAGTGTATGTTATACTGTAGTCAGTCATAGAGAAGTGTATGTTATACTGTAGTCAGTCATAGAGAAGTGTATGTTATACTGTAGTCAGTCATAGAGAAGTGTATGTTATACTGTAGTCAGTCATAGAGAAGTGTATGTTATACTGTAGTCAGTCATAGAGAAGTGTATGTTATACTGTAGTCAGTCATAGAGAAGTGTATGTTATACTGTAGTCAGTCATAGAGAAGTGTATGTTATACTGTAGTCAGTCATAGAGAAGTGTATGTTATACTGTAGTCAGTCATAGAGAAGTGTATGTTATACTGTAGTCAGTCATAGAAGTGTATGTTATACTGTAGTCAGTCATAGAGAAGTGTATGTTATACTGTAGTCAGTCATAGAAGTGTATGTTATACTGTAGTCAGTCATAGAGAAGTGTATGTTATACTGTAGTCAGTCATAGAGAAGTGTATGTTATACTGTAGTCAGTCATAGAGAAGTGTATGTTATACTGTAGTCAGTCATAGAGAAGTGTATGTTATACTGTAGTCAGTCATAAAAGTGAAGTTATACTGTATCAGTCATCAGAAGTAATGTTATACTGTAGTCAGTCATAGAGAAGTGTATGTTATACTGTAGTCAAGATGACACAATGTTCATGTTTATAAAGTCAGACTATAAACAAAGATAGAGATACGTATTATGTTGAATAAATATATTTATGTGGAATCAAATACGCGAAGGCCATAGGTTTTTTATCTGTACGTCACAACACCAAAACATCATTAAGTAGCTATCAATCACCTTACTCGCCTCTACAGCATGATCAATCGTTTGAATGATTTCATTATCTTGCAATGCCATCACGAACTGCAAATGAATCAAAGAGTAAATTTGTGCGTCTGTTCTATCAAAAAATGACTTGCATGTACTTTGTAATATATACAAACAAACAAGGCTCTATAGAACGATTCTACTCTACTTCGGCTCCGGGTAAAAAAAAAACTTCGGGTTCTGCTATAAAGCTCCAGCTTCTGTTGAAACAAGCTTCGTCTCCGGAAAAAGTTTATATTCTCAAAAAATTTATGAAATTTGAAAGAAGAGCAAGCCGTTTCTCGATGAATACGTATAGCCCACGTCAGGGGAAAAACCACGCTTAGACATCATCGATGATGTAAGAGATGTATTGTAAAATGACATCATAGATGATGCAAGACATGTATTGTAAAATAATTGTCAATCTCGGACTGTATAGTAGTCGATCGATACAATAAGGCGTCATATTATCTGTCGTACATAAAATACTCTGTTTCTGTGGAAGTTTTTACTTTTTCATCAGCAAAAACTTCGTATTTTTGCTGATTGTTTGTTGAGTTTGGACATTTACTCAGTCGTTTACGAAAATGTTATTGCCGGAGTTTTGACCTCAAATCCTGCGCCGGCAAAGTACATCAAAACTCCAGCGGTCCGAATCCAGTGCCCAGTTCTAATTCTTCTTTGTCTCAAATATGGGATTTGTTCCGGCTAAGGCAAAATGTCACGTGGCCAGTTTATAATACCCCGGATGGATGGTGACTTTTTCAAGCGTATTAAAAAGGTACTTAAAGTCATATTTCCTTTATGAAATATCGAAGCAAGGAAGGTATGTACCTGAGCAAAATTTGTTTTTATCGACGAAAGAAGAAGTTCGAAAGTCCATTTGTGTTGTGAAATAAAAGCGTTTTCCAACGTGGAAGTGTTGGATCCCATGACCCAGTCAGTCAAGACTTCTTGAAGAAAATCATGTCGAGTTTCCCTGGGAATCTCATTGCATTTACGCACCAATTCAAGGAAACAAATCCTGCAAAACATGTGAAGCAAAAAACAGGTTGTACAAGAACATGTAATCGGGTATATAAAAGAACAGGTAAAACTGATACAGGTTAAAAATGAAATGATAAAAGAAGAACAAATAATACGAGAACAGGTAAAACTACAACAAGTATGAAGAGGTAAAACTACAACAGGTATGAACAGGTAAAACTACAAGTATGAACAGGTAAAACTACAACAGGCATCAACAGGTAAAACTACAACAGGTATGAACAGGTAAAACTACAACAGGTATGAACAGGTAAAACTACAACAGGTATGAACAGGTAAAACTACAAAGGTATGAACAGGTAAAACTACAACAGGTATGAACAGGTAAAACTACAAAAGGTATGAAGAGGTAAAACTACAAAAGGTATGAACAGGTAAAACTACAACAGGTATGAACAGGTAAAACTACAAAATGAACAGGTAAAAACACAACAGGCATCAACAGGTAAAACTACAACAGGTATGAACAGGTAAAACTACAACAGGTATGAACAGGTAAAACTACAAGTATGAACAGGTAAAACTACAACAGGCATCAACAGGTAAAACTACAACAGGTATGAACAGGTAAAACTACAACAAGTATGAACAGGTAAAACTACAACAGGTATGAACAGGTAAAACTACAAGTATGAACAGGTAAAACTACAACAGGTATGAACAGTTAAAACTACAAGTATGAACAGGTAAAACTACAACAGGCATCAACAGGTAAAATTACAACAGGTATGAACAGGTAAAACTACAACAAGTATGAACAGGTAAAACTACAACAGGTATGAACAGGTAAAACTACAACAGGTATGTACAGGTAAAACTACAACAGGTATGAACAGGTAAAACTACAACAGGTATGAACAGGTAAAACTACAACAGGTATGTACAGGTAAAATTACAACAGGTATGAACAGGTAAAACTACAACAAGTATGAACAGGTAAAACTACAACCGGTATGAACAATTAAAACTACAACAGGTATGAACAGGTTAAAACTACAACAAGTATGAACAGGTAAAACTACAACCGTATGAACAGGTAAACTACAACAGGTATGAACAGGTAAAACTACAACAAGTATGAACAGGTAAAACTACAACAGGTATGAAAAGGTAAAACTACAACAGGTATGAACAGGTAAAACTACAACAAGTATGAACAGGTAAAACTACAACCGGTATGAACAGGTAAAACTACAACAGGTATGAGCAGGTAAAACTACAACAAGTATGAACAGGTAAAACTACAACAGGTATGAACAGGTAAAACTACAACAGGTATGAACAGGTAAAACTACAACCGGTATGAACAGGTAAAACTCCAACAGGTATGAACAAGAAAAAGTGAGAAAAAAATTTGGAATGTCAAATCAAAAATGTTCTGACTATGACCATTTGTTAGGAATGAAATTTGAGTTTTACCAACAACAACGAGAAATTTGTACAACCTTACCACCATTGCTCAATTTTCTCATCATTTTTGAAAGTTTCAATCTGTTTTTCCAACACTATATAATGTCAAAACCAAAATCAAACGTGGTATTTTTACAAGAATAGCTAATCCAAATCAAACATAACATTAAACTTCGACCAAAGTCTTTTTCAAAAGTCGAACTTTTCATTTGACCAGCGTAATAGAAACAAAAGACAATGAAAAGGACTAACTTGTTATCTCAAGTTGTACAACCATTGAAATCTTTTAAATTTTATTAAAACATTGGATGGAAAGTTTGTAAGATGTTTCGAGTTCGTACTTACATCTTATTATGTTAGAAAGGATTTTTCGAGAACTCTAAATGAAAAAAATCAATTGAAATGAGAGAAACATTGCGAAATATCTCTTATTCTAGATAATAGTTTGAATTTTGCCGAGAACGCGGTTCACAAAAATTTCTTTATTACTTTTTTCACTTGCTCCGTGATCTCGTTTGATTCGCCATGATAACTTAACCGTAACAAATTACTCGTAACGACTAAAAGAAAGACGAATATTTGCTGTTAAAGAAGATATACGTAGTCACCATTAAATAAAGTTAAAGTAACGGCTGCGAAAATTCTGGATTACTACGACCACAGGATAGTGGTTTTGAATGTGTCGAAAATCTCTTAAAAGTAAATTATTACCAATTTAACTTAAAATCAAAATATTATCAAATTAAGCTTAAGCATGACGTTTTTATTCTAGTGAAAACAACATAACTTCTGTATTACGCTTGAGCGTTGAAAGTCTTTTATCTAGTGGACATTGCTATCAATTTTTCTGCTTTACTACACAACATCAATCCTGTAATATCCTTTCTGACCTTCGAGGATCCTACGACGAACATTCACGTCCTCTTTATCTCCATGACAACAGAGACTGACGACGCTGCTTTGAAAATCGGCAAGCCATTCTTCGTCTGCAAGCCAACTGTATAATTTTATCATATAAGAAACTTAGATTTACATTTTACTGAAATGTCGTGAAAACAACTTCACCTTGCGAAGCACGTCTGAAAGTTTACGACAGAAGTTTCATCCAGCAGGAACATTAATTCCAAAGGAATTTCCTAGAAATACGAACTCTTATATAAACAACAAGTAACTAGCAAAAAAGACGAAGGCACACATGCGAGTAGGCTAGTAGTCATCATTAGGAAACATTTTCAGTTACTAAAAAAAGTTTAGACCAACGTTTTGAACATGTTTTATTCTTTATTGAAATGCCACAAGTGGCTTGAGCATTCCGGCAAACTGTAGTGCCGAGGCCAGGTTCTTGTAGTCTGGGTAAAGGTACGGTGATGTTTTCAAATGTTTCAAATATTTTCACAAGGCAAAAAGCTACTATGAAATCTTGATAATCAATAGAATAAATGTTAACAGAGCTTCGTTTCAATGAAGAAAATACAACTATATGTAACGTGTTTGTACGTAAATGATTATCGTCCAGATAACAGGTTAGTGCAAAGTAGAAGTAGTCGAAAAAAAGATGGTTTTACGTTGGTAAGAATGTTCAAACGCCAGTCAACACAAACAGTCCCTCTCAGCGTAATGTATCCATTGAAAAAACATCACCAGTTGTACTTGGAAAACCTCCAGTGATCCCCCTCAACGACTGGTAGCCAGCCCACAAGCGTAGCCAGACAGCAAATTTGGTCGTACTATGTAAATTTCAGATCATTAACATTATTCATTTCTTTAGAAATCTATTGCTTTTACAGTAAGTGAACACAGAAAAATTTACATATCACGACCAAACTTGCGAGCCAGCTACGTCACTGATGACAGCACCAGCAGTCCTTCTCAGGACCAAACTATCCAGGGCCATTTACATGTACAAACGTGTTTAAAACAATACTCTCGGGGTTCAAAACCATTTAATCTAAAATATAATCATATTTTAATGTGCTTGTTTTTCCTGAAAGCAAACACAGAAATACATACATAAATGGGCATAAATCCTTGAAGGGCCCGAGGGGTTGACATATCCCCCTTTTTAACAAAAATATACGATTTCACATTAAACACTGAAAAATCCTGTCCAACACCACTTATCAAAACACATTTGCACCTTTGTATGCAGAACATGACCATACATTGGATATGACAATGGTTATACAACAAGAATTGCTGCGTACCTTTCTTGATAAATTGTGGATAAAATGTAAGCTATCAAAGTAGTTTTGTCTTTTCATCTTGAATTGCTTTATAAAGCTGAGTAATGTCTTTACCCTTTCCTGTAAAATGTTTTATATGTGTTCAAGCAATGTATGAAAGAAAATCAAGAATAGTCACATAAAGATATCTCAGTAAAAATCCAGTATAAGATCATATTTGGATCCCGGCATCAATGTTATCTTTGATCCTGTCATCCTACAATCATGTAAAATTTATCTTATCTAGGATCCTGTCATCCTATAATCATGTAAAATTTATCTTATCTAGGATCCTGTCATCCTATAATCATATAAAATTTATCTTATCTAGGATCCTGTCATCCTATAATCATGTAAAATTTATCTTATCTAGGGTCCTGTCATCCTACAATCATGTAAAATTTATCTTATCTAGGATCCTGTCATCCGACAATCATGTAAAATTTATCTTATCTAGGATCCTGTCATCCTACAATCATGTAAAATTTATCTTATCTAGGATCCTGTCATCCTATAATCATGTAAAATTTATCTTATCTAGGATCCTGTCATCCTACAATCATGTAAAATTTATCTTATCTAGGATCCTGTCATCCTACAATCTTGTAAAATTTATCTTATCTAGGATCCTGTCATCCTACAATCATGTAAAATTTATCTTATCTAGGATCCTGTCATCCTACAATCATGTAAAATTTATCTTATCTAGGATCCTGTCATCCTACAATCATGTAAAATTTATCTTATCTAGGATCCTGTCATCCTACAATCATGTAAAATTTATCTTATCTAGGATCCTGTCATCCTACAATCATGTAAAATTTATCTTATCTAGGATCCTGTCATCCTACAATCATGTAAAATTTATCTTATCTAGGATCCTGTCATCCTACAATCATGTAAAATTTATCTTATCTAGGATCCTGTCATCCTACAATCATGTAAAATTTATCTTATCTAGGGTCCTGTCATCCTACAATCATGTAAAATTTATCTTATCTAGGATCCTGTCATCTTACAATCATGTAAAATTTATCTTATCTAGGATCCTGTCATCCTACAATCATGTAAAATTTATCTTATCTAGGATCCTGTCATCCTACAATCATGTAAAATTTATCTTATCTAGGATCCTGTCATCCTACAATCATGTAAAATTTATCTTATCTAGGATCCTGTCATCCTACAATCATGTAAAATTTATCTTATCTAGGATCCTGTCATCCTACAATCATGTAAAATTTATCTTATCTAGGATCCTGTCATCCTACAATCATGTATAATTTATCTTATCTAGGATCCTGTCATCCTACAATCTTGTAAAATTTATCTTATCTAGGATCCTGTCATCCTACAATCATGTAAAATTTATCTTATCTAGGATCCTGTCATCATACAATCATGTAAAATTTATCTTATCTAGGATCAAGAAGAGCCTTTCAGGATCTTGGTAGAATTTGCAAAAACTTACAAAATCATACTCAGAAATTTCAACAGGGTATATTTCGGTCATACCTTCACAGTTGGATGTAGTAATGGGGAAATCTCTCCAGCACTTTCATTGATTTTAGTATTTACAACATTCATGACTTGTCTGGCCAGTGTTTGGGAAGAAACTATGCTTATGGGCATTTTGGTTTGCTGTGCAATGGCGTCGAAATACTCAACACATGACTCTTCTGTTGGAAACAAAACATACAATAATAAAATTAATTTTGATTTATGTTTTAACATAAGATCACTCCTGATGAAGACACTAGACAGGAGTATGTAAAGACTCAGGTTTAAACATAAGATCATTCCTGAAAAGGACATTAGACAGGAGTATATAAGGACATTAGATGAAAACATTAGACTAGAGTATATAAGGACTCAAGTTTCAACATCAGATCACTCATGATGAAGACCTTAGACTGGAGTATATAGGGACTCAAGTTTCAACATCAGATCACTCCAGATGAAGACATTAGACTGGAGTATATAAGGACTCAAGTTTCAACATCAGATCACTCCAGATGAAGACATTAGACTGGAGTATATAAGGACTCAAGTTTCAACATCAGATCACTCCAGATGACGACATTAGACTGGAGTATGTAAGAACTCAAGTTTCAACGTCAGATCACTTTTGATGAAGACACTAGACTAGAGTATATAAAGACTAAAGTTTTAACATCAGATCACTTCTGATGAAAACACTAGACTAGAGTATATAAGAACTCAAGTTTCAACATCAGATCACTCCTGTGTTCATGTTTGACGAAGATGTTTGACTGAAAGGAATAAGATGTCAAATGTTATCATTGATCAACAGATCACCTGTCATTATGTTGAAATCCATTTCAGGGGCATCTTGTGAAGTCTGTAAAATTTTAAAATTAGAATATGATCATCATGCAATATATTGCTTATTTTTGACCTCTTCCAAAACTTTGCCGATATCGACATTATCTATGATAAAATCCAACACTTCTTGCTCTAAATCTTCAACATCAGTGATAATTTCATCATCTTTTGATGAGTCTAAAAATTCATATACATGAATATGGCAAAAACATCTCAAGGCATCACGACATTACACCAAAATAGAAAATATACTCTGCCTCGTAATATTTGTTCGAACATTTCATTGACATCTTCTTCCATTTCTGTTGTTTTTACTTTTCAGTCAAAAAAACCTCGTTTTTTAGCAAACTTTTACTTTCCAATGAAAAGCAATTTGTCAAAGTCAGCGGATAGACGCGGGCTCATGAAATAAAATATTTTTTTCCCACCCGGATTTATAAAGACGATAAACATGATATATAAAGTATAAATGATACTCTTCCTTGCACAAACACTTTTTAAAAATTTTATTTATAAAATATACTGCAAACTTGTGTGGAATACGGATGCTGAAGTACTGTAAGAAAACGAAACATTTCATGATACCGGTAAGCAATGTACGTAATATTGTAAATCATTTAAAGCGTTCAGTATTTTGTTTACTTGAAGTGTGACGGTATATATTTTGTGAATGTTTTTACTACTAAGTTATAATTTAAGTTATGTTTGTCCAGTCTTATTTATTAATTACTTAATCGCTTGCTAGACGAGGCAAAGAATTTTAGTGGACAAAAACATTCCTACTTTATAGTTCAAGTATGTATCCCATACTGAAACGTTTAAATTACTCCTTGTATTCTAACACTGGTATAACTGCGCAGTATTCTGTGGTTGACATGATGTAACTTTCCAGTCTGTCATGTATTCTAAAGTTGGTGAAACTACCCTGTATTCTAACATTAGTGTAATTGTTCAATACTCTATCATTGGTGTAACTCAGTATAAATCGTTGGTATAACTGCCCTGTGTTTTAACATTGGTACAACTGTCCACAAGCATTAAAGTGACAAAACAATTATTTAATGTTATATACGTGCTTTGTATAGATGTCTGTATCGGAAGAACGGTAATAAATGGTCATCAAAGCAGTCTCTTGGACATCCTTTTATCTCTCCAAATCCCATGTCGTGCAGTTCGGTATGAATTTGGGGTATTGAAAATGTTTGGAAAAAGAAGGGTTTGCTTCATTTGTCAAGGTAATTTTTTATTACCGTCGTTTAAATAGACGGTAATTTGGTCATGTGAAGGAAATTTTGTATGTGATTTGGAAATGCTTTATGTACGTTTAGGTGCGTAATAAATTGGACGGCTGTCTCTATGCGATCAAAAGAAGTCATATGAATCCGAAAAGTTAACTGTTTAATCGTAAAATCACTCGAAATGTGAAGTTACTTTCTAGATTGAACCGTGAAAATAATGTAAAAAGAAAGTTATTTTTCAAAATGAATTTATGACATAAGGGTATAATTTAAACGACACGAATGGCTTGGCTTATTAAATGCTAACTTTGTAAAATCTATTATAAAAATTAGATAATCCATTTTTCCATGAAGCTCATGGATACTTTTGTTCATGATATGAGAGTTGTATTGTATAAGGAGGCTCGCGTTCATCACGAGAGAGTTATGAGAAAGTTACATTGTAAAAGTTAACATGTAAAAAGCGTATAAACATATTTACAGTTGGTTTAAATTATAAGTCATTAAGGCGGAATTTTTTTTAACTTTTGCAGTATCCTTGAATGTTCTAGTTTCTTTTTATACAAAAAAAAAGATTAAATTCAAAAGCAAAAAACCCCGTTTTCGGTCCATGCTTCCCGATACCTTCTTAAGCCGAGGCACTAGAACGCCGCATGTTAACGTTTCGGTAGGAGATTTCGGCCCCTCCACGCTATCCTACTTGGGAGATGCAATAGCAAGCTTCCGCCCATCAGACCCCGAGATCACCTGCGATAGGCTTTGCTCGGGGTACGCAGGGAGAGTGCGGTCGCGACCCGAAACGTCTGGACCCCTAAGCCACTGCATACATATCGCACCCAGCTTCCACTGCTAGTTGACATCTACTATATGAAGTTTTAGCTTTATATATATATACAAAAATTCAAAGGCTTACGAAAGTTGTGGTATTAGCAAAGTCTCTAGTGCGCATGCTCAGATTATTTCTTTGATATTTTGCGACTAAGTGAGCTAATTGCCACAAATGTAGTGCAAGTACTTATAGTTAGTCGTTACCATGACTACGAACAATTGGTCGAGTGGACTGCGCATGATCGAGCGCATGCGCAGATGATTTCTCTGTAAAATTGGTATTAAACATGCTATTTACTTTAAAATCGGTGCCAATAGATGCAGTTGGTCGTTGCCATGACCATGAACTTCGGCAGCTCGTCCAGTCGACTGTGCATGCTCGAGCATACTGCGCATGCGCGAATGATTTATCTGAAAATTTGTGACTGAGCGAGCTAATTAGTCTATATTCGGTACTAGTACATACATTTGGTCGTTGCCATGACCGTAAATTTGGAGATAAGGTGGAGTTGATTACGCATTCTCAGATTGATTCTCAATTAATTTGTAACGGAGCGAGAGCTGAATTTACTCCTTGTGTGTATGCCCTTAGGAAATTTTCAATCATATATTTTTTATTCTTTGTCTTTTTAAGCTTGTTTTGACAAATGCATATCAAACTCATCAACAGTTTGTTACGCCACTCGTAATATCCGTTACAATGTTAGAGTTGTTTTTATTTTTCTCCGTAACTTTGTATCTACATATTTTGTGCATAAACAATCCTCTAATTTTTTGCGACAGATATTATAATTTGTGGATTGAGGTAGAAGAAATACTTGAAAATGAAACCTCCAACAGCGAAACAAAATCGAATCATGACAGAGGATAAACAACGACGCCAGGTTTAAGATAGCTTGATGAAATTCAACGTAGTTAAAGCACCTAGCGTACACTAGAGAGTTGATGAGGACTCGATGACCAATGAAAACACAAATGATTCCAAAAGAAATATCTATGAATCACATATACATTTTGGAAGCTCGTTGGCTCACGTGATATATAGGTGTGTGAACCTCTCATGATATTGCTGAAGATATGTAAAAATTATTACCAGTGTCCGTTCCTTTAGGACGAGAAATCCGATTTCGAAAGTGAAAAAGAAGCAATCATCACAAGAGATTTGCAATAAGATTCAAAGTGTACTCTGCAAATTTTGCGTATGCAGATGTTGTATTGCGAGAGAGTACTCTAAGGAATGTTATTTGCGAAGAATTTTTGAGAAGAATTCTTGTAAAGAAAAAAGACAAATTTTGAAAACAAAAAATCCCGTGTTCGGTCCATGCCTCCTGATACCCCGAGATAGTTTAGCACTAGAGCGTCGCATGTTAGTTAAGGGAACCAGATAATCCTTGTTTGCCATAAAGTCCATGGATGGTTTGCTCGTGATACTTGAGAAACAGTAAATGAGAGAGTTAAAGCAGAAAGATATAAACCAATAAAAATTGTATAAAACATGTTTAAGGTAGTCATCTTCAGAGTCAAATGAGGAGTAAACGTCAGATTAGCCGTATTTGTTATCTGGTTGTTATTTGTTATATGGGCAAGGTATTGTCTATGAGAGCGTTCAAGTCATGATAATAGCCAGTCGATGTGTTGTTGATTTTCCGTTTGCGGTCAATGAGAGTTTTAATCAGTCCTGTTATGTACTCTTGCGAGGTGAAGCTAAAAAAGTTAAGTAATAGTCCAGTGTAGGTTTTCTTATGAAAAGTAGATGTCGTGTATGTGTTCGTGGCTGTGTCTTTAGTAATGAGTACATGTCTAGAAATGGTAACTTGTTGTCATTTTCTTTTTCTATGGTAAAGTCGATGTTCTTGTGTTGTATGTTTAAATAATTAAAAAAAGGGAGAGCGCCATCCTCGTTATTGAAAATACAAAATATGTCATCTACGTAGCATCTCTGGATGCGAGCAACGTTTATGCCAAGCCTAACGGCTCCAAAATCAGGAGGTCGTTGTGTTGGCGACCCTTTAGAACAAAGAAACAAGTTTACCATAAAAATTTAATATTATGAAAACGTCGCGGGATTTTTTGCTTACGCGACTTTAATTTCTGGCATTTTTCATAATTCGCGAGGCAGTCGAGAAATTTATGTCGCGTGAAATAATATGAAAAACAATGAAAATGCGAAATAAGCGTGGCGATAGTGAACCATGGAGACCGTGCCAAGAAAATAACAAACAGTTACTGAGCGAAATGCCGACGAAAAAGAAAGGAAAGTACGTACAAAAGTCTATACAGTTAAATATATATAGCTTTATACTGATTTATTTGGTTTGTTACCTTTATATATGAAATACCGCTTCGTAAGAAAGTTTGTAGTCTATAGAAGAATTTAATGTAATATATCGTGTGTCTCAGAAAGGTAAATCCAAATTCAACGCGCTAATGAGTGCAAATTATCGATGAAGTGACTGCATTTTTGAAATATTATGAAGGACCAGAGTTCTATCTATGAAATGTCATGTTGTTTGTAGCAATTGAAGCTGTTTCTGACTGACATAGTCTTCACAGTCATTTCGGTCGATTTTGGGAACCCAAATCGGTAGAATTGAGCTCTATCCTGATGAATGAAAAGATTTAATATGTAATGACCATTCTTTAGAAGGAAAATAGGCTAGATTTTAGGATCCCCGTCCACTCACTAGTCACTATCCACTGCTTTAAAATATGCCTTGTTCTTTATACATCGTTTTTTATATTGACCACTTAATGATGCTAAATGATGCCTAATAAATTATAATTGAGAACGAAATGATACTTTGCTTTAACTTTACTATTATTTTTACTATGTATGTGGTATTCTTGAATTTGTATGGTTGCCTTCAAAAATGGACTGGTATTCTATAATCAATTCGAAAAATAAACAAATATCAGCAGTGGCATGCTGTGGCAGGTGGCCATGGTTACTCAGCTTTTTATTTTTTTGGGGGTGGGTGGGTGGGGTGCAGAAATGAATAAGAGGTATCAAATTTTGGATTTTTGTCTGAAAAAAGAATTTCAAACCATACAGTTTTATTTCACTCACCAAAGTCCATGAAATGGCATGGAAGCCTGCCCACAGATCCCCCAAGCATGACTTGCACCTTCGGTTCTTGGCTCAGGACTTTGACACTTCTTTCTAGAGTGATATACTTTAATGGCGCATTTTCAGTGAAAAGCACCTACCTCCCCCTCCCCCCTTAAGAAGTTCTTACCCTGCCATTGAATGTGAGGACATTAAAGAATCACCCTCAAAATCACGTTTTTTAACTTTGGGAATGAAGGACCGACCTGGTGCCACAAAATTGACTCTGGGGTTGGATACTAGGACCGATTGCTCTCTGACAGAGTATGGCAGCAAATTTTTTTGATTAACCGCACAACTTTAATTTATGGACAGACTTTTCACAAAGTTATTTGTAGCCTTTATCAAAATTAATCAATTTTTTAGGCAATTTAACAATGATAACTCGTGGCTAGATTTTTAGGGGGAATTTTTCAATGGTAACTCGTAGTTTATACCAAAAGATAACAGTTTTTTAGGCAATTTAGCAATGGTAATTCGTGGCTAGAACTTTAGAGAATTTTTCAATGGTAACTTTTAGGCCCTACCAAAAGATAATAATTGATGGGCCAATTTTACAATGGTATCTACGTAGTTGCTTGAATTAATACAAACTTACAATTGTAACTACTTGCAATGTGAAAATATGATTACGTAGTTGCTATACTTGTTACAATGGTATCGAAAAATTACGTTTGTCCATTGAGCCCGCGACCCCGAATAAAAAAATGGAGGTAAAGATATGAGAATGATAAACTATAAAATGTGTCCATGGATCACTGAGTAAGGGCCCTGAAATTATGCCATGGTGCCCCCCAGTATCTTTAAACGGTGGATGTCGACATTTCAAAAAATGTGTCTATGGATCACTGAGAAAGGGCCCTAAAATTATGCCATGGTGCCCTCCCCCCCAGTATCTTTAAACGGTGGATGTCGACATTTCAAAAAGTGTGTCCATGGATCACTGAGAAAGGGTCCTAAAATTATGCACGGTGCCCCCCAGTATCTTTAAACGGTGGATGTCGACATTTCAAAAAGAGTGTCCATGGGTCACCGATAAAGGGTCCTAAAATTTGATTATGAGACGATGCTTCCAGTTTCTCTAAACTGCATCGACTTTTTATAAAGTTATCATTTTATAGGTGTCGACATTCATAAAACTACCTTTCAGTTTATTTATTGGGTTTGATTCTGTGCAAATATATAGCTTCGACTTTATTCATATAGCTTCAGTTTCGTCTCATCTGTCTGTTTGCATGCCACATTTTCTGTTCAACTTAACGACTAACGACATATGTATTTTTTGTTTGATAAAGGACAAAGAAACGTGCGAAGAAATCTAAAGAGGAGGTTGCTAAAGTATGTACAAAATTACGGTTCAATTATTGAAACAAGAGCGGAGTCCTGGGAACGAAAATTTGATTTTTACTCAAACCAGATTGCGTATAAGCACATAATTTAAAGATACAGAGGACATTCACTCCTGAATTGCTGTCAGTTTATACGTATCCAGGGGGGTTGCTTTTATCTGTCACAATATAGAGCTTGCATAAAAAATCTCTGAACATGACATTAAGAACAACGTACATTTTAACTTATATACTGAAGGGGCATTTGGCCTCCCTGGTCCTCTTACTGGCTAAAATATATTTTTGGGTGGAAGTAAGAATGCTTATTTCATAGCAGGTGTATTACGTTGTTATTAAATTGCAGTTTTTTAAATTTCACTGGGAAAACGTATTTCTGGACCCTCGGCTTCATGGCTGACGCTTCACGTGCCTTTTGAAGTTAATGGCCTCTCAGTAGCCTCCTAAAATCGTCAATTACCGTTTTGCTTGTTTAGGAAAAGCTTGAGAAATCGGCAGAGGCATTCGAAGCAACAGAAGAACTACATCGTTCATTTGTCAATCGCGTTGACGAATGGATGTTACGTAATTATGCTCGGGCCGTCGACTTGTTCCGACGGTTCGATCTCAATGGTGATGGCTGCCTAACATACGAGGAATTTTATGCCGGTATGCGAGATCTGGAAGCACCGTGTAACAAAGTTGAGCTATATCTTCTGGCAAAGAAATTGGATGAAGACGGTAATGGTTTAATCGATTACTTGGAGTTTTCCTCCGGTATGAAGTATTATCGTAAACATGAGGTCGTTTCTAACGATGATCTTCCGAACTTGGTTATTTCACGCGAGAAACTCGAATCCTGCCCTTGCTGTAATCTGGGTTTGTGGGAACCACGCAAAGTCGCCTATCCAAGGTAGGCTGACATATAATCGTTAAAAAAATTGTTTCGAAAATTGCAAATACCATCGTTAAAACCAAAACAATAACCCAATACTTTTAAAAGAACTGTTTCAAAGCTACTGAAGACACGATGCATTTCGGTAGACTGCCCCTCAGAAATGCCGAAATGAATAGTGTCTTCCAGCTTTAAAGCAATTCTTTTAGAAGTATTGGGTTAGTGTTCTGGTTTCAAATAGTTCTTTAAAGATTTCTTAATTTATTATTTTTGCCGTTAACGATGGTATTTTTAAAGCTATTTTGAGATTTGTCAAACGACGAAGTCTATATTTTATTGATCTTTTTTTCTAAATGGCTATAGTCGGGGACGTTCTTGATACTAAAAATTATCTCCGCAACGTGAGCTCAGTTTATAATGAAGATTTACGTGTATGACAAACTTTGGTAAATGATATTGTTTATTGTTCTCTTTAAAATGGCTATAGTCGGGGGGGGACGTTCTTGATACTAAAAATTATCTCCGCAACGTCAGCTCTGTTTATAATGAAGATTTACGTATATGACAAACTTTGGTAAATGATATTGTTTATTGTTCTCTTTAAAATGCGCTGGGTTTTAGCAAAATTCTGGTAAAAAATAATTCCGACAGAATTTTCATTCAATGTAAAACCGCTATGCGACCACACTTTAAAGATTAAAAACCTTTCCATAGAAGGTTATCCGGACAAATTAAAATGTGCTATGTATATTTTTATGAAGCTTTCGTTGTCTCGCCTACATTCCATATAACTTGAGTGTTAAACAAACATGACCATGCTATTTTCAGTAACACCACATACATTAACTTTGCACACCACGCTTGGAATTTCATTTAAGAAATAAAAGATGTTTACTCTGTTTGCACAGGCTTATGAAAACCGGGGAGAACTTTGGGAGAACTTGAGAGCAGATCAGTGTAAGCCCGAGACCGAAAGTCGAGGGTTACACATGCTCGAGAGTTCTTATAAACGTCTCCGAGGTTTGCATAAGCCAGTGTAAACACGAAAAACATCTTTTATTTCTTTTACAAAACAATAATAATACGAAACAGACAAATTTAAAGTAAACATTTTAATTCGTCCTCTAAAGTGTATTCATGATCAATTTGCAAATTCTCTTGACTGATTGATTGTTCTGATTGATTTGATTGGTTGAGCTCAGATGCGTTTTGCACAGGCTAATGCAAACACAGCTCTAAACCAATCAGCGCACGCGTTTCATTGCGTTTATTTTTAATTTAGCTTGAGTAATAAAACAGACAGCTCGTATATAAATACCCCCCTCACGAAATATAATGGCGCTAATAAAGCCGCTGACATTTCCTACTCATTTTCTCCCAAGGTTCATCCAACTCAGTTTAAGACTGCTAACATTTGCGAACGTGAAAAATTATCCTGGGAATTTTCAAATACTCGTTCATGCTCATACCACTGTGTATTCATTGATGGAGTTGATCAACCAAAGGTTGGGCGAGACGACCCAAAAACTTACTGTGTACAGAAACGATTCTGGAGAAACCATGATCCCGCTTGATCCCCATCATACCCTACAGGACACTGGATACCAAGGGGGACCGAAAAACGCCCCACAAGAAGTGGAACTAATGTATGATTTTACGACTGAATTTAAAGACTGTCCTATTTTGAATACGGACCATTACTTTATGTAATTTTTTTCACAAGGTACATACAATAATAGAAAATCTTACTATATATTTGTTTACTGTTTAGTTGAACTACAATTGTAGGATAAAGTCATGTATCGTCGCCAATATACTCCCAAAATGACATATGAGATAAAATTTCGATGTTTTACTTTGCTAGATTTTGCTCGAACTTGTCAGGTTCCATTGCTTCCTCTTCATCTTGGATGGAAGGGCTTAGACAATTTGTCTTCAGTTTATCCGCTAGACGATTTACATAATGATGGCAGTTGTTGGTGATGAGCCTATATCGTGAGTATTTCGCTTCATATTGCGAATTCCAAACCTCTATCTCATCCAGTGAGCATCGACTCCGACCTTTCTTTTCGTAATTCCATTTCAATTTGCAAGATGAAGATGGCCGTCCCATCTCCGGCCATTTGTATTTTTCGCTGCCCCATTCGAAAACTTTTCCTCGGAATAAAAGCACGCTGTGTGTTAGTCGGAATGTCTTCACGATATCACGCTTTTTTAGACCTGGCCAGAGTGATAATGAGCCATAAAAGTAGTCATTATAGTCGGCTGAAAAACATAGAAAGATGTCGATTTGTTTTGATTGAAAGAAAAAAAGACCAAGAATAGTTTTTACAATATTTGAAATGTGACCAAAACAACGTTTGTCAGTTTAGATAGCGATGAATGAAGAACAGAGAACAAAAACAGTCTTTATAATACACACCTACAATATAAGCTAAGATAACGTGTGTCAGTGTAGGTAGAGATGAATGAAGAACAGAACGAGAACAGTCTTTATAATACCTAAAATATTAACTGAGATAACGTGTCAGTTTAGGTAGTGATGAATGAAAAACAGAGAACGATAACAGAATTTACACCACTTAAAATATAAACTAAGATAACCTGTATGAATGTAGGTAGTGATGAATGAACAACAGAGAACGATAATAGTCCTTCTAAGTTCTAACTGCTATCGACAAGATTGGCTTTGATTGACTTCTGTGAAGAGGTCGATAAATCTTACCCGTCAAATTTCCTTGAGCAGGCAAAGGATAGGGACAGCGGTCCTCAGGCAACAACGAGCTCACACCATGACTTGCCAATACAAGGGAAGTTAATATTTGAAAAATCCCCATTTCTCTCCTCTGTGAAGGAACAGCTTTGTAGAAGCTGCAAACAAAAAAGTACTGTGCCAATTCGTTTTAATGTATTGTGTTTTGCACATACGCATATAACAACAAATATTGCTTCTCTTGCTTCAATATTCAAATATCAAATCATTGCGAAAGGTTTAAGATATTGAATGACAGAAACAGATACCTGGTCTTCGGAGCCAATATCAGGGTTTTGATATAGAGCGTAAACGGTTACTTAATAATTTGAAATCAATTGGAATTTTGCAACTGAATAGGATGACTTCATGTTTTTAAAACGGTCGCTATGAAACGTTTGGAAAACGTTATTAAGCATTGTTCTTTCAGCCGCACATGGAAACTTTGTTCTTTTATATCTTCCTTTATGTATATCTTTATGTCTACATTTATGTCTACCTTTATGTCCACCTTTATGTCTATCTTCATGTCTGCCTTTATGTGTACCTTATGTCTAGCTTTCAGTCTACCTTCATGTTTACCTTTATGTCTACCTTTATGTTTCCTTTATGTTTACAATTATGTCTACATTTATGTCTACCTTTGTGTCTATCTTTATGTCTGCCTTTATGTGTACCTTTATGTGTACCTTTATGTGTACATTTATGTGTATCTTTATGTCTAGCTTTATGTCTACCTTTGTGTCTATCTTCATGTCTGCCTTTATGTGTACCTTTATGTGTACATTTATGTGTATCTTTATGTCTAGCTTTATGTCTACCTTTGTGTCTATCTTCATGTCTGCCTTTATGTGTACCTTTATTTCCAGCTTTCAGTCTACCTTCATGTTTACCTTTATGTCTACCTTTATGTTTCCTTTATGTTTACAATTATGTCTACATTTATGTCTACCTTTGTGTCTATCTTTATATCTGCCTTTATGTGTACCTTTATGTGTACCTTTATGTGTACCTTTATGTGTATCTTTGTGTCTCAGCTTTATGTCTACCTTTATGTCTACCTTTATGTCTACCTTTATGTTTACCTTAAAATTTATACATTTATCGTATTATAATTTTTAGTAACAGAATACATATTCCTTTATTTGCTGTATTAAAATGCACTATAGTAAATACAATAAATTTTGGTTAAGTCTCCGTCGATCAGCGTGGTCGAGTGGTGTGATACAGGTTTCTCAGGTTGAGGTGTGAGGTTCGAATCCTTCGAGGGTCAGTTGATGATGGGCATGGTGTGTTAAACGTTAGGCTTGCAACGAACGAGAGACGAAAGTGTGAGGGTGACGAAGGTGGATAAGTTGAGGAATGTAATGTTCTGCACACTGTGCGCAAATGGCATTTCTCTTGTTACGTTTTTCGAGAATGGAATGCGACACTTCGTATAATTTCAGAAAAAAATCAAGCAGCCACACAATTTTTTGGCCTAAAAAAACTAAGTCTTTTGCTCAAAATTCTCTATGACTCCCCACGAAAGTAGGGAGTCATATTTTAATAGTCAAGAACCTCAGGGCAAACAGATCGCCCTTAAACTCTCTCCTAACCTCACACCTTGCACTCAATCCTTAAGCTACAACCCATACCAGCAACGACACAGGGACGAACCAAGAACCTCGTGCATTGGAGGTCAGACAAAGCCCGTTGAGCCAGGAGCTCAACAACGAATACTACAGACTTTTTGGAACATTTGCCCCTTTTCCGTAATAGAAAGACATATAAAAACTTGTCGATAACATATATCAATTAAAACTTTCAAATAGAACAGCATTTAATAGCCTTCATTATTTATGGCTTTAAAAATGTTTGGCAAATGCCTTCGCTGGCATCATAGTGATAATAGAACTATAATTTTCCATATTTTTAGTGGAAAGACATGTAAACCATACGATAACATATCAATTAAGTCTTTGAAATGGAAAAGCATTTATTAACCTTCTTTACACTTACGGCTTTCAGTTTAAAAATGTTTGAAAAATGCCTTCAAAGGCATCGTAGTGATAATAAAACTATAGTTTCATGGACTTCATGATGCGCTGTCTTATGTTAACATTTCATTCGAAGCAATTCATGTTTCTCACACGACGAAAGAAGATGAATAAAGCATTTGCTGTCATTGATGAATCTGGGCAATCACACGCAAAACCTTATGGTCAATAGTTTCCATTTAAAAGCGTCCATATTGATTCTTGGCTCGAATTTTCTATGAACGATCTTCGAACTCGTGGAATGAGTAACGAAGCAAGCGACAAAGATAATGCTTGCTTTATTCGATACAGGCTGAATAAATTTTATTGTTTAATGATTTTTGTAATACCATAGAATAATGATAATTTTCGTTTGCATTTAAGTATATCTACTTAAGGGAGAACATAGTTTTTTGTTTAGTAATACCACCTATGAGCATTATTTTCGAGAGATATCAGGCAATTAGTTCAAGTACAAAGAATGAAGATTGAACAATGGTGTACAATCAATGCATCATGATTGGCGTAAAACCTGTGATGAATAATATCTTTAGGCATTCGTGACATGATTGTTTATAATATTCATTGTTAGCATTAGAACAATTTAAGCGATGTTTAATAAATTTAATTCGGAAAACAATAGTTTTTCTTAAACAAAAGAGCTATGTTTCCTCATTATTCTATGGTATTATGCAAATCATTCAATGAAATTTATTCACCATATCAAATAAAGCATGTGTTATCTTTATCGCTTAGCCATGCATTCTATGAGTTTGAAGCATTAAGATGTTGGTGACTTAAAGTTTTGGCACTTTTTATTTGCGTTGAGTCGTGTTGGAAACGATTGTTTATCATTATGAACTTGAAGATGGTTATTGAAAGTTAGAAATGGTGAAATAGTACGAACAGTGGCGGCTTCGTGAGAGTAGCTACAAATAATAATGTGCGTTTAGTGAACAACTGGCAACAAAGTTCGTTGATCATTTGTAAATGATGTTTGTGGTGTAAGCAGACAATCAGATGCGAAGGTCAATTGTGAGATATCTTAGCATGGATTTCTATAAATACACTTTTTTATATAGAAATTCGTGGTAAGAGAAAGTAAAATAAAAAGATCTATTTTACTTGCCCACCGTGTTGTTAGTAGAATAAAATAAAATCTCATGATTTTTTTATATTGCAATAGACTTATACCTTATGTGTACATGGTTTATGTTTCTTACATGAAGTATCTCATAACTTTTGTACTGTTACGTGACAAAAAATATGTAAAAAGTCCTAATTTTTGTTATGCATCATCAACCAGCAGCAAAAGTATGGTGGCTACCGTCCATGCCTTCTCCACTTGACATCCCGGTTCGAAGCCAGCCTGTTACCTTGAAAGTTGCATCACCTAACAAAATCTACAAATGTCAGTGTGCAAGTTAGATAGAAGTCTAAACAATAGTTGAATATGGTGGATGAAGGAGAGATGTGAAGAGAGGTAAACGAAAGATGTTCAGACGAGAGATAAAGATAACATGTGAAGAAACCATATAATTAAAATTCTTTTTAACTTTTTCTTCACAAATTTTCACGAAAAATTTAGGCAGTGCACTTTGAACCTGCAGTCAAGTGCGCCGAAGGCAAGGGCATTTCGCTTGTGTTAAATCTTCCCGACACTAAAAAGTTTTGGAACTTCTATTTAATCGTTTTGTTTTATGCATCTTAATAAAGAGAAATTGCTGATACACAATAATACCATGTAGGTCTTGGACCCGTTTACATGTGCGCCGATATCGAATAGTCTTGTTGGCGCCATACTTTTCAGATACTAAGGCGTCTTTAAAACTTGTGTTTAAACTTTTTCTTCCGTGCTTTTACGAAAAAGGCGTTTAACGTTATGCTACTTGCTATATGTTTCACAAAGTTTTCCACCAAAACATTGCGATGAAAGAAGTATAAAGGCAAAGGTTTTGTCTTTTTGAAGTTTTCATGTCGAAACTTCGCATTACAAAACATTAATGCTTGCGAAGAAGTTGAAAGAAGACGAATAAAGTAGGCACAACGTCACACATTGCATGTGGTAAACCAGGGCAATGATGCGCATGTCCTTAGTCAATTTTTCTTATTTAATGGCGTCCGGATTATTTGACTAAACAATTGAACTGATTTATATTTTTACATCAACTTCTTACTGCAATGGCTTCTACCAAACCAAGTTATTTTTGCCAACTTTTTGCCTTCCCTTGCTTACTTTTTTACTCTGGGTTCTTCTAAATGATAAGAGCCTCATTTTTTAACCATACCTTTCACCAAAACACGCTGGTTTTGCTGACTTTTGCTTTGCCCTTTACTATTTTTTTACTTTGTAAAAGCTAATATTGTAGTAGCTTTTGACATTCGCAGTGTTCTGAAACCATGTGGTTGAATAATTGTACAATGCAAAATTATGAATTTGTATTTTATAGTTCATATACTACCAGTGTTCAAAGGTATCTTTTTCGATTAAAACCTAAATTAACTCATCCCTCGACTATAGCAAATATGCTGTACTCTTTTCATTACATTACGTCTAGGAAATACAGATAAGGTTAGACCGTTGTTTGACATTGCAATCATTTTCATTTGCAAAGTGATATATTTAATTTGTTATTTGGTAAATCACATATTACTCAAGTTATAAAAGGACATTATGGAGTGACACTGAAAATACGCTTTATCATCTGAATATACTTTGTACTTGAAACTTCGTTATTTTTCACAGTTTCATTCACAGTTTTACTGACAAACTTTTGAAGTAAATTTTGTTTTAGTTTTGTTGACCAGTTTTAATTGTTCTGTTGCAGACTAAAATTAAAAAATTACATTTTAGTATCTATAGAAGCAAATAGCAGTTATGATACACTCTACAAGGTAATATAATATTCAAAAGCAATGATAGCTTGCATTTATTGATTATAAATTCATTTTCTACTTTCGTGATAAAAATTAGCTACTGCAGAAATATAAGTCAAAGAGGTAATACATAAATTTGTTACAAACATATTGTTGCGGCAAATTATTCATTAAATGCTCTTGAATTGCGAAATACGCTTCAATTCCATTGCAATAAATTTGGGCAGCATGTCTAATGTTATCAACAATTTCACTTTGTTGCTCATTTA